TCTCACTGTTCAAAAACTTCTTCCAATTTTGATAACCACCCAACAAATTAATTTTTTTTCCAGCGTTTATGTAATTGACAAATCAATAGATAATGTGTACATTCTTTGGTGTGAAAATAATCTTCTTACTTCATGTACTTACATGTTGTAAAGCTGTGACCATGGACATTTTTCCACCCATACTGTGCCCAAGTAAACAAGCCTTGTCTATCATCAATTCGTCTAATAGATTAATGATATCCTCACTCATTAGAAAATAATCCATACTTTGGGTGTGTGGACTTTCTCCATGGTTCCTGACATCAACTGTTATAACCTATTGTAAAATATAATGTACATGTACCATCATAATGTCTCACAAAAGTTATATGATCCATATACAAATTTATCACTAATTATTATATATACTGTGGATTTATTATAATTTGTTGGATACCAATTTTTGTGGATTTCGTGGGTAAAGGTAATCCACAAATTTAAATGTTCAACAAAGTACACATTTTCTTAAGGCTTGAATACAGACTTTTGGCAAGTAGATACTTTTGCTAAGAGTAGTAAAGTTTAATAAATAAAAGTGTGATTCCTTTTAATGGATGTTTATTTATATGAAGACATCCATATGTTTTTACATTGTAGTAATAAAAGAATTTATGAAAACACATTTATTTCCTATTTATGAAAAAAAATGTTATCTTTAAAGGGGGATAACTCAGACAATTTAATGATATCATAAGATTGCATTGTAAGATTTCTTTTTATTCTATATATCTTTAAACAGTATTAAAAAAAACTGTCTACAGGATTTTGAAATCAAACCTTCTCTTTCAAACAATTAAATTTTATGTTTATAGACTTTCTAAACAAAAATTTGTTCAGTTTACTCATTTATAGTAGATACACGTACATACTTTTAATTGCAAATTTTTCAGAAGCATGATATGAACTATATTTTGAGTTAATAACTACCTGTTATTTCATAAACAATATAGTTTTTGAGAATATATATATATATATATATGTTACTAAACAGCTATCTCACTGTTATCTGTTCAATCATGTAATAGTACTTATGCATGCATACCAATCTACTATTGAATACTATAATATGGTTTGTAATTAATAACTGCTCTGTAAAACTCAATAGATCAATCTCAAATTGTTTTTAATGAACGAGTTACACCAGTTGACCTGAGGTCAATCGGCGTAAATGATATGACAATGAACAATCGGTTCCTACTTTGACGAAACATGCAAAATAACATAAGCATTGCACGTACAATTGTGACATAGGATAATGCACGAATTTGAAAGTCTGACATCTACAAACATGATATCTAGATGTGGTATGATTGCCAATGAGACAACCATTTACCAGGGAACAAATGATGCAGATTTAAGCATCTTATTTTCTTGTTAAACTGTATACCTGTCTTCCCTTTTTACTCCACAGTTTTGATAAAGAATGCCAGTTATCTTTGTTTCCCATAAGACCATGTGTTATGACAACAGGAGTACCAGAACTGCCGGGCTCTTGGTAATTTCTGTATGACAAACATACTCCCTGACCTGAAAGACTGCAATGCAAACTGTATATATAATATTATAAATTATTTTCTAGTATTAAGGTATAACAAGATTTCTACGGCATAGTGAAATGCCCCTTGCGCTCTATAAATTAGGATTTAAATTGAGAGTCACAATGACTGTGTTATTGCGGTGCAATAGTCAAAATATTGTAAAGTACCATCATGACCATAACTCCTATAAAAACAATCAAATCAAAACGATGGTACATGTATAATATGCTCAACTAAAAATGATGGAAAATAATCCTTCCAAGTATGAGAGCTTTCTGTCAAATGGTCTAAGAGAAGCTTTATCAACATGACATTATTGCAATTTTCTAAAAATAATACTCCCAAGCATGAGAGCTTTCTGTCAAATGGTCTAAGAGAAGCTTTCTCAACATGACATTATTGCAATGTTCTAAAAATAATACTAGTCCTATTACCATCGTCCTTTTAAGGTAGTAACAAACACCTAGACAAAAATTAATTTGGCTCTTTTGATTTTCATAAAATTTTGACAAAATATTTACTTTGACCCTTTGACAAAAATATAAAAAATTCAAAAAACTTGAACCACACACTTTATCGGAAAATTTCTTTGGATATATAGCAGTTTGACAAACACTTATTTTGATCATTGAGAAGCTTAATATTTCCTTAACAATAGATCGTGATTAAAACATTCAGCTGATTTTTACAGAGTCATCTCCCTGTAGTGTTATGTACCACCTTAAAATGATCTGATCTGTCAAATGGTCTCAGAGGAGTTGTGTTCAAAAGCTGTTATTGTCATAATACTTTAAAAAAAATAGTCAAAATCCTATAACTCCTATAAAGATAAGAAGATGTGGTATGATTGCCAATGAGACAACTATCTACCCAAGTTCAAATGAAGTGGATGTAAGCAATTATAGGCAACCGTACAGTCTTCAACAATGAGAAAAACAAATAATGTATAGTCAACTATAAAAGGCTCCTGTCAACTACACATGATGGCAAACAATTTTTAATTCAAATATGTGAGCTTTCCTTAAAAAGAAGTTAAGTTCACAACGTGTCATTGCAACATTACATTTGTCAAATCAAATTGAAGACATATGGAAATGTAGCTTGGTAAAGAACATACAAAGACAACTAACCCTAACAATTATGAAAGCTTTCTGTCAAACAGTTTCTGAGTACTTTTAAACATAACTAAAGAGTAATTGAATTGTGTCACAATGTGTCAATATGGTCAACTTCACATGATTGCACTATAAAGACAGTGGTAAATTTGTAATTTCTAATGGTGTTGTAATAATTTAAAGTACATGAGAGACCATCTAGTGTCAAGAGCAACACAGGGGTTTACTTTGATTCATCCAACTCGGGTTGACTAGAGTTATAAAATAGTGCTAATGCGCATGTGTGCAACCTTCCCTAATCAAAGTGAAAACTCTACTAAGATATACTCTTAAAATGGAAGATATACTAGAAGCAGCAGTTGTTAATTTTGTTTTTAATTGACGTCGACAATGAACAACTTTATGTTCAAATTTGTAACATAATTAATTTTCAGTTCTTACCAGTCCAGTATATTCATTTTCAAAATCCTCCTGCCCTGTCGTCCCCTAAATAGAGGGAATGAGTTTTGGTAACATTTCACATAATTACATTGGTTGCAATGAATAAATGTGATTTATGTTCCAATTGTTGTAACTACAATCCTGTCCCCTTTTCCTCGAATGTGACCTACTGAATAAGACTTATCACCGGGTTTGTACTAACATAAGCAACACCAAGGGATGCCACATGTGGAGCAGGATATGATTACCCTTCTGAAGTACCTAAGATCACCCCCAGTTTTTGGTGGGGTTCATGTTGCTCAGTCTTTAGTTTTCTATGTTGTGTTTTGTGTACTATTGTTTGTCTGTTTGTCTTTTTCTTTTTTAGCCATGGCATTGTCAGTTTATTTTTGACTTACGAGTTTGAATGTCCCTTTGGTATCTTTCACCTCTCTTTCCAAGTGAAATAAAAACCAATAATTTCACATGTGAAATAATCTCGATACCAGAGTTCTCTAAATCTTTTTTCTCTGGTGGTTCTTGAAAAAATCTGCTGGTCCTCACTACTATTTCTATTGCAAAATTCCAAAAACCTTCCTACCACCACTTTTCTTTAACTCTGGTATCATGCAACAATAGGTGTTGTAGATGGATGATGTTCTATCAAAGCAAATTGTAATGCGTAGAAAAAAATATAGTTCCTTACATTTTCTACCATTATTTCGATTAAAAAGTGCATTGTCAATTAATGTCATAAAAAAAAAATTAACTTATCAAAGAATTCAACTATCAAATAATATTCAACTCGTGACCGAACAACACTGATAATTAACTCATGAGCTATGCACATTCGCTAATTAATGTGATATATTTTTCTAAATTTGAATTCTTCGATTAGTTATTCCATCATTCTAAAAGTACCGTACCAAAATTAAATTTTTTCTGTTCTTTTGATAAACATCACCAACAGTATTTACACATCAAAAATATTTGTAAATGCTTAAATACAGCCAATAAATAAATTTATCTCAACAACCCCTTTCTTTGTCTGTATTTTTTAAACTGTCAGCTATTTTGTCTCATAAATATTCTTCTTTTCTGCTCTTGTTAGTCACCATTTTGTATAAACCTGCCTCAACCCAGAGTTGATCCTGAAATAAACTCGGGTAAGTTCAAAGGTCAAACTCGGGTAGGTTCGATTGAAACTCAGTAAACTCAACAAACTCTAATAACCAGAGTTGAACGAATCGTAATTAATTAAGGCCTTACTGATAATAAATTTCCATGCTGTCAAGACTCAAACATTTTCATACTTATTTGGCTGCATTTTCCTTTGATCTAGTGTTTTTTTCTCTTTGATCTTTACAATTTTTGCCAAATCTCATGCATTTTTTGCTTCATGAAAACTTGACAGCCCTGAAATTTTGCCTTTTTTAAAGAAAACGTTAAAAGAAAACAAATCTCTGCAATAAGTGTTATCACACAGGAAAATCTCAATGGGGATTTAAGTGATAACATTAGACACACATGACATATGAATATATTTCATCATATTACTGTTAGTGTCATATATCTAAAAATGGTGAACCTCAACTATCCTGATCCTGTAGCAATCGTATTGAAATTGAATTTACCTGGGTTTTTGAGATGACTTTTGTCTAACAGCGAAATAAAAGAGGCTTGATGGTTTACAAATTGCCCTCCGAAAAGCCATTAAATTTGAAGTTATCCTGGAGTTGTTTTAGTGTCCTCAAATGTGGAATTGACATCTAAAAGCTGTCTGCTAAAATTTTGTCTCAGTCAATTTAATGCTTGAAAATTTTCCTGTGAACACGACTATAATAAGCACACTGAAAATGATGATGCACATGGCGCAGGCGCACAACTATGCATACGCCTCATTTCCGGATACAAAATCCCTTACTTCCGACTTTAAAATCACTTGACACTGAGCCTTCAGTCCGTATTTAAACAATAACAGGGCTATGGCTCGAGAATATGACCATTTATTCAAGCTCCTTATCATTGGTGACAGTGGTAAGAACCCGAAATTTCCAATTTTTAAGCCTCTGGTGAAGTAGGTACTCGATTTTTGCTGAAATCATTGATTGTTGTCAAAGTTGAAAGTTGTTGGCGACAGCTTGTATGACATAATTTGAATGTTTAGGTCAGAACGAAGACTGTTTATTTTTAATGTTATGAGTGCAAGTTGTCCCAAAGATCAAACGGACATGCTGCTTTTAACAATGTCAAGTACAATTTTTTTTATTATATGTATGATGAAGTGATTAAAACGTTTTACCAGTTCACCATACATGTAGATGATTAATTTCAGCCACAGTACCAGTTCGGCCATAGTAGATACAGCCACACTTTTTCATATTGTTTTTAGCATATTTATCCAACGCAATCATAGGTAGAACGTTGTTTTCAATTTAAACTTGTTTATATTTTTTCGTTTGGGCTTGTATTATAGTAGTCCAAATAATTATGACGTCTTGAAAGGCTATTATATATTTTTTTTCTTTGACGCCTTACATCGACGTCATAACGCTGAACTCATATTTTCAGTTGGACTTTGAGAGGGAATTTACTGCTTTATTAAAACGTTAAGCTGATTTCTCCTTAAGACATGTGTAAGATGCTTCATTTTAGGAGTATAAAATATATTTTTGAACCAAACTCGGTAAAATTTGACGGACCTGAATTTCCAGATAATATAAAATTAAGGTTCCGGAAATTCGGGTCTGTCAAATTTTACCGAGTTTGGTGCAAAAATTTATTTTATACTCTCATAAAAAGAAATCAGATAAACGTTTTAAAAAAAGCAGTAGACAATCATCCGCCTCGAATGGAATTGTAACTTATTTTATTATTACTGTAGGGATTTATTGGAAATATTTTGCACAAACAAACACATAAAAGGTAAGAAATTTGATATATGCAAATATTTTTAGCCTTCAATGAAAATTTTATGGCTAAATTGGGTCTCAAAGTTGAGAGCAAAATATGCTCTCAAAGTCCAACCGAAAATGGTGGCTTCAGCATTATGACGTCGATGTAAGGCATCAAAGAAAAAAAATATAATAGCCTTTCAAGACGTCATAATTATTTGGACTAGTATTATAGTTGCCTTCGGGTTTATATAATCCGTTCATCCTATTTCGACTCTTCAAAATTCAAGAGTCTATCCAAAATTGAGGTAAATTATATGGCCTTCCAAATACCGTTTCGATTCCTAACATCACTGAAGAGACATTAATTGTCGGAATTCGGATATGGTGTACAAATTTTTGCACCTCACGTTTGCGGTATAACCATCTTTTCCGTATGTTTATTGTTTTCTGTTTGATATTAAATTAAAAATTAAGATCCATTTTGTTACATCTGGTGATCCTTTTATTTGGCAATCGCCATGGCAGTCAGCAGGGTTTAAGAACATTTGTTGTTCCACCTGCTAGTCAAATGCGTTTTGTTAAATTATACTTTTTCACTTTTTTGGTCTTTTAGAAAATGTTGTTTGTGCTGTATTTAGACCCCTCTACCAAAAAATTTGTTTTGCATGCACAAGTATAAAAATTGCGGTTTTTATCCAACGCAATCATAGGTTGAACCTTGTTTTCAATTTAGACTTGCATATATGCATATATATATATATATGTTCATCAAATGTTCTGACAGAAGTTTATTTTGATAATGAATATTACTTATTAAAAAGTTGTTTTGTCATAAAGCGCGCTCTATAACAAGCGGACACAAGATTTTCTTATGGCACACATGATTAATAACATTTCCATTTGTCTTTGTGCTTGATTAAAATATATTTTTTATATAACAAAGAATAGAAAATATTTGTCATTCATGGACGAAGAACTATTGCCCATTCGAAAGATTGAATCAATTGTCATTTATTTATTGAAGAAAATAACCAAAATTAACTAAACCACAGTGAGACAAAAAAGTCTGATATGGTACGTACAGACACCAATAAATCAAATTACATGCATTAGAGCATCTGTTGCTCCTGGTTTTTTCTATGAAATAACCCAGTTATAACATGTACATAAATTGTACAACTTCTAAATCACACAATTTTAACAAAAATTATACTGCTCGCTTCACTTGTAGAGCACTCGCCTAAAAAAAACTCATTTTCAAGAATTATATATAAAACAAAAAAATTTCGCTCGCTCGCCCCATATTTTTTGGAGCTTTTGGACCGTTTAAGCAATCTAGAATCAGAAAATCCAAAAGATTATTGGAACCTTGTTAATGAACTCCGTCATGAGAATAATCAAGAAACTAAAAACAACATAGATGGTGACATCTGGTACAAATATTTCTCTGAGTTGTCATCAATTCCCTGAAAATGAACATATAAAGTCAAAGATAAAAGAGATAAAGCATGTAAAGAGTAAACTTGAACTATTAGAAAGTAAAAACTTTGGATTCAGTGAAATTGACTTTAAAATTACCCCTGGTGAACTCCAAAAAGCCCTGAGGCAATTAAAATCTGGGAAAAGTCCAGGTCTAGACACTATTACAAATGAAATGTTAAAAGTTTCACAGAGCTATATGCAAGATTGCTTACTAAAACTTTTTAATGCCATACTTCTATCTGGCATTTATCCCAGTAAATGGTCTGAGAGTTACATTACTCCTATATTCAAATCTGATAACCCACAGAACCCTGAAAATTACAGAGGTATTGCCATCAATAATAGTCTTGGCAAACTTTTCAATACCATTCTGTATAACAGACTTGATAAATTTCTATCTGATAATAATATCATAAATAAAACTCAAATTGGTTTTTCTAAGAAAGCTCGCACTTCGGATCACATTTTTGTACTAAAATGTCTCATAGAAAAATATGTTAAAAGAGGCAAAGGTAAATTATATGTATGCTTTGTAGATTTTCGCAAGGCCTTTGATAAGGTTATTCATATTGGTATATTATACAAATTATTACAACATACAAATAATGGTATTTTTTATAACATATTAAAATCTATGTATAGTAATGACAAAGTGTGTGTCAAAGTAGAAGACAAAATAACTGATTTTTTTAGATATAATGTTGGTGTACGACAAGGTGACGTCTTGAGTCCCACATTGTTTAAACTATTTATTAATGATTTGCCAGATATATTGTCAAACAATTATGATAATGTCAATTTAGATAATGAAAAGATACCATGTCTACTATACGACTGATGATCTTGTATTAATATCCTACTCAAAAGAAGGGCTTCAGAAGAGACTTGATACTTTGTGCACATTCTGCAAAGATTGGTGTATGGAAATAAATGTGAAGAAAACAAAGATTACTATATTCAATAAGAGTGGTAGACTCCTTAATGAAGATTTCAAGATAGGAAATAATTCTATCGAATGTGTTAAACTATACAAATATCTTGGCATAGTCATCCAAAATACTGGAAACTTTAATGAAGCCAGGAAACAATTATTCCAAAAAGGTCAAAAGGCCAGTTTTAAACTGTATAAAGATTTGAAATCATCAAATCCTCCTATTAAAACTCTTTTGCATTTATTTGATCATTGTATACAGCCAATTGTAACGTATGGTTGTGAAAATTGGGGTGTTATTAACATTACTCCTAAAAGGAAAAAAATTATCCCTTTATGACATATTTAAAGATTGGGAGTTTGAGAAGCTAAATCTAAAATTTTGCAAGTATATTATTGGTGTTACAAAGATGTGCACAAACGTAGCAGTCCTGTCTGAACTGGGTAGATATCCTCTTTATATAAATTTGCTAACACATATGTTTATGTATTGGCATAGACTAGAGAATTCCCCATCTGATTTATTGAAAAGTGCTTATGCCGAGTTAAAAATGATTGAGAGTAAAGCTCAAACTAACTCCAATAATTCATGAATCTCTAATATCATTTTCTACAGCGAAAAATTGGGTATTGACCTAAATATATGTAAAAATTTAGGCAAAAATAAATTTAAAAGTTTACTGAAAAAACAGCTCAAATTAAATTTTCAAAATGATTGGAAGAAAATGCGAGATTTTTTTTTACAGAATCAAGGCAAATTGGACACTTATTTTTCATTCAAGAGGTCATTTGACTATGAAAATTATTTAGATTTAAAGCACCCCCAAAAACATTTGTTAACAAAATACAGACTCAGCAATCACTGTTTAAGAATAGAAACTGGTAGACATGAACGTTTTATCAATGTATGTGGTAAATATGAAATATTACCTCGACATGAGAGGATATGTTTATATTGTAATTCAAATTCTATTGAAAATGAAATGCACTTTCTTCTGGAATGCCCTCTTTACAATAACCTCAGAAGAGATATGACTGATTATATCAAAAAATACCCCAGTTTAGTTAATTTAAACAGAATAGATCTTTTTACATGGATCATGAGTAATGAAGATAGCAGTTTTTTATCTATTTTATGTGCATACCTTGATAAAGGCCTGCAACTTAGAAAATCAGAAAATTAGTTAAATACTCTAATAGATAGCAAAATTATCTCCCCTTGACCACTGACCCTTTCCTCATGCATTTGAACTATTATTATATGTTTCTTTAATCACTCTGTAATGTCTATGTCATGTTGTTATTACTGTTATGCTCTTAATGGGCCCTTTAATTTGGAAAAATAAAAATATTGTATATTGTGTTTTGTCCGAAGAACTATTAATCAAATTGGTGTGGCCTTGGTACCCATGAAACAAATGAATCCACAGTATTTGATCATTAGTTAATGAATCTACATGTACATGATCTATGATACATCACAGTGAAGATCAAATCACTTTCTTAATTGCCCATTTGTATATTATTGCTTTCTACAGTTAATACAATGTAAGATACATCAACATGATCAAACTGTTTAAAGATGCAGCAAAATCACCAAGATCATGATGCATACCTGCCAACCCTCCCGTTTTTAGCGGGAGACTCCTGCTCAAACTGCGAAATTCCAGAAATCTCCCGCTTTCCGATATTTTAACCTGCAATGACCTGCGTTCGTAATTCTCTGGCTTTTTCATTACTGTCAATAGAAATAAATAAACAATCGGCGATCTTTTGAAAACTTTGGTCAGTAGTTTTTATGTTGGATTTATAAGTAATCGAAACTCATTTCTGTCTGGACCAATCGGCAGTATAAAAAACAAGAAATAGATATACTTTATTTCCACTACTAATACACCATTTTATTGAATGATAATAATGTAAAAATAGATAGAAATTGTGTGCATGCATTTTTTGTCGTAAAAATGTCAAGCAGACTGAATGAAAGATTTTAAATTTTTATGACACTTGGCAATGAATCTTCATTTTGCACATCATGTTCAATCAACTTTTCGGTTTCTTCTGGTGGTCTGTACGACGTTTGAAAGCATGCTTAGTGTGGGTCTCACAACAAAATCAAAATATGGAATGTTATGAGTTATGAGACTCAGAGGTTTTGAAAAAGGCAAAAAAAAACACACCTTGTATAGATTAAAACCATGAATTGAAGAAATAAAGTATATCTGTTAACTGTTATTGTAGTTTTGTAGATGAATAAATAAACAGGTCATATATTTAACTGTTTAACTTGAAAATGTTGTTCGCGCAAAATCTCCCCCTCAGCTGTCATAGCTGAGGGGGAGATCTCCCTCTTTAAAGGTTTCAGAGGTTGGCAGGTATGATGACGTCATCTACATTTGTAACCCTGTGAATTATTACAGATTCACAGAAACTATTTTATATCATTTACTTTGAATTTCTATGACTAGAGTTTGTTTTAATGGTCAATAGCTATTGGGTGCACTAGTACTTTAATGTTAGATTATCATAGTTTTTAATGAAACATGATTCTTTGTCATAATATGTGATTCCTATGCTAATTTTATAATGCTTACAAAAGATATCTACTGAATTATAAATTATGACTTTGTTTTCATTTCAGGTGTAGGAAAAAGCAGTTTATTATTACGGTTTTCAGATAATACATTTGCTGGTAAGTACTGAATATCCATTGTTTTAGTTTCAGTGAAATGAAGTGAAATAAATATATACATCTTTTGTCATGGTTGTAAAGTATTATTGATGAGATACACAACCCAAAACTCAAAGGTTTGAACATGCCACCGCCTATGTGGTCTCAGGGTAGCGTGTTCACCTTGAATGGAGGAGGTCATTGGTTCTAACCCCAGCTGAGTCAAACCATAGACTATAAATATGGTAATTGCTGCTTCTCCTCTAAGCACCTGGCGGTAAGAAGTAAGAGCAAAGACTTAAGAGTCTGAATAATGTGTCTGGGTAAGGTGACTTGTGAAGTAGCAGGTTGAAGTTTCTAATGTAATGATATAAAACGAGGACTGATCATGCTGATGATATAAACCAATCAGAATTGAAAACATATGTGACATCATTAATATAGAGGCATCCATTGTTCAAAACCAGTTTGTAACTATGCACAAGCATGACAAGTAAAAGGAATATTTTTTTAGGGGAAAAAATTAGTTTCAAAGTGTTGCCATCTTGATAACGTATTTGAAATGAAGAAGTTCAATTTACAGCATTAATTATCCTAATAATCATAGACACCATAGAAATGTAATTCTATATTGAATCATAAATATTTCAGGAACCTATATAACAACAATCGGTGTAGATTTTAAAATCAGAACAGTAGATGTTGGTGGAGAGAAAGTTAAATTACAGATCTGGGATACAGCAGGTCAAGAGAGATTTCGTACAATTACATCTACGTAAGTATAGCTAGCCTCTCCAGCCCACTGAAAATATACACACAATATAGGTCAAGAGAGATTCTGTACAATTACATCTAGGTAAGAATAGTAAGGCTAAGCCTGTCCACCCACTGAAATTATCCACACAAAACATACAACAGGTCAAGAGAATTCTGTTCAATTACATTAATTTAAGTATAGCCTGCCTGTCCAGCCCACTGGAATTATACACACAAAACACACAACAGGTCAAGAGAAATTCAGTAAAGGGATATGTGTGATAGTTAAACCAAGTTTTATGTGGGCCCATCTTCAAATACAATACACTTATCTCTATTCTAATGCAAATTCAACAAATCAGTCCATTTTAAAGATTATTTTGGTGTAAAATTTCCCAAAAAGATGTCTCATTTTGGCAACTGAACAAGGTGAAGGTATATGTATGCCTCTTGTGTCAAACATAAATATAGGACGTTTAAAGGATCCTGTATGCTTTTGAATGTAATCAAATTTAACACAAAAAAAATTTAGGTAAAAAAATGTGAGGTTGTTATTTGTTTTTGAAGAAATCACAAGTAAATACATTTTCTGCAATTCAAAATGTCGGCTTTGAACCTTAGTCACAAACCTGTAGATCGAGAATTTTACAGCATTCATCATCAAATCAGAATCATTGATACAAAATAATTGCTTTAGAATTTCAAACATTTCAAAGGTACACATAGGGTAATTGTTGTGTATGATGTAACAAGTGGTGTATCTTATATTTTTCAGATATTACGGAGGCACATATAGGGTAATTGTTGTGTATGATCTGACAATTAGTGTACCTTATGTATTTCAGATATTACGGACACACATACAGTGTAATTGTTGTGTATGATCTGACAATTAGTGTACCTTATATTTTTCAGATATTACAGAGGCACACATGGGGTAATTGTTGTGTATGATGTGACAAGTGGTGAATCATTTGCAAATGTAAAACGATGGCTACATGAGATTGATCAGAATTGTGATGTAGTTAACAGAATTTTAGGTAGGTGTATATGTCACCAATCCACACATAAAACTTAGTGCCTATTATGTCACCACACAACTCTCCTTTCTTGTTTGGGGGATACACAGATTCGTTGAAATCTATTTTGAGTTTGTCAGTCCATGTGGCTGGCTTACACATCATTTTCTGTAGTTACATGTATGTATATTATAAAACAATCCAAATTTCTTGTTGTCCTTGTCAAAATTTGTCAGGACTGACATGGCTGATAAATTTTGGCATCTCTGTCAACATTTCTTAATCAAATACCGACCTATAAACTTGTTTCAACGTATTATGGGTATTAGTGCCTTAATGTCTATAATCAGATGGTAAACTTTTAATTATAGTATTATACACAGTAAAGGGTATTATTTATATTCATCTTTTAAAGTTTGTCAATGATATTTTAATGCATGCATTCCTATCAAATCTGTAAAGTTTACATGTAAGGTAGCATTACACAGTTAGGAAAAAAACTTTAAACTGACACTCATAATTTTAACCACCCTCTTTCCCTTGCTTTCTAACAAATAAGGCTTAATGTTTGTGTTATGTATGTGTATATGTATGGAAACTGCATCTTCATAGATTTGATTTCCAATAGTTAAAATGGTCATATATAATCTCCTTTTGGTGTAACCATGGTAACAATCTGCATTTATTTGATAGAAAAAATAGCAAAAAGAGGGGTGAAAATGTCACAAAAGTCCCCAAAATTTGGTCCAAAGTACAATTTTAATCCATTAGAGTGATACCTTTTCTGAAACCATTGACATTTATCTATCAAGAGGTTCAAAAAAAAAAATCATCAACATTTCACTAATTTTTCCATAAAAATTCAATTGAAAAGGTCGAGGGTCAAATATTTGTTGAAAAACACCACAATAATTTCTGGACCCATGTGATGGATGTGAAAATATGGACTGTCAAACAGAAAAATGGCCTATAAAACATGCAAAAAACAATCTTGATGTTCATATAAACCCACTTTGAAGGCTATATCATTCTTCAGCTATCTAAATATATAGGCATAGGTAGTATAGATAATACTTGTCACTGGACATTAAGCATGCAACAATCTATTTATTAAATATATGGTATAACTTTGTCTAACTTTTTCAGTTGGTAACAAAGATGACGACCCGGATCGTAAGGTTGTTTTAACGCAAGATGCACAAAGATTTGCTGAACAGATGGGAATACAGTTATATGAAACAAGTGCTAAAGAAAATAAAAATGTTGAAGAAGTAAGTAGCAGGTTTCTAGTTATTTTATCTATTGAGAAAAAGTTAAGCTCAGTCAATTTGATTATAATAAATGAAAATATTACTTTATTAAATTAAGTATTAATATAAACATGGAAATTTGTATACAATTTATCTGCCATAATACCAGAATTTTTTCACTGACACATACAGTAATAGATGTGAATTCATGAAACCCCTGTCAGAGAAATATTTGCATTTCAAGAAATAGAAATTTTCAGAATAGATTCTTCACTGGCCTCATTCTTTTTTGAGATAAAAACAAATTAAACTCAAACTAAGGGAGACAACTAATATTTATTTGCTCTTGAAAACAAACAATTCTATTCATTACATGCATTATAAAGATTAATTGTACAAGTAAATTGAAAAATTAAAGGAATGAACCTTTTGGCTTCTGTGTCCTTTCCTAGGGTGTGTTGTGTTGACATGGGCATTGTTTTAAGGTCAAGGAACAGTAAATGGGCTATGTCTTTTTTGTCTATGATTTTGTTAAAATTTGTGTACTACTTTAACACGTTGAACTATAACTGAAAATCGGTTTTATTTTTTTGAAATATTATTGAATGAATTCTTTCAAAATATATATGAAAAAGTTCTTTAATTAGTCTTGTTAAAATCATCAATCACCGATGGATAGATTTTTCTTTATAATTGGTATGTTGTTGAAACATGACTTACTTCGTTTTGCAAAACTTGATAAAAGTCTGTGATCATAAGGGCTGTTCTATAAAAACATACATTCTAAATGTGCCTGTCCCAAATCAGGAGCATGCAATTCAGTGGTTGTCATTTGTTGATGTACATTGTATATCATATTTGTTTTTCATTAAATTTTTTGTACATAAATCTGGCCATTAGTTTTCTGGTATAAAATGTTTTACATTTGTTACTGGGGCCACTATAGCTTGTTATGTGGTATGGGTTTTGCTCATTGTTAAAGGCTGTACAGTGACTTATGTATTTGCTTACATCTACTTCATTTGGTCTCTGGTGGAGAGTTGTCTCATTGGCAATTATACCACATCTTATTTTTATATGGGATCCAGTGAAGGCACTTTGAAATCTTATATATGGGTGTGTGTTTAAGTTTTGGTACAGTGTAAGAGAAATTTTAAAATTGTCTCTATAGATGGTTTCCCCGTTTTCAAAGTCCCTGGGTACAATGTATATTTAAAAGAAAACAGCAATAAGATAATGGATCATTTTTTCTGAAATGTTTTATCTTATGTTGTTTATATGTTTAAATAGAATCTCCAATATCAACACCTAGGTCAGCATTTTCAGTTTGTGTAATCATTTTAACTTTTTCATAATGTCTTTGTCTGAACATTGTCCACAAATTCAGTATTAAATCTGATGTGATAAAGGTTGAGGAGTTCTTTTCAAGTACACGTAAAACAAAGACGCCATCATCTCGCAGATGTTCCTGTGTGAAAAGTCGGGCTAATAGTATATCATTTCGAGAATGGATTTCTTTGCATATCTTTAAATGTTTCTTGATATACCAGAAGTTGTTTTCTTGACTACTGACATAATATATCCACGAAACGAAATTCAAACATGTCAGAGAGGCTAGTAAAAACAGCCAGAACCACTGAAACACAAATATTTTTTCATTCAGTAGATTCAGCGGCATAACACATTGTACGGTATATCTCTGTTGATTGGTTATCTGTCGAATTATAAAATCACACAATGTAACTCTTGGAAACCGCGGTGACTCATTCCATTCCCCATGTTTGATATAGTACTGGATAATCTCAAACCCAAAGTTATTATAATCCATAGCCATGAACTCATTCAGTAGAAAGAATTGTCCGATGACATTTACACAATAGAGAAACTTTATAAAAAGGTAGTAACCTGTCAGAAAAGTGCCTTCACGTTTTCCAAAACAAAAGCAGCAGATGCTTGAAATTTTATGTCGCAGATGAACTGCGAGGTTTTGTTTGTAATTCTGTTGGGTTAATATCCAGCAGTCAATATATTTTGCCATCAGCTTGATTTTCTTTTCCCTGTCGTCTGGTGGTGACATCACTGTGTCTTCTGCTAACGAAGTGATTTTATCCATTCTTATGCCTGAGTATCCATTTAACAGTCTCCATGTAATGTTAGGAATCTTGAACAATAGTGCTTGAAACATTAAAATGATTGGCACCCATTGATAGTAAGTCATTTCAGCTTCTTGTCTCTCGGAAATATCTTCTGGAATTTCGTCATAGATAGGAACATAATAAGTGTTGGATATCCAACACGTAGAATGAGTATATAGGTTAAACGGTTCTTTAAATTCAGCGGGGGTCCAACATTGTAACGGGTTCCCTAATATATACTGACCAGAGGTAATAACAATAGAAAAAAGTCCTAATAATGTAACAGTCCATATGTGGTTAATTCTATCGATCCAATCATCGTCTGATGTACCAAAGAGATAACTCCAGTTAGCAAAACTCCCTACCATACCTACGGCATCAAACCTAAAAAAATAAAAATCAATTGATGTCTATTAAATTCATAAAAAGAGACATTTTCCTGTTTTGTCCTTATTATTTCTTATGCATCTGAATTTTCATACTTTTAATAAGCTTATCTTAAGATAAGAAAACACATGAATATTACTGTGGATTCATTTATTTTCGTGGGTTCCAATTTTCGTGGATTGAGGGAAACTTGCTTTTCCGTGGATATTTGATTTCGTAGTTCTGCCAAAGTCTGCATATAAGACTATAGGAAATTTATTATTCGTTGAACATTTTATTTCGTAGTTCACCTGTAACAACGAAATCCATGAAAATTGGTACTCCACAAATAATAGTGAATCCACAGCATCTTCTTTTCAACAGTGTCCAGGCCTCTACAATAACTTTTTTTTTCAACTTGTCCAGTAGGACAAGTACATACCAAAATTTACTTGTCCGAATGAAATTGTAACTTGTCCAAAAAAAATCTTAATAATAACCTTTTTTGCATTCTAAGTTGATTCAAGGAACAAAATAAATTAAAACAATAGAACAGAATTTGATTTATATCTTTTGAAATACCATTCAAAAATATGAACCGAATACAACTGAATCTAGTCATGTCACAGGACTTAGGTTCTAGTTCATCAATGCCAAAGTCTCATCAGATTCTGCACATGAGGCACCGTATGATAGGCCTGTCAATGTACACTCATTGGATTTGTATCCTGGTTTTTTAAGTTGAAAAAAGTTTATTCAAATGCAATCAATAAAAAAAGAAGATGAGGTATGATTGCCAATGAGACAACTCTCTGCAAGAGACCAAATGACACAGAAATTAACAACTATAGGTCACCGTATTGCTAGTATCGTTTTTTCTATATATGATCAAATATGATTTTGTGAATTTAATGGTAAATAATTTTTCATTTTTATTTAAAAAATGTTTTTGTTAAAAAAATTACCGGTATGGTATTTATTATAAAGCAACAGAATAAGGTAGGAAAAACAGGTACTGATTTGTCTTGGTCCCGAAATGTCTGCTGCGAAATGTCTCCTGCATTGCCAAACTGTTTATTAATCATGTCTATTAAATATGTCTCCTACGGTGCCAAACTGTCTATTAAACTTGGAGCAAATGTTTCTGAGCTGGTGACGAACTGTCTTGTAAAGTTACCTTATCTACGAAGCGCATCGCGCATCGCTGATTCGGATCAGTAAGACTGGTTTCTGAGAATAGTATGCATTTTACCTGTTAAAAAGTACCTGACAAAGAACCAGTTTTATATTATCCATGTCTTGTTTTCATCTTCTTTTCTTGTTTTTTGTTTATAATTACTTTGTTCATAAAAGTTGGATTAAATTTATTTTCTGCAGAATAATTTTATTTGTCCCGTTGGACAAGCTTTATATATCTTTTACTTGTCCGACCTTTTTTCCCTCTGGTACCGGACAATCGGACAAGCGTTATTGTCGAGCCCTGGTGTCAAGTTACATATACATAAATGTATTTGTCAATTAATGTGACAGTATTTTGAGCAAATTATTCAGGCATTCCAATTTTAAACCAATTCAATAGAGAACAACCTGCAGCTGATAAATGCCAAAAATTAAATTAAATTAAAAAAAAAATAAAAAAACCATTAACTTACATGTTTCCTTGAGTGATTTAATCAGAATTTCAGATCGATGTCCATTGTCCACGTCTCTTTTTTCTTATACATTCAAAACAAGAAATTAATTTAATTCATTGTATTAATTTGTGTTTATTTATTATTAAATTAAGCTTCAAAGATTATGAAATTAAAATGTCTAATCTATGTTCAATCCATATTTGTTAGTGTACTGTAAAGGATTACAAATTTACTTTTATGTTTAAAAATTAATCTTATTGATTGTTACAATGCTTAGATTGTACATAATATAGTAAGTACATTATAAAATTGTTATTAATGAGTCAATAGGTAATACAGTTATCAAACTGCAACAGGCCTGTGTGGCCGAGTGGTCTAAGTAGTCGAGTTACTGTATCACTTGTCTGTCAACACTGAGATGAGTTTGAATCCCTCACCTGGCAGGTGCGCTTGACTCCAATCTTAATTGACTAGGATTGTCATTTTTGTCGAGCCTGCGACTTTTGTCGCAGAAAGCTCGACATAGGGATAGCGAGGCGGCGGCGGCGGCGGCGTTAGCTAACTTCTTAAAAGCTTTATATTTTAGAAGATGGAAGACCTGGATGCTTCATACTTTGTATATGGATGCCTCATGTTACGAAGTTTCCGTCAGTCACATGTCCAATGTCCTTGACCTCATGTTCATGGTTCAGTGACTACTTGAAAAAAAAGTTCAGATTTTTTGTAATGTTAAATTCTCTCTTATTATAAGTAATAGGATAACTATATTTGGTATGTGCGTACCTTGCAAGGTCCTCATGCCCGTCAGACAGTTTTCACTTGACCTCGACCTCATTTCATGGATCAGTGAACAAGGTTAAGTTTTCGTGGTCAAGTCCATATCTCAGATACTATAAGCAATAGGTCTAGTATATTCGGTGTATGGAAGGACTGTAAGGTGTACATGTCCAACTGGCAGGTGTCATCTGACCTTGACCTCATTTTCATGGTTCAGTGGTTATAGTTAAGTTTTTGTGTTTTGGTCTGTTTTTCTTATACTGTATGCAATAGGTCTACTATATTTGGTGTATGGAATGATTGTAAGGTGTACATGTCTAGCTGGCAGGTGTCATCTGACCTTGACCTCATTTTCATGGTTCAGTGGTCAAAGTTAAGTTTTTGAGTTTTGGTCTTTCTTTCTAATACTGCATGCAATAGGTCAGCTATATTTGGTGTATGGAATGATTGTAAGGTGTACATGTCTAGCTGGCAGGTGTCATCTTACCTTGACCTCATTTTCATGGTTCAGTGGTCAAAGTTAAGTTTTTGAGTTTTGGTCTTTTTTTCTAATACTATATGCAATAGTTCAACTATATTTGGTGTATGGAAATATTTTATGATCTATATGTCAGTTACGCAGGTTTTATTTGACCTTGACCTCATTTTCAAGGTTCATTGCTCAGTGTTAAGTTTTTGTGTTTTCGTCTGTTTTTCTTAAACTATAAGCAATAGGTCAACTATATTTGTTGTATGGAAGAATTGTTAGCTGTACATGCCTGCGTAGCATGGTTCATCTGACCTTGACCTCATTTTCATGGTTCATTGGTCAATGTTTAGTTTACTTGGTTAATGTTAAGTTTATGTGACAGTTGTAATAAAGCTTTATATTTAGGACTATCAACATAATATCAATGATTAGTAAAGAAGGCGAGACATTTCAGCGTGTGCACTCTTGTTTCAACCAAAGGTTGGTCGTTCTCTCTGGGCACTCAGGTTTCCTCCACCAGTGAAAACTGTCTGACATGCAATAGCACAATAGTGCTGAAAGTGGCATTAAATACCAATCAATCAATCAATCAATATTACACTGCACAATATTATTAGTCCCCTACCAACGAAGTCGAAGGGGACTTTAGGTTTGCACTCCATCCGTCTGTCCATCCGTCAGTCCGGCAAATCAGCTTTCCACACTTTTTTTCTTCGTTCTTGAAGATATTGATTTGATATTTAGTATATAGTTTTATCATGACAAGTTATAGATCAATTTCGAATTTTGTTCTGGTCTGATGATTTAGTCCAGAGTTATGGACCATAACTCTGGACCATATCTAATGTTAGAGTACTATGTTAAACCATATTTTGTACAAAGGGAGATAACTCATTTTTGGTCGAGCCTGCGACTTATGTCGCAGAAAGCTAGACATAGGGATAGTGATCCGGCGGCTGCGGCGTTATCTAACTTAAAAGCTTTATATTTTAGAAGGTGGAAGGTCTGGATGCTTCATACTTTGTATATGGATGCCTCATGTTACGAAGTTTCCGTCAGTCACATGTCCAATGTCCTTGACCTCATTTTCATGGTTCAGTGACTACTTGAAAAAAAAGTTCAGATTTTTTGTAATGTTAAATTCTCTCTTATTATAAGTAATAGGATAACTATATTTGGTATGTGTGTACCTTGCAAGGTCCTCATGCCCGTCAGACAGTTTTCACTTGACCTCGACCTCATTTCATGGATCAGTGAACAAGGTTAAGTTTTGGTGGTCAAGTCCATATCTCAGATACTATAAGCAATAGGTCTAGTATATTCGGTGTATGGAAGGACTGTAAGGTGTACATGTCCAACTGGCAGGTGTCATGTGACCGTGACCTCATTTTCATGGTTCAGTGGTTATAGTTAAGTTTTTGTGTTTTGGTCTGTTTTTCTTATACTGTATGGAATAGGTCAACTATATTTGGTGTATGGAATGATTGTAAGGTGTACATGTCTAGCTGGCAGGTGTCATCTGACCTTGACCTCATTTTCATGGTTCAGTGGTCAAAGTCAAGTTTTTGAGTTTTGGTCTTTTTTTCTAATACTATATGCAATAGTTCAACTATATTTGGTGTATGAAAATATTTTATGATCTATTTGTCAGTCACGCCAGTTTTTTTTTTTACCTTGACCTCATTTTCAAGGTTCATTGCTCAGTGTTTAGTTTTTGTGTTTTGGTCTGTTTTTCTTAAACTATAAGCAATAGGTCAACTATATTTGTTGTATGAAAGAATTGTTAGCTGTACATGCCTGCCTAGCATGGTTCATCTGACCTTGACCTCATTTTCATGGTTCATTGGTCAATGTTTAGTTTACTTGGTTAATGTTAAGTTTATGTGACAGTTGTAATAAAGCTTTATATTTAGGACTATCAACATAATATCAATGATTAGTAAAGAAGGCGAGACATTTCAGCGTGTGCACTCTTGTTTAAAAGACATTCTTTGTTAAATTATTTGAAGATTTTTTTGGCAGGTTTGTTTGTTATTTAGTATAAACTAATTTTCTGAATGCTATATATATAAAAAAAAAAACTGTGAAAAGAAATCCTTTAATTAGATAATAATCTATTTGTATTAATGTATATATTTCAGTACATTACATTGTATAGATAAAAGTTGTTGACATTTTATAGATAAGTTACAAATCTTTGTTAGTTTGTGACAAATGAAAGAAAAAATATTTGGAACTATTAATTATATTTGATTATAATTTGAAAATAGATATACACTGCATTACATCATATCTAATTTTAGAGAACTATTAATCATATCTTATGTTTTTTTCACTCATATAATCAGTTTTCCACACTGTTTTTAGTCATGCTTGTTATTTTTAATGGGAGCATCTTCATACAAATTTTAGGACCAACACATTGTTATACTTTATTTTGATATTCTCTTCTTATATTTCAGATGTTTCTTGCAATAACAAAATTAGTATTACAGTCCAAAAAAGAACAAATGAAAAAGCAGGCAGATCAACCATCAGATTCAATTAAAATTAATGGAAGATCGAAAGACAAACGGACAAAAAAATGTTGTTGATGTTTGTAGTCTATTGTATTTTATTGTTGTAATGTATCTGCAATCTGTATAAAAGGGAATTAATCCTGTTAACAAAGGGGAACAACTCTAGAGTAAAGTTAGTCCTGTTTACAAAGGGGAACAACTCTAGAGTAAAATTAGTCCTGTTTACAAAGGGGAACAACTCTAGAATTGAAAAGTAATGTGAAAACATTCAATGTATAAATTCAAGGGGATTTATGCTGTGCATTGAATACTATTTGCATTGACTTATCATTTAATGATTATTTGCGAACATTCTATACAATTGTACTCTGTGACTGCTACTCAAAATATTACTATATTGATTAATTTGTTTTAAGTAAAAGATATTTATTTTAAGATTACAATGAAAGTTCACCTACATGTAGTTCAAAAATTAAAATGTGTTAAGAAACATTAAGTTAAGGATGTTTGTGTCTGAAATTCAAAGTGATACCATTTTCATAAATGAGATGTTTTTAGTAGATAATGTATGATATATTCAAATTATAGAAAATAGAATTGGGTATAAATGCTTGTTTTTAATCTACAAGATTTTGAAAAATGAGAATTTATGGTCGGGGTAAAATGTCTCTGGATTTTTCGTATGAAATGTATAAAGAGAATTCGAAGGAGTCATTGTTAGGCTGGATGAAAAATATATTAAAAGTAACCAGAATTTAAAATATTTTTACCAGGCATGTATTGGAGGTGCAAGATCTGAAGAAATAATGTGGAGTATGGGGGTCATTAGGCAAACACTTATGCATAAGCTTAGGAAAATCCAGAGATGTTTCTAAAATACATTAAAGAAAAGAAGGCAAATTCCTTTAAATTAACTTTTTACTAACATGCTGAATTTAGATTAGGCTTGCTTATATGCTGGTTCATATGAGTAAATGGGAATATTTTAAATGTTGATATTTTTTAACTGAAGGTAACTGCCCTTGACATCAGGAATGGATTTCATTCCTTTTTTTTTTTTTTTAAGTATGAGAGTTGGCATGAGATATGTGTTTCATCAATAAATTAAGAAAAAAATATTAAAAAAAATATTTTTTGTCTTGAGATTATTTGAATGATCACTGAGTTGAAATTAAGAGTTGATAAGGATAGTAAGTCTCCCCAATGCAGATCAACATTTAAGGTAAAGAAATGTGATGTTGACATGTGTAAAGAAATTTCGCTTCATACAGATTCATTTTTTTTTATAGGCATATTGTATAAACATAAGCTATATTGATTGAAGATATGTACCATATGTGTATACTTTTATTAGTGGAGGTCAATTTTTCCTGATTCGACAGAAGTCTTTGGCTCAAAGATTGTTAAATAATTGTCCATAGTTTTTTATACGACGGCAAAAAAATTTTGTGGTTGTATATTGGTATGACATTGGCGTCATCGTTGTTGTCCGAAGACACATTGGTTTTCGCACTCTAACTTTAGTTTAAGTGAATGGATCTCTATGAAATTTTACCATAAGGTTCAATACCACAAAAGGAAGGTTGGGATTGATTTTGGGGGTTATGGTACTAACAGTTAAGGAATTAGGGGCCAAAAATAAGCATTTTTGTAACTTCCAGACATAACTTGTGTGTTAGTGTATGGATCTCTCTGACATTGTACCACAAGGTTCCATATCACAAAGGGAACGCTGGGATTGATTTTGGGGGTAATTGCCTCCAAATTTTAGGAATTAGGGGCAAAAAAAGGGGCAAAAAACAAGCATTTTTCTAGTTTCAGGACAATAACTTGTGTGTAAGTGTATGGATCTTTATGAAATTGTACTACAATGTTCCATATCACAAAGGGAAAGCTGGGTTTGAGTTTGGGGGTAATTGCCCTAAATGTTTAGGAATTTTGGGCCAAAAAGGGGCCAAAAAACAAGCATTTTTCTAGTTTCCAGACAATAACTTGTGTTCATGTGTACGGATCTCTCTGAAATTGTACTGCAAGGTACCATACCACAAAGGGAAGGCTGGGATTGAGTTTGGGGGTGATGAATCATAAGGGTTTTTTTTTTCTGTATAATTTTCCATTTTAAATTGGTTATTTCTGATTTATATATAAAAGCAAATAATAATGATATGGTTTGAATAGGTAAATTAAAAAAATTTAAGTTCTTAGACCACATTCATTCTGTGTCAGAAACCTATGCTGTGTCAAATATTTAATCACAATCCAAATTCAGTGCTGAATGTTGTGTCCATACTTGCCCCAACTGTTCAGGGTTCGACCTCGGCGGTCGTATCAAGCTGCGCCCAGCAGAGCATTTTATTGATTCAGAGTTACTGAAAAGAAGTATTATATCTGTCAGTCAAACGATACTTTTTCATAAGAATCAAAGCACTTTTGAAAAGGTGGATTTTCTTACCAGGCAAGCAATGGTATTTGATGTTAGACAAAAAATGAAAAGTTTCTTCGATACTGAATTTTGTTGTGTCATCTTCTTCTTTCATTAAGATAATAAAAAATATTCATCTTAAAGTCATGGTTCCCATGACCCATGAAATCTACATAAAATTAATATCCCATATATTAACATGATGATTCCCAGTGGGGGGGTGTTTCATTGGGTTGGAATCCCCCTTTTTTGACTATCAATGCATTTGAATGGGGACATATGGTTGAGAACACCCCCCCCCCCCCCCTTTATTCTGGGTTGGAATTCCCCCTATTAGAAATGGCTGGATCCGCCCCTGTGATTTTAAGTCTTTTATTGTCCTCAGATATTTTACAAATATTTTTTGTCTTTAATTCGAACTGCTGTATAATATTTAAAATTGCCTGCTTTTGGTATTCCCTGGGTTTCTCTCTTTTTTCTCTTTGATTTTCAATTTAAAATGGCTCTGTTTACTTCCTCTTAGACAGAAAGTATTCATTATGACATAGCACTGCTTTTAGGCTATTTGTTCAAAGATCAGTTAAAAAAAACTCTTATTCCTTGGATATCAAATTTTGCAGTTTGTTTTTTCATTAATTAAAATATATTTCTTGCTGATACCTGCAATTTGACCTTATAGAGTTGCTGAAAATTAGTGTTCAACAAAAATCAAAAAATAAACTGTAACAAAGAGTTACAATAAAAGAAAGGTTGTAAAATTATCAGGGCTGACAAAAAAATTTGTGGACAAATTTTTGCATCCTACTTTGACAAAATACATGGCAGTAGGATGAAACTTTTCCAATAAAATTCATTGTGTTTTGTAGAAAAAAAAATAGAGATTTTTATATGTTCTACAATTTTCAATTTTTTGGCAAATAAGATGTTTAGTAATATATTTGTTTATTTGATGTGGCAAATATGTGATAATTTCCTCTGAAGTGAAATATTTGAATTTAAATAAAAATGTCATTTGTGCATAAAAACTTGATATCTCAAGTCACATTGAGTAAAAATATTATAATTGCAAATTCAATTTCAAAAAATAAAAGTCTTAAAGTGTGTTTACGTGGGAAGAATTTCCATCAGATTTAATACCATTGCCTAGGTAAATCGTACAGCATTCTGTTCACATGATAAAATTGTATCATGTAAATCCATCTTTAAGGTTTATGAAACTTGTCCACAAACTTGCATCAGTCCTTGTACTAATTCTTTGGGAACAAATTTTTCAGTTATGAAATTTATACATTTCATTTTCATATACCGACACCATTTTCTTTACAAATCATACCATACATGCTGCATCAAAGCTGACTTCATCAACCATTTTGTTTCCACATGCCCTTTATTCTAATTGGATACATTCATTTATAGACACAGATAGATATTTTTGTTTAGTTTATGAGAAAGTCCCATTTTATGATCTTTAATAACTTCATAATGTCATCCAAAGAAAATTTTGAAAAGTGCTTGTAATGGCATAATACTTTTTATTAAAAATAAATAGTTCCTGGTGTTGGCTTATTTTGAATACCGGTACTTTTACTACGAAATATCTTTTAGTCTTAGTCTTTTAGTGCTATTTCAGTATTGATGTAGTTCACCTTTAAATACTCAAAATATCGCTAGCATTTGTTCGTGTGATTACTAGGCATATAAATTAAACATATTTATGATTACATTCCAAAATATCTAATGATTTCCGGATAAAAAAAAGTATTTATTTAGATGGGAATAAAAGGATATACTGGGTACATGACAACATCCAAACAACACCAAAAACCCAAAAAGAAATAAATACACGTTATCGCTACCGGTATTTGTCTGCCATTACTGGACATCTGAAAGGTTCCCGTAAAATTTTGACATCATAATAGAAAATATCTGACGCCACAATGGAAAAGTGATTGTTGTATGACGTCAAGAGTTCAAGCGGCACAGATTTCTAAATAGCGATAAGATCTATTGGTAACCATAAACATACAGTCTTCTATAATAGGCATGTTGTGTGTCTATACAATACATTATGTTCTAAATCAACCTGAGCCTACTGAAGTATGGGAAAGGAGGGAGTCTCATCCTGAATTCCTGAGAAAATAAATGTCAACTCTTGAATTCCTGTGAAAATAATGTGTTCGTTGCAAATTCAAAGGGTCAATCCCATATTCCCTAAAAAGGTCCTTCCGCCCATTCAAAGTAGTAAGTAGATATAACAGATACTAAGTAAACACAGATCTGTCATCTATAACAACTTCCCTTAAATGACAAAAAAACATGTTATGACAACCAATATCCAGGTTCCTGACTTGAGACAGGGACATTAACATTTATTAAGACACTTTATGATTTACCAAAATCTAACAAATGACTGTGCAAGAATAGACAGACATTATTGATTATATGAATGCCACAACAGACAATTTGTAATTGTATGATTATCAGTACTATTTATATAAGGGCCCATCACCTTAGAAGAATATAAAATGCTGTGATTTATTAATACTTTTTCTTCTTTGTGCCTTTTGTAATAATTTTTTGCCAATGTTTAATGTTGATTAAGAAAATAAATATTTGCAATAGCTTGGGAAAGGATAATGTTGACTGTGTTGAAGATGGATTGAAATTAGAGGGTTTTTTTATTTTTGTTCGAAATTATTTTTTTACTTATATTATTTTATTTTTATGCAAATTTGTTTAATGGTTTTGGTGAACAATCGAAGTTATTGTATTCAGAATTACATTTGTACAAGTGATTGTTAAAGGAGAAAAGTTTTTTTTTTTATGTAGAAGCAAAAATTATAGAGATTCTTTGGAAATCCTGCTCTATCTACTACACAATTTCATTTCAAGGGTATTTATATTAAAATAAAATTAACAAAAATTACAGTATACTATCATGTCTTTTCCAAGAATAAACTGAAATCATTTATCAGAAAAGAAAAAAAAAGAGAGAAAAATTATCCATACATGGTAGTCCAGTTTATGGAGTAGCTCTTTCAATATAACAATTACATTAAAATAACATTTTAACTTTGATCACATAATATGTTATTTATTTTGTCTGTTCTTTTGTCTTTTTATATTATATTGCCATAAATAATTGTAATAATTGCTCATTATTTTGTATTTGAAGGAATTTTGTTTAATAGTAAATTTTATGTCACATGTATAATATAATCATGCATATTCTCCATGGACATTTTTGTTGTAGCGTTTGAGCATGCCCAGTAAAAATTCTCTTCTACATGGACTTTACCAGTAAACTGAAAATAGAAAAGGAAGAAATATTCGATTATTTTATTGGAAAATATTGATTTATACCATGTAGAATATCTTACTTGGCTTGCTTTCAAATTTGCTACTAAATGAATCAATGTTTATTTTATCTATTTGACCTGAAGGGTCATGCATCTACCAATCATTTTAAACTTAGAATCTGTTACTCTGTTTTCATAAACTTAATCAAGATTTTACTATTTGTTGAAATCCAGAATTATGTGTAACTGTACAAATCAATCATGAAAATCTCCCTAATATTCTTATTGAAAAAACCTAACTAAAAACCAATTGTGCAATCTTAAACCCCAAAAAGTAAATAAAAAACATTGACTTAATTTTAAACAAGGGAAAGACTGAAATAGAGTGTTAAAAATTGTTCTTTGAAAATTAAACTAGCTGATATTCACTTCACACGATATATATAAGAGTCTAGCCAACATATACGTTGGATTCGTTAATATTTGTGGGATACCAACTTACATAGATTTCGTGGGTATAGGTTACTTTCCTATAGGCTTGTATGCATGATTTTGGCAAAACCATAAAATCAAATGTATATGAAAAAGCAATTTTTCCTCAAACCTCGAAAATGGAATTCATGAAAATAAATGAATCCACAGTATGGTATTCTGAGAAAACATTCTGCGACTCTTTTCACAAAAAATCTTACGATCAATTTTGATCGTAAGTTATACTGAAATGTGTATGACTTTTGAAGTTTTTTTGTGAAAAGAGCCGCTGATTATTTTTATATTTGTTCATGTGAAATGGTTTCTGTTTATGAATAATGCAATTCGAAATGTCTTCCCAGACTACCATGTTGGTAAAAATAGAGAAATAGAGAAATAAGAAGAAAAAAAAGTTACATTAGTTTTTTGTTTTAAATTAGGGACACTAAATGCATTTCTAGCAATTATTAAAAGATCTATATCTTGTAATTATTTATTGACATCTCAGGTGACTTATTAGAAACAATCTACAAGGGATCAGTATTAGTACAGAAAATTCTGAAATTTAAGCAAAACTTTAAAGAGGTTAATCCTAGTCTTTTCTATGTAAGGCTGTGTTCAACTGTTTCTGATAGGAAGACATTGTGTGGTGTGAGGCAATTGATTTTTTGTCAAAGAAAATGGCAGTCATGTCTTCTGAAACTTTATATCATCGCACAAAATAGTATCATATAGTGGTACCTCTCAGAACACTTCATTCTTTAGAATGCAGGAATTAAAATTGGACAAAGATGCAAAATAAGCTAAAAAAAAAAATATATTATGTTTGAATTAAAAAAGAAACACATTAATTTAAGCCAAAATCTTGAGTTTCATACACATTGAATGCTTAATTTCTGTATGAAGAAAAAATTTCAAGGTAGCTTTCTTTTTTCTTTTGGAAATGAGCAGCCTTGCCAAGTTGGTGGTCTGTTGATAACATGCTCAACACAAGTGTAGGAGGCTATGGATTTAATCTTGTGCAAGGTCAAACCAAATACTTTAAAGTAGATTTTTGTAGATTCCCCAAAGTAAGGACATGGCATATAGGAGTAAGAGCAAATACTAAAGGCTTGGGAGTCCAAATAATATGTTATAGGGGTTACATATCTATTGCAAAATGATACATTGTGAACAAGCATTTTAAATCCAGCTCAGCATGTCAGCCTAGTTCAAAGCAGGGTTCATATGCATATCATATTATGATCATGAATATGCATGTAATACTTGCTGCTGGATGTCAAACTCCTGTCTATCCATCTATCATTTCTATCGAAAATCATTTTGTAGATGTGCTATCATTTTCTTGTGCAAAAATTTTAAACCTTTTATGTGTGTGGCCTCCTAGGCAACAATTTTACACAGTGTAAGATATTATACAGTTATAAACAACCAAAGGGCATTATGGTCCTTATGGATGTTATGTCCATGTAAATAATCCAATTGTAAATTGTATACAAATTAAGTATTGTAAATTTATTGTTAAGCAATAATAATTTTTAGATAAAATCTATATATAGGCTTAATCATGTCAATGTTTATAGAAAAAAAATGAATAAAGTAAAATTGACATTTTTTATATATTTTTTGCTTACAGTTTAACAAAGATGGCATTCTATTTAAAATTCTTGCTTCCTCAAGGTAATTTTAGCATCCCAATTGTGAACTTTTTATTTCTATGTAACAACAATCCAGCAGTGTCTGCATATGGAGTATATATCTCCCAGTTGTTATGATATTCCAGAACTTGCATTTCCTACCATGATTTCCTTGATAGATGGTTCCTACTTCATACAAGGAAGCTATTCAAACAACAATAGTTCAAAGTGGTGAAGTTGAAGTCATCCCTTCAAATATTTTACGGACACCATCACGAGTTGGTTGACTGTTGTGGAATATCGGTTTCACATATGAAGACAGATGTGTTCCAATTGTCGTAAACACAATCCTGTCCTCTATTCCTGGAAAGTGACCTACCAAATAAGACATGTAACCAGGTTTGTACTTACATGAATAACACAAAGGGTGCCACATGAAGAGCAGGATTTTCTCATCGTTTTGGAGCACCCATGGTTTTTTAATGGTTTTTTTTAAGGCTCAGTCTTTTGTTTTCTATTGTGTGTTTTGTCGACTTGTTGGTCTTTTGGTCATTTTTCTTTTGCCATGGCATTGTCATTTTTGACTTATGAGATTGACTATCCCTTCGGTATCTTCAACATTTTTTTAATTTCCAATTTCTTACAAAAGTACACTCTCTTTGGGAAGCAAGAGTTGTCCCTCTTTTGGAAAGGTACAATAATGTATATCGTTATCATTTGAAATTTGTATGTTAATTTTGACCCATAGAAAAAATACCAGGCAATTGTTCAAAAAATATTATAGAGCATTGTAAATCCAATAAAATTCCAAGTGTCAATAAAGATAAGGTTCAAGAAATATTTGAAGATATACTGTGAACAGTTTAAGGTAGAATGACAATATCTGGGCCAGAAGAAAAGTATGTCATGGAATCAGAGTAAAAAATATTATTAATGTATATACACAATTATGTAAATACGTAATTTGATTTATTATATACGTTATTTTTGTATATATGAAATCAATTTATTCATATACATAAATTAGTATTTTTTAACTTGATTCCACGCCCTAGAAAAGACATTACACAAGAACAGTCAATAAAATACAGCACATAAAGCTTATGATCTGGCAACATGAACCCACCAAAAATCAGGAATGAACTTTGGTAATTAGAAAGGGTAAGCATTTCCTGCTCATTTTGATGGATGGTAAACATGGCTTCCAGAGGCAATCTTTGGTTTTGATTGGCTAATTTTCAAAAATGTCTTTGAAACTACATGTATGAGGCAGAATTGTTTAAAAATTTATAGGATTGGTGATTAAGACTAACAAATGATCCTCATTTACTGTTGATTGAAATGGCGTTGGTTGCACATATTTTTTAATTGAGACCCTTAATGGGAAATATATTTTCTTCTCAAACTACATTCATTGATTTCATATATTGTGAAAATTATGTTCATTGGTGGATTTTGATGTTCACTTTGGCCTTTTATATACTGTGGATTCATTTATTTTCGTGTGTAACAATTTTCGTGGATTGTGGAAAACTTGCATTTTCGTGGATATTTTATGTTGTGGTTTTGCTGATCTCTGCACACAAATTTGTAATTTCGTTGAACATTTGAATTTGTGGTTCATCTGCACCCACGAAATCCACGAAAATTGGTATCCAACGAATTATAATAAAACCACAGTAACCTACTTTTTTGGCTTCCATGATGTCCTACTCATGAACTTGCATGAACTAATATCTTCCAACTTGTATTCATTGACCATATAAACTTGATCCATCATCTCTATTTTCTTAAAATCAACTGGAACTAACCTGATGACTTCAATATATTAAGCAAGACTTTTGTCACCTTCCAGTATTAAGAAACAATAACAAAACCAGCAATGTTGTTATTTTTAACTAAACTTTATTTTAAAACTTAAAACATATTCAACAATAATATTAAAAGCACCTAAGTTTAATCAAATAAAGTTAAATAAACTGAGCATTCAACTGAACACTTAAGGGGGGTACCCAACACTATGACTATAATATGTTTGGCTTGTTTAATTTTCATAAAATTTTGACAAAATATTTACTTTGACCTGTGGACAAAAATATCAAAATTTTAAGAAATTTGAACGACACAATTTACAGGAATAATTTCATTGGATATATAGCAGTCTGTATAGTGACAAACACTAATTTTGATCATTGAGAAGCTTGATTTTTTTTACTATTAATATAGGATTAAAGAATTCATCTGATTTTTAAAGAGTTAACTCCCTTAGGTGTTCTGTACCCCTTAAGGGGCTGCTATCTTGGATACTTTGCTTTGTTTATGTTTTGGTATCCTATGTTTTTAGAATTTGAGAAAATTAAATCAAAAATGAGTCTTAAAAAATATTGATTTGAACTTACAATTTCTTTAAACATCTTATTGGTAACAAACATGAAAAGGAATTCGGAAACAAATTTTTGAGGTTTGAAATGGGATAAAAAATCTAAAAATAAAATTTCAATTAGTCTGATAATCTCTTTATTCACTGTTAGTCATTTAATTCATAAATCCAATAACAATAATTCTTAATGTGTTAAACATGTTGTTTTATGGAATACACAATTTGTAGCTTTTCTGTTGATGACCTGAGTATTATAATCAACTATAATGTCTTCATGCATATTACCTATTATGACTCTACCAATCAAAAGTGAAATTGATACCACATGCATTAAAATTAATAAATAAATAATATTATGTTCAGTCTGTCATAGCAATTCTATTCTCTAATCCTTTTTAAAAGCTGAGATATAATTATCAATTTATTTATATGAAATTCTATTGAACATATATTGTCTACACTTAAAAAAAAATACTTCAAGGTGTGGCAAAAACCTAAGTATTGTTTTGAGAGCTTAATATATGAAAAGGAGAGTAGTTTGGATTTAAACCACCCACTGACATGTCTTTTCATTATTTCCAAATGTGTAAGTACAAAGTGTAACTAGAGGCTATCAAGAGCCTGTGTCGCTCACCTGTATTTACTGATGCTTTGGAAATCATGTAAAATAAGGTTAAAATCATAATTAATAGTATTAGATATTAGATATTATAATGATATCTAAGATAATAACAAAAAACTGCACAATTTTTGTAAAATTACTAACTCAGGGGCAGCAACCCAACAACGGGTTGTCAGATTCATCTGAAAATTTCAGGGCAGATAAATCTAAATCTGATGAACATTTTTGCCACCTGTCAGATTTGCTCTAAATGCTTTAGTTTCAAAGATATAAACCGAAAACTGCATTTTACCCCTATGTTCTATTTTTAACCAAGTTGGCCATGATGGTTGGAAGGCGGGGTCATCGGACAAAATTTTTAAACTAGATACCCTAATAATGATTATGGCCAAGTATGGTTAAATTTGTCTCAGTAGTTTCAGAGAAGAAGATTTTTGTAAAAGATTACAAAAATTTTTGAAAAATTGTTAAAAATTGACTATTAAGGGCAATAACTCCTAAAGGGGTCGACTGACAATTTTGGTCATGACAACTTATTTGTAGATCTTACTTTGCTGAACATTATTGCTGTTTACAGTTTATCTCTATCTATAATTATATTCAAGATAATAACCAAAAACTGCAAAATTTCCTTAAAATTACCAATTCAGGGGCAGCAACCCAACAACAGGTTGTCAGATTTGTCTGAAAATTTCAGGGCAGATAGATCTTGACCTGATAATCAGTTTTACCCTATGTCAGATTTACTCTAAATGCTTTGGTTTCAGAGATATAAGCCAAAATCTACATTTTACACCTATGTTCTATTTTTAGCCATGGCGGCCATCTTGGTTGGTTAGCGGGGTCATCCGACACATTTTTTAAACTAGATACCCTAAGGATGATTGTGGCCAAGTTTGGTTAATTTTGGCCCAGTGGTTTCAGAGGAGAAGATTTTTGTAAAAAGCTAACGACGACGGACAACACCGACGACGGATGACGGACGCCAAGTGATGAGAAAAGCTCACTTGGCCCTTCGCGCCAGGTGAGCTAAAAAAAGGTGTGCCATTTGAGCATGACCCATAACTCCAGATCAAAAAATATAAAAATATAAAAAAAAAAAATTAAAAAAAGGAGGTAGCCTTTACTGGTTGTAATATTATAAAATTTCATAATATTGGGTGCAAGAAATTTGAACATTGTACTAGAGACACTTAAATAGTAAATTGTTTCACAACTAAAGTCACATACCTCTGGAGCAACAATTTCACATATTTTCTAGATCAAAAGTGAGAACTAAATAGTGTGGAATAATTTTGGCAAAATCCATAGTGTTATCATGAGACTTGCTACAAACTGTCAATTATAATTACTCTTAAACAAGTTTACATAACTCATCAAATAATCATGAAAATCTAGAGGTAAATTAACTACATATAGAAAACAAAATTAAAACATTGTGTAAAACTTTCAGAAAGATCCAATAAAGCAAATTTGAGTCATAAAGAAACAAACATTAAATTGTCAAAGTTACAGCATCATTACTCTTGAATGTCAAATCTGAAATTTTATCAACATTAAAATGCAGCTTTTCTACATAACACCAAACATTGTGTAAAAAGTAAAAAAAAAAATCATAAAAAACTTGAGCTTTCACAAGATATACATGTGCAGACAAATAGCCTGAGTATCATATTTGTGTGTTGTTAAAGGATACAGCAACCCAACAAATGCTTTTTTTTCAAAGCCAAATGATAAACAAGGTGTCTGTAAAAATTGTTATAATGCTTTCTATGGTTTTCAATGAGTAACACAACCTAATACACAATCCAATTCGTACTAAATGACTTTCTTAAAACTCACTTCCGAAAGTCCAAATCTGATTTCAAATTACAATTAAATACAGATTATTTCCCTTGTTGGGAAGTATAATGGCATGAATACTGATTCGCTGCAGTGCTGAGCGACTGTGAGAAGTAAAATAGAAAACAATGCGTTACTTTAGTTAAACAAACATTTCCAGCTTGATAATTGAATTTGATAACAAGTATGTTGGAAGACAGAATATAATAAATAATTTATATATTTGTACAAACCAAATATATTCTTTAAATCAACAGGGAATTAAAACTGCTAGTCATTGACTCTTCATTGAGATTCATTGCCGTTCTACTTTCTGAAAAGGGAGATAACCAACTTCAAATTATAATTTTAGAGTTGAATTTGTGAGTCCGAAAATGAGTTTCTGGAAAGGGCTATAAGCATATCAAAAAGCCATGATGGTTTCTTAAGCTTATGATATATCTGGATATCTGACCCATTGAATACTACACTGGTGTAACAATGTATGGGAAACAACTCTAAAATTCCTAATGTCATCAACTAAATAAACCTTTTAATTTTTGTTTATCATTTTCATCTTTTAATTTTTGTTTGTCATCTAAAATCTTAATTTCTTTTTTCACTGCACCAGATAAAGTTGAATCAAGTTCTATAACTCTGTTGAAATCTTCCCGAGCTTCTTCTGGATTCCATGCTCCGACATGTGCTCTTCCTCTTCTAAATAATGCTTTTACATTGTCTAAAATAGAAATTTAGCTTTGCTTTAAATTTAAGCACCAGTGGCTCTTTTCACAAAAAATCTTAAGAGTAAAAATACTCGTAAGTCACACACATTTCAGTATAACTTACGATCAATTTTAATCGTAAGATTTTTTGTGAAAAGAGTCGCAGTACTATAGATATAAGTAAGCACTAGGATATTCAATAGGGATAACAGCTCACATTTCTTATCGTTGTTTTATATCCCCTGAGCCCATATCCCTGGTCAAGTGAAATCTTACTTTATGTTATACAGCAGGAGTGTCCTGACTTCATCGTTAATTACTATTCTGACCTTCTTTTTTTTATTCACAGAGGATATGGGCTCATATCCCATGTAAAGGAAACCAGGATTAGCAGGAATATTTCACTCCAGTAATACAATTACTGTAAACTGGGAAATTTTCGCGCCATCTTTTTTTCGCGATTCTCCAACCAAATCTAAATTCGCGCAGTTTTGAATTCACGATATCCTTGTGTCCTACATTAGTATTTTATAATAAATTATTTGTAAAGTAAACAATTTTACATGCATCGTAAATCAAGTGATAAAATCAATCAGAAATCCTTTTTGTCGGTTCATTAATGTGAAAGTAGTTTAAAGTTATTAGTCATGTTTGCTTTAAAAACACATACACAATAAACAAAGAAGAATGACATATTAGACTCATATTAAGAATGAATTAAATGTTGTCAGGATTACTGCTAATTAATTTGGATTAAATCTGTGGTGTGTAAAACCTGTGTTCTGCAGTGGTCCTGTACATATTCTATTCATATAAGTTCATGCATGGTCTTTATCTCATGAATCGGCTTTCCTTGAAATATTCGCAGCTGTTTTATTTTCGCGTTTCAACTCTTATCACGAAAATAGCGAAAATAAAAACTGCCGAAAAAATTTGCCTGTTTACAGTATATATCTACTTTTCTATTACATGTACATATGACAAGTCTTACTAGTGGAGGAGGAACTGCATGCTGACCCTTTGGGAGCACCTGAGTTCAACTCTTGAATGGGTTCATATTGTTTATCTTAAGTTTTTTGTTTTGTGCTTTATTGGTCTTTTTTTCTTTAGTCATACAATCGTTTGTCATTCTTTGAGTTGTGGTTGATTTATTTCCCCTATTTATTTAACATCTTATAAATAAAACTTGTATAATAGTACTTCAATCAAAACTTAACTTTACTCTTGAAATTATTATTGGTAACATTAGGTGACCTATAGTTGATTACATTTACACAATTTGTTCTCTGGCAGATAGCTGTCTCATTGGCAATCATACCAAATCTTCTTATTTTTATATAGGTCAACATACAGCCTTCAATAATGAGAAAAATCTAAAACTATGAATGCTGTATATATTCTACATCCAGTTTGGTTTTTTCACATTTTTCAGCTACTTATAATCTATAGATATAAGATGATGTGGTATGAGTGCCAATGAGACAACTCTCCATCCAAGTCAAAATTTATAAAAGTAAACCATTATAGGTCAAAGTAAGGTCTTCAACACGGAGTCTTGGCTCACATCGAACAGCAAGCTATAAAGGGCCCCAAAAATTACTAGTGTAAAACCATTCAAACGGGAAAATCAACGGTCTAATCAATATAAAAAACGAGAAACGAGAAACACTTATGAACCACATCAACAAACGACAACTACTGAACATCAGATTCCTGACTTAGGACAGGTGCAAACAATTGCAGCTGATTTAAACGTTTTAATGGTACCAAACCTTCACCCTTATCTGAAACAATAGTGTAATATACCCATTTATCAGGGTTTTAACCTATCTGGATCAGTATTGTAAAGAGATGTTCTAGAACAGAATAGTATTCTTTTACTTATTAGAGTTTTAGACTTACCTGGATCCCTTTTTAGTACTGTAGAGAGATGTTCTAGAGCAGGATAGTATTCCTTCAGTTTTTAGGGTTTTAGACTTACCTGGATCCCTTTTCAGTACTGTAGAGAGATGTTCTATAGCAGGGTAGTATTCCTGTAGGTTAATTTTACACTGAGAAAAATTAAGTAAAAATGGTTTCTTCATGTCCTCAAGTTTTTCCCATTCTGTATCACCTGGTTTTTCTCTAAAAGTAAAATAAAATAGAAAAACAAAGGATATGGGAATATAAAACAGTTTTGTAAAACGTTTTCAAATATTCATTGCCCAAAAGTAGAAAAAGTGAGCCAAAATTCTTGCCAACAGCCATTAAATATTGCCAGATGGGTCAAGATGTGCAATTCATTTCCCATAGGCGACAATGGTAGTCTTTACTTCCATTCCTCTGTCCATATAGTAAACTTGGATATGTATGATGGCTCGTTTCGAAGCTGACACATTTTCACTCTTGGTTAAATTTTCTGGGCATGAAGTGAGATTAAATTTTTCACAAATAGGGCAACCCCGAAAAACCCCATGTGATGCCGCTTCAGCAAGTTTTTACATCTTTATCGTACAGTCTTCTGGTCTCCAAAAAAGCACAAATGGTTAAGCTCAGTCAATTACTAAAAATAGCATCATGTCCAATTTCATTGCATACAGGTTTTTTTATTTCTATTCATAGTTGAGTACCTCACTCTTAGGCGCATTAGGAATATTGACCGAGATGAAATTAAAATTAGCATTTTGCGACAATGGTGAACCAGTGCTCCAGCTAGAAATCAAAAGGGGCAGGGTGCCAGTGGAGGGCAGGGCACTTTTTTATGAAAGGAAAAGGCACTGCTCATTTCTTTTGTCTACGTTTCTGTGTGTATCACGAGTTCACATTCTTTTTTTTACTGTATATGTTGTTAATAAAGATGCATAAGTTGTTGTTTTGATTATTTATTCTATAAAATTTGCATTAGAAAATGTAATTCAGAACCCAAGCACAATCACTGCCATGTTTATTAAGTTTTAAAATACACATAATTATATTCATACAAATTTTCAAACTTTCTGATGTAACAAGTAACTATTCTTTGCTTCTGTATGCTAGTACTTAAAATAAAATAGGGAAACAGACTAAACTCATACTTTGCTTTTTTGATTCAAAAGTATTCTCAAACTGTCTTAATGTCTAGACTCTGGGAGATTTATATCTTAACATTATGGTATAGACAGATGTTTACTTTTTGTGGTTGATAAGTTGACATCTAGATATCTTTCTTGTTTTAAATGTGTTGTTGAGTTGCTGTCACATTGATGACAGTGTATATCCAGTCAGTTCTTCTATTGATAAATTGTTCAAAAGATTATTTCTGTTTACTTTAAATAGCTTTTTATTGTAACAAGTCTAATGACTATATATACTTTTTATTTTTCTACCAAGCCTATATATATAGCTACCACCTTGTTATATTTTTCATAATTTAAACCTCAATCTGTTTTTACAAGATTATACAACTTGTTTAAGCAATGAAGACAAAAACATCATTTATATAATTCATAAACTTTTAAAACAACTGTCCAAAGAAAGAGATGCACTAATGAATAATTGACTTTAGAGCTGTCCCCTTTATTAATAATTATATTTATTATCGTATGAAATTTTTGTGTGTTCCAAGTGGAACCCATATTGCTGTATATATGTTTTATGCAGTTCTTTTCTTTAAATTTGTATGTATGTTGAATGTTTTAATCATTGAAATCATGTTTAGTATTGTGTTTTTTGACTTGTAGTCATAATTAAACAGTAATTATTCTGCCCGAATACGGGCACTCAGTGATATTTTAGTGAATAAAATTATTTGTTTTTTTATTTGTAATAATTTTACTTACTTTAAAACTTTCTGTTCTAACAAGCCTAAAGCTTCTCCGTATTTCTCAGCAGCCTCGCCATATTTTTTTTCTGCATACAAAGTATTTCCTTCCTCTTTCAGTACTGGTATCCTGTCTGTTCTTTCCTCCTCTGACATAGCCCATGCATCTTTCTCATAATCATTGGGTTTTTGTACATTTAAAATTTCTAGAAATTAAAGTATAGTTACATTTAATCCAATAATCTTTTAAGCAGTGACCTCTTATTGTTCATTTAGGAATCCTTTAGTCTAGTTCCATTCCTTTTCAACATCTAGGATTAGTTTATTAGATTGTTCTTCACACAAATTTCATACGTCATCCAGGAGTTTTAATATAGCATCTATTTATAGAAGTTTTAGCATCACATCCAGTACAAAATTTATGAGAAAATAATTTCAGAAAGAATCACTTTACCATGATGATACTAAAAGGCCATGGGGAGCATGTTTACTCTTTTTGAAAAGGGGAGTAAATGAACAATACCATACTGGAGTCCAGAAATAGTTACCTTTGTAAGCATGTGATATTACAATGTATTTACTGGAAATTCACCTTTAAGGTTGCACTTTGTAAATACAGCTGTTTCACAAGCCACGCCTCTTATGGGAAGATATATAATATTCATAGATATTCAATTTTGTTTACGTACTGGTTCCCAGATATGATCTCTATGTTTCATCTCATAGAGAAATAACTTGGGAATGTTACCAGTATAAAAACACATGGTAGCGGCGATAATTGAATTCTGAGGGACCCTATGTTTTGACCTTTGAATAAAAAAGTAGTGCATATCAACTTTCCGTTTTAGGATATAATTTTTTACGAAACTTCATAGTAAAAGTGGCACAGCTTTAGCCGCAAAGGGAGTTCCTATGGGAAATTGCATTGTCTATATTTACATAAGTGCAACCTATAAGTGACCTCATGGAAGAGGGTCTGGATGGGTCCTTCATTTCTGTATTCTTTAATTTTTTAGGCCATTTTTCTCTATTCTTTACACTTTTTGCCCATTATTCTCTATTCTTTATATTTTAGCACCTCATTATTCTCTATTCTTTATATTTGTTGTCCCTTATTCTCTATTGTGTAAACCCCCATCCATACCCTCATGGAAAAGTTACAATTAAGTCAATGAATTGTTATTCTTTATATTTTCCAGGAATTGTTTAATGTTTTTCATGGTGATCTTAGGGAATTTACGCAGGAAAATGACTACATTCATTGGGTTGTCCTTTTACACCATTTTCAATGTCAAGGACATTATTATGGCTGAACTCAATTGATTATATAAGATATTTTAAAAAGAATTAAGGTATTTCATATCTGTGATGTCAAATGATTATTATGATGCAAAAAATAGCAAGAAAATTTTCTATTTCCTATTATAACAGATAAACTCAAATGGTGAATACTGTGGATTCATTATGATTCGTTGGATACCAGTTTTCATGGATTTCATGGGTATAGGTGAACCACAACTCCAATGTTTGACGAAGTACAAATTTCTGTAGGCTTGTATGCAGACTTTGACAAAACCACTATATCTAATGTTCATGAAAATACTATTTTCCCTCAATACATGAAAAAATTGGTAACCACAAAAACTAATTAATCCACAATAAACTCACAGAAACTTGAATTTACAAAAGTACAACCCAGGTTCAAATCCTTGTCACGGCACCAATTTCATGAAGTTGTGGCTAGTACTTTGTTTTGACTGATAAGACATGTGTTTCATAGAAATTGCATTATGTAATTACTAGTTGTGCACAAGGCAACTTTAGGTTTACAAAAGCTTTACGTAAACAATAGGTTACGTTAGTGATATTAGTAACATAGAAAATGAATAGCGGCTAATCCCTAACATACCTAATGTAAATTCAAGTGGTTGAGGATTTTTAACAAGATCATCGAGATCAGGATAACCTAAGCCTTGTTCTGCCATCGCCATCATACCACAACAATGGCCACCCTCATGATGTTCATGGTTTTTATCCTTTCCGAAGATTCCTCTTAAACTCTTAGATACATGTGGGTATGACATGACATGCTGCAAAATTTGAGAGACAAAAAATTTAAATATGTTTAATATTAAAAACTTCAAGTGTCCTGTTTAATAAAGAATATTCAATTTCAAATAAAAATAAATAGAATACAGTTTGATATAAATTCTTAAAACACAAAATATAAATTTTGTAAATACTTCCCAAATATCTATAAAATATTATTAATCAAATTCCTTTTTTCTTCAAATCAGTCAATTCTGATTTGAAAGAAAATAAAATTGTTTTATATGGAAAAATGTTTATTACAGAACTCTACTATGATTATTGATACCAATTTTGAGATGGGTGACCTTTAAATGTTTGAATACAAACTCCTTTTGTTCTGCGACATTAAATTATTTACTAATAAAATGCTTCGCTGAGCGCAGCCTGATACAACCGCAAAGGTCGAACCCTGAACAGTTGGGACAAATTTGGACACAATATTCAAGCTTGATACTGTCTGAATTTGGATTGTGATCAAATTTTTGACATAATATAGGTTTCTGACACAAAATAAATGTGGTCAAAGATCTTACATATCTATTGCGCAATACTGTGCAATTGAAGATTTCTTCTTGAAACTTTTCAAAAATTCGAAATATGAAAATTTTTTAAAAAAAAATATGAATCCTTTAAAAAAATTGTAAACAATAATCCCCCCCCCCCCCAACTTATTGAAAGCCCCCTTGCAGCAATAACCCCAAAAGTCAATCCCAGCCTTTCCTTTGTAGTATGGAATCTTGTAGTATAATTTCAGAGAGATCCATACACTTACACACAAGTTATTGTCTCGAAACTAGAAAAATGCTTCTTTTTGGCCCTTTTTTGGCCCCTAATTCCTACATGTTTGGGACAATTAACCCCAAACTCAATCCCAGCCTTCCCTTTGTTATATGGAACCTTGTGGTACAATGTCTGAGAGATCCATACACTTACACACAAGTTATTGTCCGGAAACTAGAAAAATGCTTGTTTTTGGCCCCTTTTTGGCCCTTAATTCCTAAACTGTTTGCCAAATAACCCTTAAAATAAATCCCAACCTTCTACTTGTAGTATTAAACATTGTGGTACAATTTCAGAGCAATTGAAATACTTATACACAAGTTATTGTCCTGAAACTAGATAAATGCTTGTTTTGGGCCCCTTTTGGGCCCCTATTTCCTAAACGGTTGCGACCATCATCCCTAAAATCAATCCCAACCTTCCTTTTGTGGTATTGAACCTTCTAAAAAAATTTCATAGAGATCCATTCACTTTAACTAAAGTTATTGTCTGGAAACAAATGTGTCTTCGGACGACGACGACATCATACCATTATAAGATCCAAAACATTTTTTTACGGTCGTATAAAAAGTTATGGAAATTTTTTTAAATTTCTTCATTGGCAAACAAGCTCAAAATTGGTATGTAGATAAACCATTTGCTAGGTACAATCTGGTTAAAATACAAATCCTGTGTTCACACTTTGATTACAAAGATCTGACAACATCCCCTACCAGAAATTATTACATCAACCAATGAAATTCCTACCTGCAAAGTTTTGAAGGTGTGTATCCTTATGAAAAAACCAAAGGATTCTGAAAGGAGCGTTATCAGATCTTTGTAAGACAAGTGAAGACACAAGAGAGGTAAGTAGGATTGTAGAGACTTACTTTTGTATCTGCAATAAACAAAGCCCTTTCTTTATCTCTCATTGTTTTCAGACAGTCTTCCCACACTTCCAGTTTAAACTTTTTACCAATAATCAGTTCCATAGGCTTCTCATGTTTTCTACTGTCATCAATAACTGTCTTCTCGTCATCACATTTTGTGGTTCTGTAGTGAAAGATAATCTGACAAAAAAGAAAATATAAATTGATTTATATAATTTACCATTTCATTGCTGACACATAAATTAGGGATTAATTTTAGTATATATATAAATGTGACACTACTCCACCAGAGACCAAATGACATAGAAGTTGATATATATCTATTTTCTTATAGTAGCATTGCTCACTGATAAGGCACAACCAGAATACCCCTGTTACATTTTTCATAATCACTTCTGGTGAAGGAATAGATCGAATGGTTTGCCTTTTATTTCATTTATGACAGACTGTTTCTTTCCTCATTATGTGATATCTGACATACCAATCATAACCTTGGCCTACAGTTGTGGAAGTGTAGACGATGATGTTTACCCTTGTAGAGGATCTGTTTTAGTACATATACCATCAATGTTGCTCAGCTCTTTCTGTTGTTGTTAATACCATGGTCTTGTTGATTTAATTTGTTCCAATTCAACTTTATTTTATTTAAAACTGACCATCATGATATAGCCAAGTGTGCTGAAAGTGGTCTTCAACATCATCAATCAACGTGTGCTGAAAGTGGTGTTCAACATCATCAATCAACGTGTGCTGAAAGTGGTGTTCAACATCATCAATCAACCGTGAACGTGTGCTGAAAGTGGTGTTAAACATCATCAATCAACATGTGCTGAAAGTGGTGTTCCACATCATCAATCAACGTGTGCTGAAAGTGGTGTTCAACATCATCAATCAACCGTGAACGTGTGCTGAAAGTGGTGTTAAACATCATCAATCAACGTGTGCTGAAAGTGGTGTTCCACATCATCAATCAACGTGTGCTGAAAGTGGTGTTCAACATCATCAATCAACCGTGAACGTGTGCTGAAAGTGGTGTTCAACATCATCAATCAACGTGTGCTGAAAGTGGTGTTCAACATCATCAATCAACCATGAACATGTGCTGAAAGTGATGTTAAACATCATCAATCAACAGGTGCTGAAAGTGGTGTTCAACATCATCAATCAACAGGTGCTGAAAGTGGTGTTAAACATCACCAATCAATTAACCAAACAATAATTTTAATTCAACACTCTGTTCTTTGTAATGTTCTTTTTAGTTTTAAGTCAGATCTATATTGATTCCAGAAAGAAGTCGTCCTTGAGTAGAGTAAGTATAAAATGAGTCAACACACCCTTTCTAGATATGCTAAAATGGGTTTTTCTCATAGTTGAAGGAGAGTACAGTTGCCTATAATGGCTTACATCCACTTCATTTGAACTTTGGTGGATACCGGTAGTTGTCTCTATGGGAATCATACCACATCTCCTTAATTTTATATAAAATGTCTTGCCAGCTTTAAATTGATCAAAATTGAATAATATGTTACTCAAGATAAAGGTTTTACCACATGCATGACATGTATCAAGAAATGATGATAATAAAAAAATAAATACTTTATTTAAAGAGGGTAAAATCAGTACAATACTAATCTCCCTTGGCGCTCTCTGAATAACTCAAAATATAATAATACAATGTATATACAATGTATATACATATACATAAATACATGTACAACTTACTATGCAAAACAAATGGTGAAAAACATACAGATTATAAGACTTAGCATTGCTTAGTGTTACATTTCATGAACATATTTCCTTAATGATGTACAAGACAAATATATGGATTTTTAGACTATTATAGATGAATTACTGTGATAATCATTATTTTCTTGGTTTTACATAATTCATTTATGCAGGAAAATAACAGAAAAGTTTTTCATTAAATGGAAAATTAATGATTATCAATGGAAACACCAAAATCACTTTAATAGGTGATTACTGAAATTTTCAAATCACTAAAATAGATGATAATGAAATCACTTGTTTAAGTCATACCCTGATGAAGTCATAGTAAGAGTGACAAGCCTTTGATATATGACATACCCCCGTCCCATGCCTAGTTAGGTCAACCAAAGTTATATGGTAAAAAAGTTATGAGCCAAACGGGAATTGGACAAGGTTTTACTATCATAGGTGTCCAAATCAAGGAGTGACCTTTCTTTGGAATATGACCCCCCCCCCCCCCCCCAGCCTATGATGCATCTTCATACATGTACCAAGTTTGATCAACCTAAGTTAAAGGTGCTCACAAGTTATGTGCCGGACATGAAGCTGTACAGACTCGTATTTGCTAAATGGCGGCTAGGGAAACAAAAATTTGACTACATCTTTTTATCATACATTGTCATAGGGAAGTTTTTTAATGATGGCGGGAATCATTTGAAGATGGCAAATGATAATTTAATGATGGTGGTGCGGCTTCATAAAAAAGGTCATGGAGATCTCTGGTGGGGGCACACCTGATGCTCCCATCTGCAACTGGAGAGCATGATTCTTCTTACAAAATCACAATGTCTCCTCTGGGACTCAACCCCAGGACCTCTGTGTTACAAGGCAGTGCTCTTCCCGACTGAGCTAAAGAAGTACTTCTTTTGCTCAGCCGCTGATGGCTGACTAAATATCTGCAAATGAAAGGAAGCTATCCCGTCACACAACAATCCAAAACATATAATGTTTAGGTTTAGGTATTTTAAACATGTTTAAATAAAGACATCTTATTTCATGCCTCCCTCTACTTTCATGGCTTTGGTTGCAGGGTTATGTCTTTGGAAGGGAGTCTTGAATTTATTTAATTTTTCAAGGTGGGGACTTTATTACCAGGTTCTCTAAATGAAAAAAATTACCAGTCCCTAACCTTGGATGAATGGTTGTTTGCTGGAAATGTCCCCCATTTATAAGGCCTTAAGGGTGCTCAATTATTTAACCGGTTACATTTGACTAATATTAACCTTTGTTCCGTCTGCATATTCAGGCAAGTCACCTTTGCCACAACCTAACAGTTTTTTGGCAATGCCTTGTTCGTACAACTTTGCAATCAAATCTGTCATGATTTTGTTTACACTGTCGACGGAAGTTCGGCTCAAGTTACTTCCCCTGTTAAATTTGCTATCTGGGGTTCCTATGGGGACTTTTGGTAAACGTATAAATTATGATCAAGGATTTGACTGTATAGTAAGCCTTAGTATATGAATCTTTGTTTATGAAAAAAAAATCTGAATTATGAATTATAAAATAATTTAAGATAAGAACATTTTATTTTGATTCGGCAGATATAAAAACTGTACAACACAAAGCTCTACAGAGCTTTTGACCGATTATAAAAACATATAAATAACATAAAAACAATAATAACAACATATATTTCATACTCAAAATTTGGCATTTATATGTGAAAGACTTGGTTTAACATGTTTGAGCAAACCTTGAAGTAAGTTAAATAAAAGTATCTTCGAAAAAATTGGAATAAGCACTATAAGATAATTTAAAATTATAGGTAAAAATCATGATAAAACTAGATATTTAAAAAACTAAGAAATTCATTTTAAAAATTCACACTAAAAATAAGAGTATGAGCCACTTTAAACACAATAAGAAATCTAATATTGGAGATCTGTGTGATAATTAGAAAGTAAATAAACTGATGAAGCATGAGCGTCTTTAAAACTGTAAACCATGAAAGCGTTTGCAGCAAGCTAAAAATCATGAAAATTTATTTAGCGAAGCCAGACCACAGATTTGTATAAATTGAAAAATTTGGTGTGCTGAGCATATATTCAAATGGCGATCCATGTCAGGTGGCAATCACCTCTATGATTCTCCGCTTAATAACACTGCACAGAGAAAAACATATATTTCGTTAAGCATATTTTAACTATCTGCAGGCTGAGAAACGTCAGTTCGAACCATTCCAGGACTGAGGCAAACTCTTAAAATGTGAAAAACTATTTTCAGTCCTGAAATGGTTTGGCCAGCTATTACAGTCCTTTAGATTGCACGCCTGGTTATGATGTACAAGATCACACATCATCTTGTTGCTATACCATCTAGCACAATTCTCATTCCATCAGACTCAAGAACCAGAAAACATCATTCGCACACCTTCAGACACATCTATACATCCGAAGACTCGTACAGATTTTTGTTTTCCTCATACACAATAACGCAATGGAATCTTCTACCAACTACAGTTGTTTATTCACAGACAGTCGACTCTTTCAGAGAGCAGCTCACATATGCTGTTCTCTCCACTCTCATTTAAAGATAGCTTCATCTCCTGTACATAATTTTAATCACTAGGCCTGTTCTTTGCACCGTTTCTTTTTGTATATTACTTTATACCAACTTGTTGTAAATAAATAGGCAATGCATGCACCAGTTATGGATCACCTTTATTCAGATGGAAGACTGGAAAACTTAAAGAAGAAGTCTTCCAAAAGTGTGCATTTTTTGTCCGACCAGAGCAGCGTTCTAAAAAAATAAGTTTTCATTGATTGGTTTTTTTTTCTTTTTCATTTTATTGGCTAAATTTATTTGCTGCCTGCATTTATCTTAATTTTTATAATTTTTATTTTTTGTAAACTTAGAATACAGCATATTCCTCAGGCTTCGAGATTTCAGTGGTGCAAGTTTATTCAAAACATGAATAAAATCTTTTTCATATTTCAGATGGATATTATTTACTTGCTCGGCACTCTTTACTCCTTCGGTTTCATGAATCTCAATTTTACTGACATCATTTTTAAAACTCATTATATCAAAATTTTTATAACTTCTATAAACAATTTCTCCATTTTGTAAAGATGGTAAGTGACCTTTTATAGTCGTAGAAATCAAATTAATTATGACAATCACAGATGCCTATTGGATGACCCAGTGCAATATTAATCAATGCGATAATAAATTTTGGAATCAGAATATATTTTTCTTCTTCTTTATAGTTTTACACTCAATGAACATGCTAATGATAACGTTCCGGGAACGGATGTCACTATGCCGCGCTTGCCTGGGATATAATTTCTATTTACAGTTAGATATATATAAATAAAAATTCAAAGTAATTTCCTTTCTTCTATTTTGTATTATACATTTTGGTTAAAACTATATATACAGTTTATGTTTAATTTATACGTGTCTGCTGAGAACAAATATTGGAATCTGTTCTTGGAAACAGTCAATTAAGTGTAGTACATTTTACTGCAGCTACAGGTAGAAGATTCCATTGTAATATTGTTCTTGGATAAAATGAGTATTTATGTGAATCTTTAGTGATCTGTATTGGTCTGTAAGAATAATTGTGTGAATTTTGTCTTGTTCATTAAAGATTCATTTTGCTTTCTAATAGTTTTTTCCAATAGATATACAAGTAAAAACCTGTTTGCTCGCAATATGGTCATTTTCATTGTGCACAGTGACGTTTCCACTGAACATTGCGCACATTTTATAGAATAAATATGTAGGCAATACTTCAATCTAATTAAAATATAGATCTCTGATTTCGTTATCCTCATATGAGCATGAGAGTCAGTAATAAAGATAAGAATTTTAATCAGCCTTTTGGCAATACTTACTCATATGTGTTAAACAGTGGACAAATATTTTAGACACTGGTCCAGATGTACAAAAATGGACAATAATAGAATTAATTATAAAGTTTTTAAATGGTCAGTGATGAAAGGCAGTTGTAAATTTAAAATTGGTGTTACAAAGTTATGGAGATATTAAAATCTTTTGATTTTGAAAGATATTGTAAAATAAATGAAAATTTTCTTGATAGTTATAGTATATCTCAGTTAGAAGAGAAAATGTTTGATAAATATAAAAAAGACTAGTGTATAAGAATTTTTTCATATAGTATTGGTTGTAAATTGAGAACATATAAACTCTTTAAACATACTTATAACACTGAACAATATTTGCTACAGAAAATGCCACTGCGTCATCGTAGTGCTTTTTCAAAATTTAGATGTGGTGTAGCACCATTAAAAATTGAAACTGGTCGATATGAAAAGAAAAATCTAGATGTAAGAGTCTGTTTGAACTGCAATATTTTAGAGGATGAAAAACATGTACTTTTAAATTGTCCATTGTATGAAGATCTAAGACATGCTCTGTTTATTGATATGTTGTGTCATAATGATATGTTTTTAAACTTGTCTGATGTAGAAAAATTTATATATATGTTTAAAAATAGCAATATGTGTAATATTGTTGCCAAAACCTGCAATAACATTTTAACAAGGAGAAACAGTATTTTATATCATTAACTATTTGTAGTATTTTATAAAATGAATTAGTAAAGATATGTATTTTAATAGTCTCTCTATATTCTTTTAAGAATGGCACATACATGTATTTAATTGTTTTAAATATGTTTACTGTATATTCAATTATATAATTGTATCTTGTATTAACTATGTTGTATGTGGTGAGACTTTAATAAACTATTGAATCTCATAAAAAAGTGAGATGTGGTATGATTGCCAATGAAATATTATTTGTAAAGGCCAAATTAAAAGTTAATCAAAGAAGCGAACAATTATCGAACATTATGCGTCCTTCAATAATGAACAAAACCTAAACCATATATAGTAAGCTATATGTATACAAGTACTTTAAAAAAAAATCCTTGGCTAACGCATTTTTCGGTATAAGCATTCCTGGTGAACGTAAATCTAGAAAAGCGATTTGGACGCAACACATATATAAAGTGTTATTTTCATGTTTCTACAATAGGCCCCGGTAAGACAGCATGTTAAACAATACATTTATTGATTGCCTGATTGTTTGGTGTTATCGCCACTTTCAGCATTAGTGTGCTATTTCGTGGCGGTCAGTTTTTATTGGTGGAGGAAGCCGGAGAGAACCACCGACCTTCGGTAGGAAAACTGACAATTCTAGTCAATTAAGAGAGTCGAGCGCACCTGCCACGTGCGGAATTTGAACTCACAACTCAAACAATACAAAACAGAACACAAAATAGATTCATATATAACAGCAATAAACAAAAACACACATGGCTGACATGACAACCACTGAATAACAGGTTCCTGGCTTGCCCACGGTACAGGCATAAGAGGCAGGCGGGGTTGATATATTTGTTGGCACACAACCTTCCTCCTAGAGGGACAGACCGAGGTTTAGCAAAAAAAAAAAAAAAAACCAAACGAAACAACAAAGTGGAAAAATAAATTATTATACAATTGTTCAAATAATTATAAAACTGTGGATTTGAATTAAATCGTTGCAGAATTATATATATATATGCAAATACTTGTAAAACAGTGCACATGCATTAAATCATTGCCTAATTGTGAAAATAGTTGTAAAACTGTGCACATGAATGAAATCATTGCATAATTCATGTTGTAATCATGCAGAAATTTGCAAAACTGTGCACTTGAATTTAAACATTAAACTTCTATTAATCATGAACTGGGACTATTAGTAGTATAATAGTCCCAGTCATGAAATAGGAATTATGCTACATTTTGCTAATTGTGTTCGGTATGAATAAAACTTGCAGAATTATGCATGCCGGTTAGTCCGATACTGTCTATTTGGGCATGCCCAGTTCTGCAATTATTTGTCTGATAAAATCCCATATTGAACCCCAATAAAGCTGCATACTCTATAAACAGTATATATGTCTTGAATTATCCTTTTAAACGGATTTCGTCATATCTACAGAACAACAGCAATTTACACAAAATTAGTCCATATTATCTTTGTGTCTATGCATTTCTGTGATGTAATACAATTTTGTTGATTTCAAAGTCACCTTTTAATTTAGAGATTATAAGTTCCAAATATAGAACACAGTTGCTACTGAACACACGTGTTGAGGTTGTAAAATCGTAGATTGATGGCTGGAATATCGGATGTTACGGATGGAGAAAATAATGTTGATAGTGCACAAGAAAGAAAAAGAGTAATGGAACCAAACAAAGAAAGAGTTATTAACGGACACGGTAAGAAAATCGCAAATTTAAAACAGTTGAAATGGAGAAGTGACATCAAGGGCAGACGACGCATGTGTAAAACGTTCCTATTTATTGTCGATTTGTATTTAAAAACATTCACAGCAAGTTTGGTTTGTTGATATTTCTTAGATCTGTTCTTTCTGGTATCTTTTTTATTTGGTACCACTCCGGTATTGACGACGCAAATATCGAAACCGACTGTCAGAAAGTTGCCTCCCCCTTTTTCTGAGCATTATGAAACTTTTTATGTAATTTCCAAAATCAGTCGAATGAATTTGGTATTGCAGTCTGGAACATTGAAGTCTTAGTTTGTTTATAATTGTTAACACATGCAAAACACAATTAAGTGCAGTAGACGTTCATTGTTTTGTGTGGTTATGTTCAAGGTCGTAAGGGTCGAAAACTATTTACTCCCCACTGGTGACCCCATTTCCGTAAACAGCTGATAACCTAGGTCAATCAGTCTTTAGCTAAAATTGAATGTAGAAGAAACAAAATTATTGTAAATTTGTTTGTTTTATTCTTAAACCATCTGTTAGATTCAGTGTTGTAATAAGTGCAACATTTTTCATTGATAAAAAAATATTTATTTATGATGAAATTTACCATGTGCTTTCAAATGAGTGGGGTGTCCATTGGGTTGTTAAGTTTTCAAATACAGGTAAATAGACTCATGTTTTTTTTATAAACATTATTACTTGCAATAATGCAATTCAATATTCTAGAAAATAATAAACACAATTTGCAACTTATTTTTTTAATTTGTCAATGTTGATCCACTATTATGCAACTGCCAGTGTCAGAGTGTCAACATTGCAGTTATTTATATTGGGGAGGGTTAGATCTAAAAAAAATATGAGATTTAAAAAAAATATCAACAACTATAACCCCAGGGGCGGGCATAAGCTCCCCCACCCTTAGTTGGAAAATTTGTCATTTTTTAGCATAAAATCATCCAAAAGTTTTATATACATCATAACATGGATTCTGTTTTCTGCAATTAAGCCCCTCCTTCGAAAATCCTGGATCCGCCCCTGAACCCCGCTGCATATTCATCCCTAGTCAGCATTCTCCTTCATGTCCTTAGTAGTTGTCTGATGCCATATTTTAACGTTTGCATTTTTGTTTTTTGGAGAACTTGGTGTTGATAGTAGATCTTTATCATGTTTATAAAAGTACTGAGATGTGGTATGATCGCAAATGAGACCAAAGGACGAAGATGTTAACAATTATAGGTTACTGAATGGCCGCTGTACTTGTTGATTGTTTCTTTCCAATTATGTAACTTTCATAGACTTGGGACATACATAGAATATTGTATCGACACCTTATGTTGTTAAAATTGTTTTGGTCAAGTCAAGATGTGGTTGAAGGTCACATATGTACTCGTATTCGCTAGCCAAGGGGTACAATCCGTTCTGCTCCTCTTCACCCTTGGCTGATTAAGACAGAATTTGTGTATACAGCGTAGTGCCATCTAGCGACAAAAAGAAGTCATGCCCATGCCGACCAATGACAGCACTTAATACTCTTTAGTTCGGAAGTGTAAAAATGGCCGTGTCCAGTGTTTACAAATTTCCTGAAAGAGAAAATGTGTATATACGTTGACCTTCCAACATTTGCCAGAGGAAGATACCCATTTGAAAAACTTCGATTTTATGAAGAACTTTAAAAGTGTCACTTAATATTGTCTTATGTTTTTGGGGTGAAGACACATTATACAATCTGCATGTGGCAATTGTTTTACATTTTCCACATTTATGCATGATCATCTTAAAAGCGCCTTTTGATTGGATGTAGCTACTTACAACTGAGACCAATGGAAATTATTGCCTCATGGATCCCAAATTCTAACTTAATCTGCCAAGGGTGAAGAGGAGCGGGTCAGATCGTAACCCTTGGCTAGGGAAGATGATAAGTACAATGATTGACTTTTTATCTCCACCTTGGTAAGACACTAATACTCTTGACAATTGGCCTGTTTCATATAATTATAAAGCAGGTATGCTTTACAACTGGGTAAAAATGAGTCAAATGATAAAACTTATAATTGAAGGAGGCTATTAAATAACATGTATCAAAATCAACATCACATGATGGACTTGTGTATTTTGAACTCGAAACATATATTTTCCATATATACAGGATATAGCTGTCAATGATCTGTTCAATATCCCTGGGGAGTTTAGAAAGGTGCTTGATGGTTTACTGGACAGTAAAAAAATATTGCTTACTTGCTTGATAAATTTCACTGAAGATATCAATAATTTGTAATGAAAATTTTTTTAATATTTATTCCTATCTGGTGATATGAAAATGTATTTTTTGTCAGACAAGCGCCTGTGGTTTTAACTGTTGCACATGTTGAAGAGGTGTGCTTCCCAAACTCTGAACTTGTGAGAGGTTGTTTACTGAAAGATGTATTGAATTTAGATGCAAAGATCACACTGTGTTATCATTTTTGATTCATTTAAAAATCTTGCATGTTTCTGCACAGATTGTCAAAATGAAAATATCATGCATGGATCTAGTTAATACTGTGTCCTTAGAAACATGTATTTAAACAGACATGTAGTAAAAGTACTGTTCCTTTGCTTTTTGTGTGCTTTTTTGCTGTGCATGTACTGATTTTGTGTCCTGGATGGATACCCCATATCCTTTGTTTTTCTATTATCATCAAGTTGAAGCTGGGTAAAATGTCATGGTTATAGTAGAAAAGGCAAGCCCACAATTAATGAGATAAAAGTTATTAACCAGCTGAGTTCAAATGGACTTGGAGGCCTCAGTGGTTGAATGGCCAAGTAGTCTAACTACTGCTTCACTAGTCTGTCAACACTGCATGAGGTTGTGAATCTTGAATCTCACCCGTGGCTGGTGCATTCGACTCCAATCTTAATTGGCTAGGATTGTCAGTTTTGCTACCGAAGGTTGGTGGTTCTCTGAGCACTCCAGCTTTTTCCACCAATAAAAACTGGCGGTCACAAAATAGCACAATAATGCTGAAAGTGGTGCTAAACACCAATTGATCAATCAAATGGACTTGTCTAATTTTGAAATCAGGGTTACACATGTTACAGAGGATTCAGCTCAATAAAACTGAAAAGCAGTCATTTTTTCGCTGGTATCAAATATTTTAGGAAGAGTTGGAGAACTTTTAAGGATACTGATATGTATAAGTTTAATTCACATGCATCAAGCAGACTGAAATAGAACTTAAGAAATGTTTTTTGTACTCGATTTGTAACAATGTATCTTACATATAGCACACACCTGTTGTGACTTACTATATTGTATTTCATTTAAAATGCTATAAAATTCTCGCATGATGGCCGGTTAATTACAGGTGTGAAGCTCACAATACAATATCGTACAAAAGATTTAATGGGACAATTATGTTATCGGTGGAATGTAACGGATTTCCAAAATATGGTCATTGTTTAATGTAACGAGCCAGACACAGAAGTTTGGTGGTAAAATTTGTCGCTTGTGATTTTAGAGATGATCCCACAAGATAGGTGATGAATTAATTGTTTTCTTGTGAAACTTGACAATTTTGGTTTTGTTCGTACGATTTATGTCATGGAAATTGTAACATGTTATCTGATTTTTTTGTAACATTGTAGATTTTTTTACCATTTGAATTCTTCTTTTTGTGTATGTTTCAGTTTTTACCAAACAAAACCCCACAATTTACAATTATTTTGCTGCTAGTTACTCCTTAAAGGTTTTAAAAAAAATGACAAAATGACTTATATAATATATAAATTTTTGTACATTTTGCATGTTTTGTACTTTAAAAGTTAAATACACTGTTAATTAATTGTACAACAGGATATTAACTTAATAGATTGAAGGGTGCGAATTATGATGGCAATCAAAAGTTGATAAAGTTTATGTAAATTTCCTTATAAATAAAAACAGACTTTTAACTTGTATACTTTTCATTGTATTATTACAGATAATATTTGATAGGATGTACTTTTAGTTTTTTAAGTGACCAGGATTTAGATTGAAAAATACCATTTGATCAGGATTTATGTCATACAAGGACTTCAAGTATATTGTATCCAGCTTCCCCCATGTTATTGTGTACACTGACAATGAAAAGTGATTGTAAATATCACATTTATTCCTGTCTGCAATGAGCAGGGACAGGATTAATAGGGACAAATGTGCTTCACCAATTATGATTTTTAGAAAAAAAAAAATATTTCCTTGAAAAAAAAAACAAGAATGCGCAAAACTATTGTGCACCATGACACCTTTACTATTTTGCAACTTTGGCATTTTATGTTCGTGGAAGAAAGAAGGTGTCAGTATCTGTATGTTTTCCAATCTGTTCATCTGCTCTGTATCTCCCTCATTCATCTGCTCTGTATCTCCCTCATTCATCTGCTCTGTATCTCCCTCAATCATAATCATTTTGATTTATAATGAAACCCCAATGGATCGTTTTCAACATGTTTTTGAACCAGTTTAAGGGGTCTGTAGATGGCTTGTTGCAAGGCCTAAGAGAGAGGTCAGGGCCTTATTTGACCCCAAATATCAATTCCATTATTGCAAGTTGATGAATCATCTGAATAAACATGTGAAAAAGTTAAAAAGGATAAATTTTTGTACAATGAAACATTTGATATTTACATTCCAAAGTGGCCAAAATAGATAATTTTGTGAAATTTGAAAAAATCTCCTGGATTTCAGTTTGTGCCTAGGAAACAGAGCTCAACCCCCCCCCCCCCCCCCCCCCTTTTTTTCACCAAGGGTGACTGAGGAATAGTGATATTGTCACTTTGGTCTCCTTCTAACTGGCAATAAAACTCTCGCCAAAATGGGGTGTCCGTTTGGCTATGCTGGATGTACAAGTATGCAGCCACGTCCTGTCACAATTGGGATGTTGACACAAATTTCTTTTTGTAAAGAGAATACCATGCTCTCTTCACATTAGGAACACTTGCAACAACTCTTGGAGGGGTCCATAGGTGGCCTGTTGCAAGGCAAAATTTCTGTCTTTATCCAATATACCCTCATTTTCCAGTGGCAGTCCAATTTTCTCCCATCTTCATTCTGGAAGGCCTCTATTATAAGGCCTACTTATTGTTGATTTGTTCTAGTCCTGAACAGGCATAAAGTACCCAACAATCAATCAATTATAGAGCTAAGGGTTTTGACAAACATGACAAACATTATATTCAAGTCTGATGTTATTTGATAAAACCAACATAATGTTACAAGACATTTTTTGTGGATGCATGCACTATATGTTGCTTGTCCAGAAAACGAATGTTAATTGATCTATTTTCATTGAATATGATAGGAAGTTGAAAAGAATGTTAGATGTGACATCAATAAAAGAAAGCTGATACATAAATTTGTAGAAATACCACATTTTTTCTATCTAGTCATTTTTTTAAAACAAATTTGAACTTTGGACTAGCAATGGTCAATTGTTGGGCCGTATTGAATCTACAGTACTCCTTTCTGCCTTTCTCATATGTACCCTTATTTGGGGTGGGATGAGTTTAAAATTCACCCTTTATCCAAACACAGCTTGCAGTTCTAAACTAGTACTAATTTGATTTTGGTTAATTCTTGTCCTGAATTTGCATGAAATATTTGCCACTGAACATTAAACACATCAATCAAGCATTAGTCTGATCCTGGACTGGCACAATACCATTAAAGATTTTTACTATAGGTTGCACATGGTAATTGGTTTTGAAAACAGTCTTTCCTGAAAGTACTTTCAAGCTCTTTGATTTTTACTGTTTAGAATGTCAATTCTATATATTTAACCCATTTCTCTGACGTCAGTCTATTGTTATTACAGTAGATTATTTTTTAAGAATCCACTGACCACTTCGTTAACTTAAGATAACTTGTTTTATAACTTTAAACTTTTATCTTGCGATTTGTATCCTCTCAAAAACGAGTGGCATATGAAGGGTTCGAACTCGCGCGTATTTTCTTCATAATCAGTAGAGTCTTCAGTCTATGCATGATACCACTATACCACGAGTGCTGACATAAATCAATATTTAAATAACACTCATAAAGCGCACAACTGTCAATACATGTCAATAAACTGTATGTCTGTCTCAGAGATAATTCGCTTTTGTTATCTAATAAAATATATATACTATGTCTGGATTTGTTCATGTTCTTTTCAAATTTATTTAAATTGTTTTATTTTGGGCGTTATTTTTTAAGGAGTATTATGTTCTACATTTGAACGTTCTTGATTATAGTTATATAGCAGTATGGAAATATCTTAAAACAGAGTTTATTCACGATGTCAGGTTTGAACATTGGTCGATTTTCAACATCGTTATAATGAACCGATGGGTCTTTATACGATTGTGGCTATTACACACTAGTTCTAAACACTAGAGAATCAAGGAATTGTCTATATTAGTGCAATTCCTTGATAAAATAAACATTCATATGCCCATTACACTTGTCACTTTTAACGTACAAGGACTTTTTCTTTTTAACATAGCAAATACTTACTTATGGTTTTAGTCTTATAATGATATCGTACTATCAATATTTTTTTCTTTCTTTGATTATAAATGGTCCAAATATACATCACGTCAACATTGAACGGACTCTAATTTGAATAAAGTGTGATATATAAGCTACGACCGTAAAACTACTTCTTTGATTGTAAAACCAGAAACAAAATCATCGCCTTTAAATGAAAATGAAGTATATAATACCTCTAATATTAAAACAATAGTTTTGTTGAGAAAAAAATTACAATGAAAACATTTCAATTCGGGTACAAGGTTTGAACTTGGCACTGTTAATGTCACAGTTATGTTTTTCGGTACCACGACTAGACGATCACGGCTACGAACAGCTTGAATGTAAAAGTAGAAAATTTACATAATTATACATTGTACATCTGTAGCAAGAGCAATTCTGCTGGAGATTCAGAATGCGTACCACAGATAATACTAGTTTATTGACTGGTTTACGATGGATGCCAAATGTAATAACGTTAAAAATAATCTAAACTTAATGAAAGGGAAACAGTTTAAACAAAATTCATGTATAATTGTTCAAAAAAGACCTTAAGCAATTATTTTATTTATTTCGGAAAGCATCATTAACTGGAGCATCATGAAATTGTAGTATTATGGCAACTACGCTAAATATATGTATTTGACTTAGTACGGTTAAATTGTAGACAATCCTTAATCAGCTGTCAACAATAGCAGATTGCTAAATACTATATATGTAAATTTCAAAGGTTTCTAAATTTTGGTAATTACAATTTTTTAACTATTCAAAAAAAGATAAATAAATTCTGTATATTTATATATGTCTTTTTGAATAAATCATAAATACCAAAATCTATATAATTTAAATACTTTGTAATGATAAAGCATTAAATGAAATATAAATATACAAGTATGAAATCTGGTAATAAAAAGGGGAGCTAACAACCCATCTAAGTTATATTAAACATATGTTAACTTAAATATAGACGTGAACCGTGTGGATATAATCATTTCCAGCTATTATAAAATAAAAAAGACAAAATACGAAATTATTTTTATGAAATTCCGTTGATTCATTGTCAAAACATAAAACAGACAGTCGTTTTACTAGAAATGGGTTAAGCTAGAGAATTGATAAGAAGTAGTGGATTCGGAAACGATAATCAACTTGCGACTAAAGTCGCTCGTTGATTATCGTTTACGAATCCACTACTTCTTATCAATTCTCTACTACATCATGAAATTGTAGTATTATGGCAACTACGCTAAATATATGTATTTGACTTAGTACGGTTAAATTGTAGACAATATTTAATCAGCTGTAAACATTAACAGATTGCTAAAAGCTATATATGTAAATTTCAAAGGTTTCTAAATTTTGGTAATTACAATTTTTTAACTATTCAAAAAAAGGTCAATAAATTCTGTATTTTATATATGTCTTTTTGAATAAATCATAAATACCAAAATCTATATAATTAAAATACTTTGTAATGATAAAGCATTAAATGAAATATAAAATATACAAGTATGAAATCTGGTAATAAAAAGGGGAGCTAACAACCCATTTAAGTTATATTAAACTTATGTTAACTTAAATATAGACGTGAACCGTGTGGATATAATCATTTCCAGCTATTATAGAATAAAAAAGACAAAATACGAAATTATTTTTATGAAATTCCGTTGATTCATTGTCAAAACATAAAACAGACAGTCGTTTTACTAGAAATAGGTTAAGCTAGAGAATTGATAAGAAGTAGTGGATTCGGAAACGATAATCAACTTGCGACTAAAATCGCTCGTTGATTATCGTTTACGAATCCACTACTTCTTATCAATTCTCTACTACATATATATTGGTCTTATACTATTGTAGGAAAAACTACAGACAGTGATCAGGCTCCAAGTAGTCCTGTGATGAATGGTCTAAGTGATGAGTCCACGTCCTCTTCTTCATCAGGAGACGAAAGCCCGGTCAAAGACAAAGAAGAAAAAACAGAGAAAGATGCAGAGGATGATACAAAGAAAGAAGAACAAGAGATGGTTCTGATTCAAGATACTGGATTTAATGTCAAAATAGTTGTCCCAGGGATGAGCGAAAGAATAGAATTACCAGTAAGTATTCATGGTGTATATAGCATAAGGTTTATTATAAAAATGATTTCTAGATTTTCTGCCAAATTTTTAATTGAGGTTGGCAACCATGCTTTATCTTGTTTTCTAATGGTAACATTAAAAAAAATGATAGAATTAAGAAATTAAAGATTCTGATGAAAATGACCAATGGCACAAATATAAAGTAAAGAGGAAAAAAGGAAGGAAAGATCTTGCAATTTATTTGATCAAGCCTCATTGTTGTAGAACAAGACCACTGGACAAGGGCTTTTATAGAAGAAAAGCTCTTTTGAGCATTTTATGCAGAGTTGTGAAATCTTGTTTTCCCCTGGTGGTCCTGGGAGAAAATCTGCTGGTCCTCACTATTATTTCTATTGCAAAATACCAAAATTTTGTCAGTCCTTTGCAAAATTTGGGTGGTTAAATCCTTGGACCACCACTTTTTGTGAACTCTGTTTTATGTGAAATACAACATTTTGATAAACAGTTTGACACAACAGATGTAAATTTAAAAAAAAATAAACCTGCGTACATGTGAATACAAAATCTAATACAGGTATAAAACTATAGGAAATAAATTATTTCATGGATTACCCTGATATGCTATAATAAATCACAAACAATTTCGTCCAGACACATATGTAAGGTCGTATCTTTAAAAAAAGATTAACATAAGATATATAAACCACCAGCTTAACTGGATATTCAGTTATTCTTGCTTTAATCCTGATTAACTTGAGGTCACATGTTTTAATTCCGATTATTTTTTTTTCAATTCATTCAAGCATTTACTTATGAAATAGAGTGGGTTTTTAATTGCTAACCCCTCTTCACTTTTTAGTCCCGTATACTACATCAAACATTTTTTATTTAATCCATGGTGATGTTTAGTCAATGATTTTAGGTATTATGTGGTCCCCAGCGGTGTAAGCCATCTTTATAAATAAAGAGGAATGACGTTTAATAAGATGCTTAGTGAGAATAATATGTCGAGTCAGGATCCTGGGTCATAATTTGTTATCAAGAGTACTTATGTAATTGTTTATTTAACCAAATTAAACTGTTAAAATGTCATTCACTACCCTGGTAAAAAAATGAGGTAATTTTATTTAGAAAAGACATCAGATGGGTCAATCAACATGATCAAATTATTTGAAATTGTTCATTGGTTGCAATTCAAATTCATTAACCATGTTTACATATTTTATATAACAAAGTTTAAAAATTTGTATTTCATTCATTCAGTAACATTATAGCAAATAGCTGAGTTTTCTATGAGTATAACACAATACTGTGGATTCATTATTATTCACGGGATACAAGTTTCCGTGGATTTTGTGTTTAAATGGAAGCATGAATTTAAATGTTGAACAAAGTACATGTTTTCTATATGCTTGTATGCATACTTTGGCAAATTCATGAAATCAAATATCCATGAAAATACTATTTTTTCTCAATCCACAAAAAATTGGTACCCACGAAAATAAGTGAATCCACAATAGTTTCCATAAATTTGTCCAGTATCAGACTTCGTTAGTAGTTTACGTCAGTTTACAAGTCACTTCATACGAAAATGTTATGTGACCTCTTGTGGAATAGTGTTTACCTGTTATAGATAGTGACCCTAACAAAGTATTCTGTCAAGTTGATATTATCAGTCTGATCAATCACTTTACTGATAACTGTGTTTAGTTAACCTTTGCACTCTTTTTGATGAAAAAGTGAAGAAAAGTGTTAACAAAGTTTTCTATTTTGTAACTAACCAGAAGGATTGTTGGATGAATTAAAAAGTAAATACAGTGTTTTGACTAGACCGTTGTTATTTTAAGATAAAAATCCATTTTGTTTAATCCTGTTGAAAAAATTGAATTTAGGCAAAAAAACAAATGTGTGTGTTTAGGTTGGATTTTTTTTTTAATGATCGTTCTTTTACTATGTCCAGTTCTTGTATTAGACATACCACTTTACCATGTTTTCTAGAACTTACTCCGTTTTTAATTTCTCAATGAACAAAGTGACAATGTTATTAGTTTTTAGCTTTTCCCATTACTTGGTGTCTATATCATTGTTGTCTTCTGTTAACTTTTACAATAATCTTCTCTTCTGAAACTACTGGGCCAAATTTAACCAAATTTTGCCACAATCATTATTGGGCTTTCTAGTTCAAACTACTGGGCCAAATTTAACCAAATTTTGCCACAATCATTATTGGACTTTCTAGTTCAAAAACTGTGTCTGATGACACTGCCTGTCAACCAAGATGGCCACCATGGCTAAAAATGGAACATAGGGGTAAAATGCAAGTTTTGCTTATTAATTTGGAAACCACCATGAATAGAGAAATTCTGACAGGAGCCAAAACTTTTTTTTTTCATCTGATTTCCGAAAATAGCAATCCGGATTCGACTTCTTATTTAATGCATGTCTGTGTCTAATCGGAACTGCTCAGTCGTTTCCGCTAAACAAATATTGAAAAGAGCTGAGTAGTTCCGATTGATCAACATCAATGGCATACCTGTCAACTATCATTCTTGTGCCTTGAGACTTTTTAGATTTCATAACTGATTTTCCTTTGAAATTTCGGCAAATTCATAATTCTTCCTGGACAGGAAGTTCAACTAGCTGTCAAATTAAGTGACCCATAAAGTGCATGGCTTTACTTGACAGTTTGGTGTCAAACACACTGTTAATTAACACCTATTACCTTGTTAAAAGATTAAAACTAAGGCAAATCGAATGCAAAGATATATAAGAATATTACTTAAATGATTTTAATTTTCTTATGACAATTTATTTTTTTCATCTCTACTTCCTTTGAATGCTTAGATTTTAAATTGTATCAACTAATATAATCATCTTTCAAGTGACTGACCATGCAAGACCCTATTGGAAAGTTGAGGTCGTTAAACACCCCCTAATAGTAGTTATAAATCAAATATAGTAAAGCTCATAAGTATTACTTAGCAATAGCAAACTATGAAGCATATGATTTAAAATAGTGAATGAAAAAAAAATAAAGGGGGGTATGCCTTGAATGGATCAAGTATAATAAATTAATACTTCAATGATCAATATTTAAAATGCTAGAGCTCTGAGTAAAAGCAAGGAAAAAATAAAATTAAAGCTTTGAATTATTACAGTTCAATTTAAAATATAAAAGATATCTCCTAAATACTTAAATTCAGCTGAAAAAAGTTTGTACGTGTTATGACCTGAGATATTCTTCTTCAATGCAGGTCATGGCCTGCATTTTCATTTTCAGTGGACAGGTATGGTCAATCATGCAAATGGAGAGACAGAATTACCTCTCATCATGTTACTGCTACACAAAAACTGCACAATTATACAGTCAGAAATGAGAATGTTTTGTATGCAATACAGTAGTTATCAAAATGTACAATGCTGCTTATCAATAACAGGGTACAATTCACAGCCAAAGTGAACACAAAGCTTGATGATGAATAGCATCAACAGCAAAAAGGAGTACTCTGAGTGTAGTTAACAATTTTTCAGGCATTAGGTTTTCTATATGTCTGACAAATACATTTTCAAAAAAAAACAACACTTACCTACCTACCCACTAGTATAAATCTGGGTAGGGGTGTGGGGAAACAAAGATTTTTTTAATTGCGGCCTGAATTTTGTTTACCTGTTATAGATAATGACCCTAACAAAGTATTCTGTGAAGCTGATATTATCAGTCTGTTGAATCACTTTACTGATAACTGTGTTTAGTTAACCTTTGCACTCTTTTTGATGAGAAATGAAGAAAAGTGTTAAAGAAGTTTTTCTAATTTGTAACTAGCTAGCTGGTTTGCTATATCATATATATATATATTATACATATATATAAAAATACAACATTATAAAAAAAACAGTATTTTATATCAAATCAAGATGCTTAGAAGAAAAAATTCTTTATGTTAAAATGCTTTTGAGAAATTTAAATCAAGGCCAAAGAAAATGTGTGTGTTAAGGGTTTCCTTCATAAAATTGTATGTCTAGATGTTTTTTTCTAATTCACAATCAGGAAAATATTGTTTATAACTAAGTCTGTTTCCCATATATTAGAATACTATGTAAATGGCTCATCTTCCCTTTACAATCTATTTTTATTTTTATCAATTCTGTTACGTATTTAGCTATTAAAAATAAGTTAGCAGTTACAACAACTGATGTTGGGAAAAGTTTTTTTAAAGAAATCCTCATAAAATTGTTTAAGGATCAGTGCTCCAAAATTCAGATGATTGGTAACTACAAAATTATTATTTTCTATTTTATGCTTTAGTACTATCCATCTGGAAGTAGAGTTGCATTGTTTTTCTTACTGGTTACAATCTGGTCCTCATCTTCATAAGCAATAACACCACATATTTTTGTTTGGCCCAATTATAAAACTTACTTTGTCTGTAAAACCCTATTCTGTGTACATGATTAAAGCCTTGGATAGTTAGCATTGGCATATTTGTATGTGTAAAAGTAATAGATAGTTTCAAGGTCATGAACCCGTAGAATAAGTAAATAAGAAACCTATTAGTTTTCTTGTGTTGTTGGTTTGTTGTCTCGCTGACGTAAATACCATATCTCCTTTCGTAAGTCCTGGCACTCTCCCTTCCTCCACCAATAAAAATTGAGCACCACAAAATAGCCAAAAGTGCTGAAAGTGGCATTAAACACCAATCAATCCTTTCACTAGTAAATATTAATCTTGTTTGATAAAAAAAGGATTTCTAAATGCTGGTTTTTTTTTAAACAGTGAAACAGCCCAATTGTTTGTTGTAAGTTATCTGTAAATATTCTAAAATCATAAAAATATTTGATGAATCAAATGATTATTATATCCATGGTTTCCTGTAAATGGAATGGTCCGATTAAGTTTCTTACAGTAAATTGTGCTGACGTGACAGTTTTATTTTCTAGGTGAGTTCTATGGAGCTGGTACAAGAAATCCACCAAGTTCTTATGGACAGGGAAGATACCTGTCACAGAACATGTTTCTCGATACAGCTCGACGGAACCACGCTGGATAATTTTGCTGAACTGAAAAGTATAGAAAGTCTAAAGGAAGGATCCATCATCAAAGTTGTTGAAGGTATTATAACAAACCTTAAGGTTTTGATAATGTTTTGTAGTTTTCAGCAGAAAATTATTGTATCTGATGTGATGTAAATTTGTTGAATAGATGTAATACATGTAATATCAATGCTTTTAGTGGTTCAATTTCTGTTCCATTTGAAGTTTTTATTGGTTGAACATATATTGAAAATTTATGCATGTAAAATATGGGTTTAAATTCCATTCATCTCAATTTAAGAAATTTGCTGATTATCATTTGTTTTTTTATGTTTGTTTTTTTATGATTTAAGGAACAATATATAATTTTTATGTCATGAAGTTTTTTTGGAATGGGTATTCAGTGAAAATAGGTGTTGTTGTAAAAATGTACTAGTAATTGAAATTGTATTCATCACATGTAATAAATAACTGATTTTAACCTTTTAACTTTTAGAGCCATACACAGTAAGAGAAGCTAGAATCCATGTCCGACATATTAGAGATCTGCTTAAATCTATAGATCCAGCTGATGCTTACAATGGTGTTGACTGTAATTCTATGTCCTTCTTAAATGTTGTCACATCTGGGGACATTCTCGGTAAGGAGATTATATCTGCCAAGTTAGAAATTGCTTTATGTTTCATGGAGATTGTACTCCAGGAGTCAAGTTCTGTTCTGATTGTACTTTAATAGAATTACAAACCGGGTGCAACAAAATATCTCTTTACTGATATTTAATGATCTGTCATTTATAAGAAAGATCTTAAAAAAAGAAAGAAGGTTCACTTTATATTAAGGAGATCCGATGTTAAGTTATTGAGATATGATACTTTGAGTTTAATATGTTAAACTCTTATACCGATTCCATGTTAATTTTCATAAAGTGAAATGGCACCAACTGTCATAAAATTGAGAATAAAATGAAAAAAATGACATAATTTTTTAATGTCTCAACATTTCTGTAAAGTTCTGCATACAAGTTATAAGAAATGTAGGTTCCTGAAATTCATGTCAAAATTGATAAAAGATTTAAGGTCGGAAATTGAGAAAATTCCATCGTTTCCATTACAAAAAAAACGTAGAATTGATATGCACAAATGTACAAACTTCAATTAATGCTATTACAGAAATAAATTTAAGGGGTTGTTGAGACACTTTTTATTTTACTAGAATGTGCACGAAATTTATAGTAAAAATATTTAAAAATAATTTGCACAACTTGTGACTAGATTATATCTACTGTTGTCCTGTTTACAGATAAGAAACGAACAAAGCCAGAATCTATTGACTGTACACCACCAGATTTTATCATGCCAAATAGTAAAGAAAGACCCCTGTTACCTCTGCATCCAAATATCAAGGAACTTAAGGTTAGATACTTGTCACATGGTTTTACTATTTTTGTCTTTTTGTCTTTTGTTCTCAAATTTTTTAATGAGTTGAAAACATTCATATCGACCTTTGTGTGGGATGAAAACAACAAGCAATAAACACAAATAAACCTGAAATTTCTAGGGGACAGTTCCATAGATCCAAGATTTATAAAAATGCTGAAAGTAGACACAATGTTGATTTTAAAATATTGTATCTTTGTAAAGAAAGGGGAAATAAACTACAAGAAAATCCAATAACACTTTTTTTTTTTTTTTTTCAGGGTCCACAGTGTATTAAAGTATTAACTTATAGTGGATGGAACCCACCACCAGGCAACAGAAAAATGCATGGTAAGTTACATTTTACTATCTTCTGAAAGTGTTTAGAGGGGATTTTAAGTCCAATAGGACCTACTGCATCTCTTCCACATCAGTGTTAATATACTATAGCCTTGAGAGTATTTACCGGAATGTGCTTAAATATACTTATACCGCCTATGAAAGTCTGTTTTTTTTTATCTTTATTTTACGTGAGAGTCAGGTCTCGTGGGCGAAAGGGCAAGAATGCTTGTTTGGATTAAGAACCATCTTTTAGACACCATTGGTTAAATAGGTCATTTTGATTTTTATACAGTATAATTAGTAAACACATGTTAGAAAAATTAAGATAAGTAAATTTTTAACTCGACAAAGTATACATAGTGGAAATATGACTATAGTGTTCTTTTTCACTTGTGTATATTTATGATAGTCAAAGGTACTTGTAATAGGCTTGTTTTATTGAAAATAGCTGCATTTTTCCTGAGACTTGATAATTCAACCTGAATTTCCAATTGTATTTTCATTTACCTTCAATTAGTGCGAGAGTTAGTTTTTTTCCACTTAAAAACTTGTATCAATGTTATGGTTTAAAAAGTTTTTTTTCCCTGTTTCATGTTATTTCCTCTTGAAAACTGGTATCAATGTCATTGTAAAAAGTGTTTTCTTTTCTTTCTTTCAGGTGATTTGTTGTATTTATATGTTCTTACATTAGAAGAAAAAAAGTACCACATAACTGCATCAACTAGAGGATTTTATGTAAATCAGTAAGTAATTGACAAAGCACAGATTATGACTTTTAATTGCACATTTAATAATTGACCCCTTATAAAATCTATCCAAGCCATATTTGATATAGCTTATCTTGTGTTATATTGGATTGACAAGTATATCTGTTATATAGATTTATATTTTTTACTGTAAAAAATCACAGAAAGTTGTTGAGTGAGAAAATTGGAAAACTAACACATGGTGCTCTTTCATTGATTGATTGTTGGTTGTTTAAACGGTCAGATGTTTTATGCATATTAAATTCATTGATTTTCAATAATTTACGTGGTTATTATTCAAAATGATACTTAAATTATTATGGTGTTGAAACATATTGATTTAGGTCCTCAACAATGTACATTTACAGTCTAGAGACAGCCTCTTTTTGAAGGTTCCTTAAATATTGACCTGTTTTGGGGACCAACTGTTTGGAAAAATCAAAGTGAAGTCTATCAAGGCAGATAACTTTGATTCTTATTAGATAACTGATTTGATGAAAGCATATGACAATAAAGTCAACACCTGATTTCATTCATAACATGGTAAAGTTTTTTTCCCACAGAATAAAACAGCATATCAACTCCATCGAAATTATACTTAAAAATAATATGTAACAAAATTTGCACCATTTTATATGATATGAAATGCATATTCTCCATTCTTAATCTTTCAGATCAACAGAAGACGAATTTAATCCAAGATCAGCTCAACAGAAATATTTATCACATTCTCTCATAGATCTCCTTAGTCAGGTTGGTATACAGCAAATATTTAGTCTTAAACTCTTCATTTTTTTTCTTTAACAAATTTGTGCATGAGCACCCTATACTGTTGAGTATATCATGCCATTTGTGCCAATCAATATTTTTAATACATCATTGTGTACAATAATAATTTTTAAAAAATATGATTACTGGTAAAATAATGATATTTATAAGTTATAAAGCATTCTCCACATTGTATTTTCAGATTAGTCCAGCTTTCAAAAAGAATTTCAATATATTGTTGAAGAAGAGGGCCAATAAACATCCTTTTGAAAGAATGACAACACCATACCAAGTATATAGTTGGATGGCTCCCATGCCTGAGCATAGTGTAGATTATATCAGAGCTGAAGATGGTTCGTATTATTGTTTTTAAACCCTTTATACCACCTGCTTTTTGTAAGCAAATATATCAAAAGAAGTATTGCTTTTTCCTACTCGTACAACTAAGGTGGGGAAATTGTAATAATTAGTTTAGGTGACTCTTGTAGGCCAGACACTCATTTTTGGGAAAATTTTGTAGTTTCTATTGGCCTGTAATAGAAATTCTCACAGGTCCAACACTATTTTTGATTCTATTGATAGAAATTTTTGCAGGCCAGAAACTTATTTTTAAGGAAAATTTTATAGATTCTATTGGCTTGCAGTAGAAATTCTTACAGGTCTGATAGTAATTTTACAAGTCTCAGGCTAATGGGCATGTAACTACAAGATTTAATTCTATAGTATGTAAATATTAATTATCTACATTATTTACAGCATTCTCCACAAGATTAGGATATGAAGAGCATATTCCTGGTCAGACCAGAGATTGGAATGAAGAAATACAAACAACTAGAGAACTACCTCGAAAAACACTTCCAGAGAGGCTTATACGAGAAAGAGCAATATTTAAGGTCAGTAATAAACAATCCCAATATTGTTCAATTAACACTTAAAAAACCACCCCCTTTATAATCAGTTACTATTATTCAGTTCCTGTAATACTCGGGGAAGACACTCTATAAATGAAAAGACCCAATTGTTTATTTTTATGCCCCACCTCCAATAGTAGTAGGGACATTATGTTTTCTGGTCTGTGCGTCTTTTCGTTCGTCTGTCCGTATGTCGGTCCGTCCGTCTGTCCCGCTTCAGGTTAAAGTTTTTGGTCAAGGTAGTTTTTGATGAAGTTGAAGTCCAATCAACTTGAAACTTAGTACACATGTTCCCTGTGATATAATCTTTCTAATTTTAATGCCAAATTAGAGTTTTGATCCCAATTTCACGGTCCACTCAACATAGAAAATGATAGTGCGAGTGGGGCATCCATGTACTATGGACACATTCTTGTTTTGATAAGAGTATAATGCTTTTACATAAGTTTGGAAAAGTAAATAATTTCAATACATTATTGATTGATCAGGTTTTACTGGAAAACTACTTTGAGAATTCATAGTCTATCTACTACACAAATACATGTTGATGTTTTAGGTTCACAGTGACTTTGTGGGTGCTGCCACCAGAGGTGCTACGGCTGTTATAGATGGTAATGTCATGGCAATTAATCCTGGAGAAGAGGCTAAGTAAGTCTTGGTAGATTTTAAAATGTAACAGAAGTCAATATCATGTTTTGTATTTTTAACTTTGAATGAAATATTGGGCATTGATTGATAATCAGGACTGTTTCCTTTGGTTTAAATTTTGGAAACTGAAGTTGACCATCTTTTATGTGAATATAAAAAGAAATGGGTTATAATGTTAATAACTTTAGCAATCCAAGATAAAATGTAAAAGATAAACTTCTGAAATACAATTATGTGGTGTTTTCTTTACATAATATTATGCAATGAAAGATTAGAAATTGCAATTTTATTAGGGCTGTTCCAGATTTAAAGGCATGGGAAGCACTTAATTTAGACCCCAACAACTTATAATATAGATTGTTAGTTTTACTTATAATTCTTAGGGCTATTCCAGAAAAAAATGTATGGGGGGGGTTGGAAGGCAGTTTTTGTCAGAACCCGCCACCCAGACAATTGTAATTGAGAATCATAGTGCATTATAGTGTGAAAAGTTGCTCTGATACCCATCACCCATGTATTATTAATATAAAGTGCCTTCCAACCCCCCCATACAGTTTTTTCTGGAATAGCCCTTATAAAATTTGAAGGAAAATGTGACTACCCACTGTAAGTGCCTTTCATCCCCACTTAACCACAAACAATTTTGGAATAGCCCAATTTAACTTGTGTATTAAATTCCATTAATTTCTTGCATACTTTTGTTTACTTTTGTTATTTGTACTTTTCAGAATGCAGATGTTTATCTGGAACAATATTTTCTTCAGTCTTGGATTTGATGTCCGAGATCATTACAAAGATTTTGGTGGTGATGCCGCTGCATATACTGCTCCTGTATGTATTCATTTATACATTACACTTTAACAATAATCTTAATTATCATAAGGTATATTTAAGTATATAAACAACACAAAAGATAATAAGTCTATAATTATTCTTTTGTACTGACAAAATGAATAATTTTCTTCTTTTCAAAAGAAAACCTGAAAACACTGTATTATAATCTGGTTTCCTTCTCCCTTAAACAGAAAATAATGTATAATTTAAAATTTATGCTAACTTTGTGTTTTTCAGGGTAACGACTTGCAGGGAGTGAGAGCTTACTTCAGTGTTGATAATGAAGGACTTTACACCCTGGGAACTGTTGTTGTGGACTACAGAGGTTATAGAGTCACTGCTCAGAGTATTATTCCAGGTAGTTATCTCCCCTATATGCTGTAGATAGTACTTGTATGTGTCCATCTTAGCTTCTTACAACAAAAAATGTATTGGTGTGTTTGAAGACAATTTTCACTTTTTACTGTATGCAGGAATAGCCTTGATCTGAAATTTTTTTAATTTCGGAACATTAAATTAAAACGATTCAAAGGATAATCTGTAGTATTAAGTGCTTCAGATTTTGATGATATGAGAAACTGTACAGATATGTGCAAAGGAATGTTGTGTTCATATATTTCAACTTAAAACAGTACCCCTACCTAAAAAAACTGATGAAAAAGAGGCTCTAATGTTACTTTACCTTTAGCTGTGATGTCTTGTTAGTGTAGTCAGTGGCCATTTGATATAATGATGATGATAAAGTTACCATTCCCAGATATATATTAAAAATGTATTAATGTTTGATTTTATGTTTCCAGGGTGAAACTGTATGATCACACTAACTTAAGATACAAATTATAAGTAAAACAATCCACAAATATTTCTCAATACTACAAACTTACGACTTATACCCTGTATAAACATTTTCTAAAGAAACCATGAAATAGTATGCTATAGTGTTGACTCTCTTTGACAGGTATTTTAGAGCGAGAACAAGAACAATCTGTGGTTTATGGATCTATAGACTTTGGTAAAACTGTCGTAACCAATGACAAATATAAAGAACTGGTAGGTATTTCTATATCCACTCTGTGCTTGATAATGTTGCATTGGATTTGAACAATATCAAAACATGAAGGTTTGAAATTCAATGCCAGGGCATTATTTACAATTACAATTGTTTTGTTTGTTCTGCTCTTACATATTGACTATCAAGTTAAAATTTGTGAATACTAGTCCTGAAAATATATTTACAAATTCAGTACTATCAATAAGCTACATTTAAATGATTGATTAACAACAGTGATGCCTGTGAATCTTGTTATTCTTAAAAGTGTTGCCTTATTTCAATCAAAAAAAAGGTTAGATTTGTTCACTTACCAACTATAGCTTACAGATTATCTGTTCTCTTTTCAGTTGAAGAAAACATCTAGTCAATTAAAAATCAGACCTCACAAGTGAGTTTTGATTACATTTTGTTAGAATATATTGATAAGTTTATTAAGTATTAAGTAAATATTTTGTCAGACTATGTAAAATCATTGTGTTGATTATAGATGTTCTATTTACTTACATTTGAATGTTGAAAAAAATGGTATACCGTAGAAAGGCTTGTATAGTTCGCAGTGGTACATAGTCCGCACCCCCTTCTCCCCACGAAATTTTAGGAAAAAAAACTTTTTGTAACTGTTAGAAAAGGTCTAATGAAACTCCGGTAATTTCAAATCCTGTGCGGTCGTTTGCGGTATTTTCTTGGAAAAACCTGTTTTCCATCATCAAACAGAAGCTGAAACTGCTTGTTAATGATTCTAGAACGCTTCATGATTGTTAAAATAAGTTTAATTCACTTAAAAAACAATTTAGAAACTTGTGTATGTTTAAACAGGAAGTTTAAAAAGCACGTGTAAAAGAAGAAATTAACCGGTGAGAGTCGAAATCCGTACATAACAGATATCACTATAATACGACTTTGAAAGCAAAACAGTTCCATCCTTTTGTAAAACAGTCTTTAATATATCTATCACATTAATGTTTGAAGGGTCTTAAGCTAATACAAACCATATTAGTCAGTATGAAACACCAAAACGGAACGAACAATAACCGATTTCGTTTTGTAGTTTACAAATTCTAAGCTGGTTTACGGTTGTCTTTTTCACTATGTTTGTATCGTTTCAATCGAGCAGATACCAGTTTATTTCAACCAATGCATTGAAAAGAAACGAGAAATTTGTAATGAAAGGTTTAGTTTTTATATTTATCAGTATTAATTTGATATTGAATAGAAATAACTTATTAATATGGATGAGTTAAAATTATTAGTTTGAAAATGATAAGAGCGCCCTCTACAATAGAAATAACAAAGATGGCGGAACGTAAACAAACCACCTCGACCGCGAAATTGAAATTTTTCTCTTATTTCTTGCTTATTGTACTCTATAGTCCGCACCCCGTCTGGAAGGTCCAATTTTGGAGAATAAAACCGCGGACTATACAAGCCTTTCTACGGTACTTTAATGTGTGTATTTGCATACTGCAAGAGAAAATTTTATACTAAATAGAATGTTCACAAAGGAAAATCTTACCAAAAAGAGTTGTAAAAACCACTAGAAAGTTGATAAATTGCAAGGCAAAATAAATTTTAAAAAATGATTCAAATATGAATAGAATACTCCTGGAATAGGACAGCCATGATTTTTGTTTGACTTCTGATTTTAAATCAACTTATTTTTATACTTGCAGTGTGTTGAATGAAAAAAGTGAGGCAGTAGAGTTATATTCATCACTAGAGTGCAAGGTTTGTATTAACTATGACATATAAATTTATTGTTCCCAATAACTACCAACACATTTGTATTATGTTGTTCAGTATTCCTTCAGTAGAATCAGTAAGGATATTTCCAGAGTAGGTGATCTGAATACACTTTTTACCAGTATTTTTAAGCCTTGCCTTCAATAGTAATGTTTTTCAGTCTGTGTCCTTGTCCTTCTGTTGACTTTTTGTCCTTTCTGTGTCGGGTCAAAGTTTGGGTGTAAGGTAGTTAACCATAAATTGTGGTCAAACTTGTGTACATGTTCATCACGATATGAACTTTAAAAATTACATGCCAATTTGTGGTTTTGACCCTGATTTCACAAATTACTTAACATAGAAATATAGTGCGAGCAGGGTATGGTGTATAATGAACACAGACTCTTGTTTGTATTGTCCATGTTTGACATAAATGTTTATACATTTATTGTGAAAATTAATATTACCAGGAATACACACAAAGTTAATGTAACTTTTTGTGAAACTGAACCTAAAAGAGGAGTTCTGTTGAAAATTATTTACATAGAATACCAGAATATAATTTATTGGTCCATTATGATGAGCACAAATCAAGACTTTCGTTCTTCTGAAAAGTTATGAAGACCAATTTGATTCTGAAAGGACCTCAATATTTGCCTCATTTTTATGCCTCACTTACGGTAGTAGAGGGGCATTATGTTTTTTGGTCTGTGCGTCCGTTCGTTTGTTTGTTCGTCCGTCTGTCTGTCCCACTTCAGGTTAAAGTTATTGGTCAAGGTAGTTTTTGATGAAGTTGAAGTCCAATCAACTTGAAACTTAGTACACATGTTCCCTTTGATATGATCTTTCTAATTTTAATGCCAAATTAGAGTTTTGACCCCAATATCACAGTCCACTGAACATAGAAAATGATAGTGCGAGTGGGGCATCCGTGTACTATGGACACATTCTTGTTTATATAGTAGTCAAGATTAATGTGTATTTCAGTTTTGAATATTTTGACCAATTTCTTTTCCCGGAAATGGGACAAAAAAAGAGCGATTAGATTGTGATTTAACGATATACATCTTTATTTTTGAAATATGTGCTGTCCTTCATCAAGCTATATTGTCTAAAGACCAGACATTTTTTTATGGTCTAATGAATGAAACTCCCATAGAAATACATTTCTTATACTTAAACAAATATTCAAAGCTAGCTGTTATTAAAATTATACAGTTTATTTGTAATTAAATTTCAGCGAATGTCTTGGTAAATAGTAGAGACATTTTTTTTTTTAACAATTCTATTCTACTGAAATTATGTTGAAAATGTTTTTGTTTTGATTGCAGGGTATAGTTGGGAATGACCAGCGACATTATATTTTAGATTTGCTGAGAACTTTTCCTCCAGATCCAAACTACCTTAAATGTAAGTCTTAACTTGTTTTTGAGCAACAAAAAAAAATCCATATATAAATGTACTGTTGATTCCTTTACTTCTTGGTTTTGACAAATTCTACATACAGGCCTATATGAAATTTGTATTTTGTTGAAAAGTTAAATTAATGGTTCACCTATCCCCATAAAATCCACGAATAATAATGAATCTACAGCTTATGTTTTCATATACATAGAAAGCCTAGGTTACATAATTCATTTGTCCATTATGATGAGCACAAATCAAGACTTTCGTTCTTCTGAGTTGTTATGAAGACCATTTTGATTCTGAATGGACCTAAATATTTAATGCAACTTAAAAAAAGAACAATTTGTGAAGTTGTCAGCTTAAATGAAATGAGATATTATGTAAATATCCCCAGACAGCAACTTAACTCCATAACACGTTTAAAAGAATATTTATGAAGAAGTTCCTTTGAAATAGTTAACTTTCTGAAATTTTGTCATTTTTATTGACTGAATGACTGTAAGATCCTTATGTTTAATGTTTTGTTTAAAAAAAAACCTGACACGTGGATAACAAGCTTACAAATTTGAATTGGGGCTATTCCAGGGGGGTTGTAGTTTTAAGGAACTTTATTTTACAAGACATGCTACTCTTGTAATTTTATAAAAAAACGCAAGGTGAAATTTGTATTTTGAACAGTTAAGAACGATGTATCCTTGTTTTATTAAGCATTGTGCGTTCAAATCCTCAAACTTTTTTTCTGGAACAGCCTATAGAATTTGAAAAGAACACAAACATTAAATATTTAGTTGCAACTCATATCTCATTAATTGTGATTTGTATGTTAAAAATGAAGAGTAAGAAAGCCAGAACAAAGAACAACAGAAATATAAAGTAGTATTCATTAGTATAGGTACCAAAGAAATTCATGAAAATGAGTACCCTACAAATAGTAATGAATCCACATATTTTCATGTTCATAGTATACCAAGGTAACAATAGTTCATAGGTCCATTATGATAAGTCCAAATAACCAAATGTCTACTGAGTTGTTATGAAGACCATTTTGATTCTGAATGGAATTGCATTCCAGTTTTATTGTCATAAGTTATTAAGGGGTTGGACTAAGTCAACACCACAGCATGCAGTATTGTGAAAGGGGAAAAGGGGGAGGAGGGGTGGTACCTAATTTGTGTAATCAATTCCTCCTACAGTTTATAGCAGACATCCCTGCAATTTAAGGAAAAAGTTCCCACACATTTTGAAGAAATTTTTCCAGACTTTGCAAAGGGCAACAACCTCTGTTATAAGTGTGTAATACCAGAATCAAATCAGAAATTGACAAATACACTATTAGTTAATATAATAATCTGTAATTAATAATATTCTTTAATATTCTTATTATAACCTGGTGTATTTGTATTACAGTTGAAGATGAAGAATTAAGTAAAACAATGATGGAGATGGGATTCCCTCGTCAGTTCAGACATAAATTAGCATGTCTACGACAAGAATTAATAGAAACATTTGTAGAGTAAGTATTTTTTTCTAAATTCACAGAAATTATAGTTTATGATTTTTAATATTGATCAAGTTGATATTTCATGTGAAGAAATGCTTTAACTTTGCAACTATAGACTTCATAACAGTATTGAGTATTTATTGATTTGATGAAGAATGCTGGTTTATTATGAAGTTTGTGAAAATTGTGAAGTTTTAAATGAATTTATTGATGACAGATACTGGAATACAAATATCCCTGATTTCGCTCTTCTAATGAAAATTCAAACATACTTAGAATTCAGTATTTTCACGGATACTTGATTTTGATGTTTGAAAAAGATTACTGTTATTTGTTTATATAAAATAATTTTGCATTTTATACTTTTAACCAATAATTTTTTTGTTTATAGAACTAGATATGTAGCCTTTGTACGACATGCAGCCTACCAATTCCAGCAACTTCAGTTACAGAGACAAAACAAAAAAGCAGAAGATCAAACAGTGAGTTACCGTAGCAAAACTTTTAGGAATTTTAGGTCCTCAATGCTCTTCAACTTCGTACTTTATTTGGCCTTTTTAACTTTTTTTATTTGAGCATCACTGATGAGTCTTTTGTTGACGAAACACGCGTCTGGCATATGTAATTCCAATTGTGGAATCTATGATGAGTTTATTTATACATTTTCATACATAATTTGTTAAAATTTGAATGTAAAATTGAATGTACAGTTTCACATGTAATTGATGAAAATAACATCATTTTATTTAGTAATATTCAATGGTTATAGGGGCCTCGGTGGCCGAGTGGTCTAAGTAGTTACTGCTGTAATCACTAACCAGTCAACACTGAGGTTGTGAGTTTGAACCCCGCTCGTGCGGGTGCACTCGACTCCAATCTTAATCGACTAGGATTGTCAGTTTTCCTATCGAAGGTCGTGGTTTTCTCTGGGAACTCCGGCTTCCTCCACCAATAAAAACTGGCCGCCACAAATAGCCCAAAAGCGGTGCTTAAAAGTGGCGTTAAAACACCAAAAATCAAATCAAATCAAATCAATGGTTATAATGTTGTTAGATAATCACAAAGTTTTGGTGTATCCTTTTGAAAATATTGCTCAATACTTTAATTAAAAAAAAAAAGTTCGTGTAATTCATTCCAATAACTTGGAAAACAATTATTAAATAAATTTTGTATTTTCCTTAGGAATCAAAGAAAGAAGAAACAAAAGATGAGAAATCCATAGAACCTAAGGCTTTGATGAATGGACATAGTGAGACATGTGACTCAGAAGACAAAGATGAAGATATAGAAACTGATGAGGCCAAAAAAATAGTAGAAGCTCTTACTGCAGGTGATGGGCAAACATGTAAGTTTTATTTATAGATTTTTGAAACCTAAATGAACAAAAATTAAAGTCCAGGACTGGGCTTGATATTTTTAATCGTTTTGATCACCGTGAATAAAGATCACACCAGATTAAATTGTTTTTAAGGCTCTAATAAGGAACATTATAAAGTGATGTATATTTTGAAAGTAAATCATGAGAGTATAGATTGCATGCTCTTAAAACAATAAGTCCATAGTGATGAAAAATACATAAATGACTTTCGTTCTTCTGATCCTTGATGATCTCCTTATTCTGAATGGACTTGTGTTCTGATATTAAAATATTATCAGTGCTCAAACCTTGTGAAATCTAAGATAAGGGCTGTTCCATTAAAATACATGGGACCCAGGGAAGGCACTTTGAAATAACAACTATGGGTGGTACAGAGAAAGTGAAATTCTGAATTAGCCCCAATAGATTGTTATCCTATTTTGAAAGTGCCTTCCCTAATTTTAGCGTTGTGGATACAATGAAACTATTGACATGTTTGAAAATATGGAAAATAAACATAATAAAATGATTTTTTTTCAGTTGAAGAAAATAGTAAAGATATAGTGAAGAAAGCTGCACAAGCTGTTGGTTCTCTTAGTGATACAGAATTCAGTATAACCTTTAACCCCGATGTTTTCCAGTCACATGTCAAACATGCTGAACCAGAGGTAAATAAGTGATAAGAAACATCGACATAAATTATACCTTATTTAATGATCCTGGATTTTGATTGGTTGATAGCTAGTGTAAGATGATTATTGTTCATATTTTACTTGCTGGGGTGATTAAACAAGGGTATGCATTTTTTTTATAAAAAAGGTTTCATAGAAAATTTCCATGTGAAAATTGAGCAATTAAATTCATGGCTTTGAATCTTTTGTTTCAAATTAGGTGATTGATAGAAATGTTTAGTAATTTTGTTGATCAGATTTTATGGCTTTGAATCTTTTGTCTCAAATAAGGTGATTGATAGAAATATTTTATTGATCAGTGTGAATAAATATTATTTTTTTTATACAGGGTGAGACATTCAAGAAAGAAAAGAAACTAGTCAAAGATGCAGCTGAATTTTTAGTGCTTCATCAGATTCCTTCATTGGTAAGTTGTTTCAAGCGCTGTCAGATGTCAACTCCATCTTAAATTACTGTAAACCAATTTTCACGACTTTCCAGAGTAGAAAAATAATGCAAATTTACATCGTCCTTAATATGTAAAACCCCTTTCCTTATTTAACTACACCAACTACACCAAGTAAATTTGAAAATAGTGAAGTAGGCTAGAAAGGGCTAAAAGTGAGAAAAAAAATACCGGTACCTGTGAAAATAAGTTGTAAACAGTTTATAGAATGAACATACATTTTTGTAGTTTGGATGTATTCAAGGCAAACAATCTGGTGAAATACTAAGAAGGAACCAATAAATAGTGCCTTAATTTCTGTTCTTCATCTAGAGAGGTACATGAAGGTTAACAATATATAAGATTGGTAGATGCTTTTTTGTCATCCAATGGCAAATATATTAGTACAATAGGAATTTAGCTCTGACACACATTTTGAGGTCAAGATAGTCCTTAACTTTGACTAGAGCAGTAGTCTTAATGATTTTCAACAATCACAACTTCCAAACTGCTGTTCAATACTTTTGTAGTTAAAATTTGTGGACATGAAGCCAAAAAGACATTGTAAATATTCTAAAAATTAACAATCAGAGTACAGTACTTGAGTATTGAAAAGCTTTCTTTTTAGGGCTATTCCATTAAAATGTATGTGGGAGGGTAGGAAGGGACTTTCAAAATATCCCTACAACCAAGAACCATTTTTTAGATAATTTTGCATAATGGTAATAGAGGCCTACTGAAAAAAGACCCATGACCCACATTCAATAATTAAACTTCCTTTCCTACACTCCCACATACATTTTAATGGAATAGCCCTTATACAAATATATAAAAGTCCATAGTGATGAAAAATACATCATTGACTTTCGTTCTTCTGAGCCTTGATGATCTCTTTATTCTGAATGGACTTGTGTTCTGATATCATTGAATAATTCTCTGAATGTTAAAAGTACAATTTATGTTTTAATAGTACATACTATTAATTACAGGTGAATGATTGTATGGATCATACATCCTCACCTATTGATGGTCTGACCTTGACAGAAGCAATGCATAACAAGTAAGTCAAAACTTGACATGTAGAGATTGTTGGGCAGTGTCATATTCTTATATTAAAAAAGTTTGATATCAAAGAAGAATAATATGTAGTGAACTACCATTTTGTCTATTTAAATTTCTGACTTTTTGTTCCTGCAGCAATACAAAATAGATATTATATGGAAAATTGCAATGTTAGTGATGTCGCCTCTACATTTCTTTAAAAATGTTAACAAAAAGTTTAAAAAGAACAACACAAAATATATTGGAGTTATTGCCCTTGGACAGAAAATATAGATTTAAATTTTAACAAATTATTTATTTGTAGGGGTATAAATATGAGATACCTTGGTAAAGTTGCAGATGTCATGTCCAAATACTCATCTGTTTCATATGTATATGTAAGTATAAGGAGTAAGGCTTGATATAGTGATATATATTTTATTTAATTTTTCAGATTTGATAGAAATTTATGTACATTTATTATGAAAATTGATATTAAATGAAATACACAAATTTACCTACCATGTGTGAGGCTATGAAATAAAGAATCTAAAAGTAAGACCATACTTAATATGTTGATATCTTATTCCTGTCTAAAATGAACACACATGAATTTTTAACCTAAACAAATGATGAGTTGATATTTATTTATCCCACCCCTTCTCTAAAAGTTGTTATATGTGAACACTTTTTGAATCTATCAGATACCTTTTTCCTGTTTGCCGTTACTATGAATTTTTCAATATGTCGATTTTCTGAAAAATTTTCATCACTTTTCTCAGAAACTACTGGTCAGAATGACTTCATTTATGGTCAGTAGCTCAACAGTTGCAATGTTAGTGCTCTTTTTAAATCTGTCAGACACCTTCCTGTTTTCTGATACTTTGAATTACAATTCTGTATGCTTAGCATTCCTGTTGACATTGATTTAAAATGTGTGCTTAGAATACCATGGTATCAAAGTTCAGTGGTCCATTATGATGAGTACAAATAACCAAATGTCTTCTGAATTGTTTTGAAGACAGTTTTAATTCTGAATGGACTTGAATATTTACTTTCTTTCCCTGTAGTCCAAAAGTATGGCTTGCATTTCAGTATATATGCAGTATAAAGCCATAGATATTTAGTCTCAATTTCTTATTCTTCTACGTTTTGTACATTTTATTGAAAATCACAAGTTTTTAAAGAAAAATTTCATTGTTTCAATAACAATCATGAAGTGGAACATGTTATGCAATTCATTAAGGAAGCCTATATGGTTGCATTAAGATGCTAACAGCCAATCAAAAATCAAAGGTAATTACAGATCAAATTAAGAAGAACATTTGTATTGTAGGTTAAAACAAAATAAATATTTATTTAAAAATACTTATTAAATTTTCAGGATATTGTTATAGCAGAATTAATTACTAGGGCAGCTAAACATTTGTTTAAGAGTTATATGCAGGGAGTTGACATGATGAGTCTGTCGTCTGCTGTCAGCCATTTTCTAAACTGTTTTCTGGGATCTTTCCCATCTCCACATGCTCAGATAACTGCTGAGGAGGTAAGCAAAGTTGATAATCAGATATACAGTCCTGATATTGAACAAGAATATATCTATATTCTCAGCTGCAAAATATGAAATAATGAAAGGTCTTGCAGTCAGATTGATTAACTACCATTACATTTGCATAATATCTAACCATGGGTACTATTGCAAGCATTAGGCAATTGGTAAGTTTTTGTTGTATTCTGGAAACATTTTATTAAATACAGCTTATAATAAAAAGGTATCAAAATTCATTGGTCCATTATGATGAGTACAAATCAAGACTTTCGTTCTTCTGAGTTGGTATGAAGACAATTTTGATTCTGATTGGACCTAAATATTTGATACATCTGAAAAAAGAGATCAGTTTGAATCTATTAGCATAAATGAAAGGGGATTTAATGGGAGTTGGAAGGCATCTTTTCCAAGACATATATGTACCATCCTTGCAATTCAAAAAAAAATATATATATATTTATATAGTGAATAGGGTTCTTACCCATCATCCATGTATTATTATAAAAAATCACCTCTAACCCTTATTCCTTTTTTTCTGGAATATCCTTTAGAAAAAAAACATTAGTATGTTGAGTTGAGTAATTTAAAAGAAGATAAATGTTTAATATTTTGTTGCATCTTATTTCTTATTAATTGTGATTTGTATGTTTAAAGTTGCAGAGTAAGAAAGCCAGAAGAAAGAATAATAGAAAAAATAAAGCTGTATTAGTTAGTATAGGTAAGTTTTGATAAAGTATTTACATTGTTGGTCGTAGGACTTCCTGCTTTACACAAACAGAGACTCCTATGTTTTTTTGTGAAAAAAAAATATGTAGAAACAATTCTTGCTAGGGAAAATCATTAAAAGAATGATACTGTTGATTCCTATATTTTTATTCCCCCGCCATAGCGGAGGGGCATTAAGGTTTACCTTTGTCCATCTGTACGTCCCAAAATTGGTTTTAAATTTTAAGTACTTTTTCTTTAATTTTTTCTATGGTAAAACCAAAATTACCCATCGCTTATTTAATATTTTTATAGAAGTGCCTTCTGACCACCACTTCCAAACTATGTCATTTCTTGGAAAGCCCATAGAAGGATCAGGCATATAATGGATTTTTATTATTTGTAATGATATATAACACTTTTTACCTTATTTTTACATGGAAAGTCTGAGGTTTTGTCATATATTTATTGTGTCATTTTTATACATCAGATAACACAGAATGGGTAAATGATACACCCAAAACAGTTTGGAAGAAAGTGGCAGATGAAGTTCAAGATTATTTCCAGTACACATTAGACTGGTAAGTAACTATAACATCTGTTTATAACCAACACTTGTGTTAGAAGAAGTTCAAGCTTATCATCAGTACTATTCCATCTATTTATAACCCAAACATGTTTTGGATGAAGTTTAAGATTATTTTTACACATTAGTTTAATAAGTTTTGTCATCCGTGTTATACCATATGTTTATAACCCAAACGTGTAAGATGAAGTTCAAGATTATCACCAGTACTTTTCCATCTGTTAATAACCCAAACATATGTTGAATGAAGTTCAAGATTATTATCATTGTACATTAGACTGGTAAATTTTACCATCAGTACTATTACATCTGTTAATAACCCAAACTTGTGTTAGATTAAGTTTAAGATTATAATTATTTCACAGTAGACTGGTAAGTTTTATGACGAGTACTATTTTTTATGTTTATAAGCCATAAATTATGTTTTTTTTCTTCGTTTCAGTGATTCTATAGATAGTGCCTTAGAAAGGTATAACTTACAGAGGGTATCCCTGTTGAGACAGTTCTGTCTGAAGGTTGGAATTCAGATCTTACTGAAGGAGTATAATTTGGATGCCAAGAATAAACAAGTGTTCTATGAAGATGATATAATCAATGTCTTTCCTATTGTTAAAAATGTTCATCCTAAGGTATGTAGTTTTAGCCTAGAGAATTATTGTTTGAGAATGTTTAAACATATAGAATAAAGATATTTTTAATTGCTTCAAGAATTTGAATGTACTTATAAAATGGAGTAACCTCCCTGTTTGTAAAAAACTTTTCCACAATGATAGTATAGTGTGGAAAACAAATTTAGCATTTAAAATTGTTCATCTATTAGGTCTCATTTAATGTAATGGAATATCCATGTGATGTCGTTTTTGTGTGTATATGATCATTCTTGTGAAAATAAGTTATAATATAAGAATATTTGAATAGAAATTACACAAATAGAATCTTTAAGGGTGTTCACTACTCTGTTTCAAAATAACAATTAAGAGCACACAAATAAACGAATTAAAAAAGCTAAAACAAGATAAAGGGTCCATGTGCTTGTTTTTCAGATATAAGCTATAGAAAATTTGGCAGGAAATGATTCTCTAGATTTTTCATACATTTAATATTGGCACTTTTTTTCTTGCAAAAACTATTAAAAAATAACAAGGATTTGATAAGATTTTCAAACATGGCTTTTTCAACTATATGTAATAAAATTATGAAAAGAAAAGTAGGGGTTAGCAGGTAAAATTTTTGATGGCACTACATGGATAAAACCAGAGGATTCTGAATATCTGGCAAAAACTCAGAAACAAGAGGCGCAAACATCCTTAACTCAAATTCTACAAATCATTTTGTCAGTTTACAGTCAATTCAAAGAATTTACAAAATATCTAATTCAGCCTAAATGAAAATTTTATTTAATTTTTTCAAACCGTGAATCATTTGGGCATAGTTTATAATACAATATACAAATCATGTATCATTGTACATAGAATAAGAATGAAATTGATGAAGGAATATTTTTTTACCAGTGTGCACTGCATATAATTTGTTGTATTTGTTATAGGCCACTGATGCTTACCACTTTTTCACAAGTGGACAGACAAAGATTCAACAAGGATTGTTACGGGAAGGTTATGAACTGATCAGTGAGGCTCTGAACCTACTGAACAATGTGTATGGACCCATGCATGCTGAGATTGCTGCCTGTCTACGATTGCTTGCCAGACTTAATTATATAATGGGAGAATATGGAGAGGTCAGTGTGTCAGTATTTGGGAAAAAATTGTGTAATAAAAAAAAAGAAAATTTCACCTTTGACCTTTTAATAAGCTACACAAGTTTTGTTTGTATGTTTTATTAAAACACCTGAACAAGCTGGAGTTATTTATATTATAGCTGAATATTATTTTAGAAAGTTCAAAAAGGTGCTAAAGTGTGACTTGTGGCTTGTAACTTGCATATCTAATGAAAGAAGGAAACATGTTTCAAATAAAATCAGAAAATGATCAAATTTCAATAAATATCACCTTTCTGTGTTTCTTTTTTAAAGTTTAATCTTGAGTTGGCAAGAGAAATGAATAAGTGAATTTTTGTTTTAGGCCATGTCGTATCAACAAAGAGCAGTACTAATGAGTGAAAGAGTACTTGGTATAGATCATCCAAATACTATTACAGAATATGTAAGTCTACAAAAGTATTTTATTCTTCAGTCAATGGACAATGATGGAAATTGAAAAAAAAATGTTTCAAGATAATTGTTTTATTTGACTAAGATTATCTGGAATCAATTACTTCAGCCTCTCTAGAACTTTGAAGTATTATTTAGGAACTGACTTAGCTATTTTTATTTATTTTCCCTGGATTTACATCTTTCCATTGCCAAAATTTAGTTTGTGGGTTAAAGATGGCTTTGTATTGATTGATGACTTTTATTATCAGCTTTGAGGTTAGGAAAAAATGTAATTGTGAGTCCTTTTCATTTCTGACATATTATATGCAATAGCTGTTCCAGATAAGTGTCATTCAAGGAAATAATATATAGTCGGTTGGACACAACTTTTTTTGTTTGTTTGTTTTTTTGTTTTTTGTTTTTTTGGTAAAAGGGGTTAAAAGGGGTTAAAGAAAATACAATTGTATTGCAAATGAAAATAAACAAATATGGGTGGTTGGGTCTAGAATGTATTTTAGCATTAGGTGCTGCCTTTTATCTCTACACTTATTGACACAGTTTTCCATTTACAGTTTTCCCACCAGTCAGGAGTTCATTTATATAAACATGTATTACCTGTTTCAGGCACACCTTGCCTTGTACTGCTTTGCCAACAGTCAGGTATCTATTGCCTTACGATTGATGTACAGAACAAGATATCTTGCCTTGTTATGCCATGGTGACAATCATCCAGAAGTAGCTCTTATAGATGTAAGTACATGTATAATGGAATAACATGCTTCTTAATAGAAAACCAATCTTATGATTTGTCCCATTTAATGGGAGTACAGCAAGGATCCAGAAATGGTCATATTTGATACTTGACCAATTTATGAAGAAGAAAAAAAACATATGAGTGAAATGAAATTCCAAATTTATCAAGATAAGACATTTTCAACAGTCTGTCATTAATTGCAATTTTTTTTCAATATTTTTTCTAACCAACATATTCATTCCAAATAATTCATTTCATAAACAAAACTTTATCAACTGGTTTACAGCATGAACTTCTTCAAATTTTGTACCTGTTATAATAAAATCCTTCTATGATTTGTGAACTGCAAGTTATTATTATCTCTTCTTACAATTCGATAAATATGAACTGAAAGTAAAGTCTTTACAGAAAGATATTAGGTAATTATAGTTTTTAAGTCTTTCAGTCCTGCTACTTTGTGATTTCAGAGTAATATAGGTTTGATCTTACATGCAGCAGAAGAGTATGAACTATCATTGAGATTCTTAGAGAATGCCCTGCAAATAAACTCAAAGTAAGTTTTTATAGATTTTTTTATTTGATAATCATAATTCTACATAGTTATATTGCAAGTGTGTGAAGTTTTAAAGTCTCCACTTAACATTGTATGTCGATTTAATTCACTTATTAGAAAATGTGTATAGACTTACTAATCTTGACTTGATAGTAAAGTATTGTATGATTTATCAAATTGAAGAAGAAAGAATAATATAATACAGAATTGTTTGTAAAGTTCATACTGATTTGGTAATGTCGCAAATTAATGGTCTGAAATTGTGCATGAAAGAGACATTTTGGGACTGATTTTAAAATGTATGATTTAGAGATGGGTTTTTTTTTCAGTTGCAGTAGAATAGACATTACATTATTGTAATTGAAGATTTGCAACCATCAAATTACAAATTGATGCTAGAAAATCTTCAAGTTCAATACTGTTGTCTCCCTAATCTTCTCATGCATAACCCTGCCTCAACTAGCAAAGATCAACCTTTCAAAGAAGATCTTAAACAAGAAAAGTGTAATATCTATTAAAAAAAAGTTCTACAGGAGGATCAATCCATAATGAGAATAATCTATGCAAGGACAGTCGAAAAACTAAGAAAAAGGGAATCTATAAAAACCTGAGAAATGCTTTCAGAATGAGACTGATATTATCAACTTTCAGGTTTAATTCATAACAGCATAACAAACTTAAGCTTTAGATAAGCGAATTGAGATATGATTTTGATTATTTCTATATTAAATTTCATTCTCTCTAGATTCCATGGTGCTAAAAGTTTAAAGGTTGCTATGAATTACCACTTGGTAGCCAGGACACATTCCTGTAGGGGAGATTTCAGGGCAGCTTTACAAAGTGAAAAAGAAGCTTTTACCATCTACAAACATATGGTAATGTTCATATTTAGTCAGATAAATCTATGCATATATATTAAAAAGTAGACATAATTGAAGTTAATCTGAACAGAATTAAGTAACAGGTTGATAGCTCTCTGTTCATTCTGATCATTTCAAATATTTATGGAATTATTTAAAAACAAAAACTTGCAAGTGGAACATTATTGCTGAAAGACAATCTTGTATGATGATACTATTCATTGAAGAGCTCATTAACCAAAGAACTACTCTTAAATTGTTAAAAATTAATCTAAGTGTAAGCACTCTGAAGATACTAAGGGGATATTCAAAACACAAAAGTCAAAGTGAAAATGACAACGCCTTAAAAAAAGAGAGAGAAATAAATGATGAAAAACCCAACAAGTCCACAAAATGCAACATAGAAAACTAAGACTTGAGCAACACAAAACCCTCCAAAAACCAGGGGTGGACGTTGATTGGAATTTTTTACAAGTTGTCCTGCAAAGAACGGTATAGTTTTATTGAGTCAAACTCACCTATTTGTCTTTTCATACGACCGCAAAAATTGAAAATTTTTTGGTCGTATATTGGTATGACGTTGGCGTCGTCGTCGTCGTCGTCGTCGTCTGGCGTCGTCGTCGTCTGGCGTCGTCCGGCGTCGTCCGAAGACACATTGGTTTTCGCACTCTAACTTTAGTTTAAGTGAATGGATCTCCATGAAATTTTACCATAAGGTTCAATACCACGAAAGGAAGGTGGGGATTGATTTTGGGGGTTATGGTACCAACAGTTAAGGAATTAGGGGCCAAAAAGGGGCCAAAAATTAGCATTTTTGTAACTTACAGACAATAACTTGTGTGTAAGTGTATGGATCTCTCTGACATTGTACCACAAGGTTCCATATCACAAAGGGAAGGCTGTAATTGATTTTGGGGGTAATTGCCTCAAAATTTTAGGAATTAGGGGCCAAAAAAGGGGCAAAAAACAAGCATTTTTCTAGTTTCATGACAATAACTTGTGTGTAAGTGTTTGGATATTTCTGAAATTGTACTACAAGGTTCCATATCACAAAGGGAAAGCTGGAATTGAGTTTGGGGGTAATTGCCCGAAACGTTTAGGAATTGGGGGCCAAAAAGGGGCCAAAAATAAGCATTTTTCTAGTTTCCAGACAATAACTTGTGTTCAAGTGTATGGATCTCTCTGAAATTGTACTGCAAGGTACCATACCACAAAGGGAAGGCTGGGATTGAGTTTGGGGGTGATGAATCATAAGGGGGTTCAAAAAATTTGGGGGGGGGGGGATTTTTTTTTTTCTTTTTTTTTCTTTTTTCCTTTTTTTTTTCTTTTAAAATTTTCCATTTTAAGTTGGTTATTTCTGATTAATATTTAAAAGCAAATAATAATGATATGGTAGGAGATACACACCAAACAGGATGTGTAAATTATTATATAATAAGTATTGTGCAATAGCAAGAAATTTTCAATTGCACAGTATTGCACAACTGCAAGAAATCTTCAATTGCACAGTATTGCGCAATAGCAAGAAATCTTCAATTGCACAGTATTGCGCAATAGCAAGAAATATCCAATAGCACAATATTGCGCAATAGCAAGAAATTGTCAATTGTACAGTATTGCACAATAGCAAGAAATATTCAATTGCACAGTATTGTGCAAAAGAAGATACTTCGTATAAATTGCTTATTTCTTGATCAATTTCAATGGGGTTTTATTCTTGAATTCTTGGGGTTCTTTAATATGCTGAATCTAACCGTGTATTAAGTTTTTGGATTTTGGGCCCCGTTTTTAAATTGGTCCACATTGAGGTCCAAAGGGTCCAAAATTTAACTTTCTTTGATTTCATCAAAAATTGAATTATTGGGGTTCTTTGATATGCCGAATCTAACCGTGTATTTAGATTCTTAATTTTTGGTTCCGTTTTCAAATTGGTCTACATTAAGGTCAAAAGGGTCCAAAATTAAACTTAGTTTGATTTTAACAAAAATTGAATTTTTAGGGTTCTTTGATATGCTGAATCTAAACATGTATTTAAATTTTTGATTATGGGCCCAGTTTTCAAGTTGGTCCAAATCGGGGTCCAAAATTAAACTTTGTTTGATTTCAACAAAAATTGAATATATGGGGTTCTTTGATATGCTGAATCTAACCATGTATTTAGATTTTTGATTTTTGGGCCCCGTTATCAACTTTGTCCACATTGAGGTCAAAAGGGTCCAAAATTAAACTTTGTTTGATTTCATCAAAAATTGAATTCTTGGGGTTCTTTGATATGCTGAATCTAACCATGTATTTAGATTTTTTATTTGTGGACCCGCTATCAAATTGGTTCATATTGAGGTCAAAAGGGTCCAAAATTAAACTTTGTTTGATTTCATCAAAAATTGAATTATTGGGGTTCTTTGATATGCCAAATCTAACCGTGTATTTAGATTTTTAATTTTGGGTCCCGTTTTTAAATTGGTCTACATTAAGGTCCAAAGGGTCCAAAATTAAACTTAGTTTGATTTTAACAAAAATTGAATTCTTGGGGTACTTTGATATGCTGAATCTAAACATGTGTTTAGATTTTTGATTATGGGACCAGTTTTCAAGTTTGTCCAAGTTGGGGTCCAAAATTAAACTTTGTTTGATTTCAACAAAAATTGAATATATGGGGTTCTTTGATATGCTGAATCTAAACATGTATTTAGATTTTAGATTTTTGGCCCAGTTTTCAAGTTGGTCCAAATTGGGGTCCAAAATTAAACTTTGTTTTATTTCAACAAAAATTGAATATATGGGGTTCTTTGATATGCTGAATCTTACCATGTATTTAGATTTTTTATTTTGTGGGCCTGCTATCAAATTGGTTCATATTGAGGTCAAAAGGCTCCAAAATTAAACTTTGTTTGATTTCATCAAAAATTGAATTATTGGGTTTCTTTGATATGCCAAATCTAACCGTGTTTTTAGATTTTTAATTTGGGTCCCGTTTTTTAAATTGGTCTACATTAAGGTCCAAAGGGTCCAAAATTAAACTTAGTTTGATTTTAACAAAAATTGAATTCTTGGGGTACTTTGATATGCTGAATCTAAACATGTATTTAGATTTTAGATTTTTGGCCCAGTTTTCAAGTTGGTCCAAATTGGGGTCCAAAATTAAACTTTGTTTTATTTCAACAAAAATTGAATATATGGGGTTCTTTGATATGCTGAATCTTACCATGTATTTAGATTTTTTATTTTGTGGGCCTGCTATCAAATTGGGTCATATTGAGGTCAAAAGGGTCCAAAATTAAACTTTGTTTGATTTCATCAAAAATTGAATTATTGGGGTTCTTTGATATTCCAAATCTAACCGTGTTTTTAGATTTTTAATTTTGGGTCCCGTTTTTTAAATTGGTCTACATTAAGGTCCAAAGGGTCCAAAATTAAACTTAGTTTGATTTTAACAAAAATTGAATTCTTGGGGTACTTTGATATGCTGAATCTAAACATGTGTTTAGATTTTTGATTATGGGACCAGTTTTCAAGTTTGTCCAAGTTGGGGTCCAAAATTAAACTTTGTTTGATTTCAACAAAAATTGAATATATGGGGTTCTTTGATATGCTGAATCTAACCATGTATTTTGATTTTGGACATTGGACCATAATAGGTAAATTAAAAAAATTGAAGTTCTTAGACCACATTCTTTCTGTGTCAGAAACCTATGCTGTGTCAAATATTTAATCACAATCCAAATTCAGAGCTGTATCAAGCTTGAATGTTGTGTCCATACTTGCCCCAACTGTTCAGGGTTCGACCTCTGCGGTCGTATCAAGCTGCGCCCAGCGAAGCATTTTATTTTTTTTGCACTGGAGATTTGAGTACCCAGCAAAGTGGGTACAAGGACAACTGTTATTTTCACAGTTAATACAGGAATATGATTGATTTTTGTGTATTTATAGCTTGGAGAAGAACATGACAGAACAAAAGAGAGTTCAGAATGTTTGAAGCACCTCACACAGCAGGCTGTCGTCTTTCAGAAGAAAATGAACGAGATCTATAAAGGAGAAAAATCAATTACATTCCCTCCATTACAGATACAAACACCTTCCATTGGCAGTGTGTTAGAAACATTAAATGTTGTTAATGGAATCGTATTTGTACAAATCAGGTATTTATCTCCCTTATTATCTGTTTAGCATTTCTACCGATGACGCAAAGGCAAAAATGTCTAGAGCATGTAGCTGTGGAAATGCTGGGAAAAAAACATAAAAAAGGGCATTTTGCATGATTTTTCAAAACAAATTAAATTATAAAATGTCATTGTGATAGAATTTTTCATATTATAAGCGTTTTTTATTATAGTTTATATTCTTTAACTTTGATCGGGTTAATGAATCATAGGCCCTGCATGTAAGAGTAATATTACTATGCTGCATCTGCTGTACGTACTAACTGTTGCAATGGGCAAAAATTTTCAAAATTCTCAGTTTGAAAGAATGAAATCACATGGAAACTTGAAAAAGTATGTTGTGTATGGTAATCTAAAATTCTAAAACCTCTTGTAAAAAGTAAAAAGAATTCGGTGTATGGTAAAATAAGGAATGGTTGGTTTTTTTCAGCCCTGAAGATATTGAAAGATTCAAGAAACAAATGGCTCTTAAATCAGTAGAGAAGGACAGTGAACTAGAACTAAAAGAACCAGAGGACAAACTGTCAATCAAGGAAGTCAAGGAGGAGTTACCAAATGGAACATTAACCAATGGCAGTTTAGAAACAAACACTAGCGAAATGTCTCTGCCCTTAGATTGAAGATCAAAGGTCAAATGATGGTGGTGTGACCATATATGCAAGCATTTAATCAAAAAGATGCAAAGCAGAGAACATTGATGTGCAAACTTGGTCAGGTATTCGTGTTCAGTGAAGTGTAAAGACAATATGTTGTACCAGTTCATAGAATTGTGGCTGATCAGTTTCGCTGTTAGGTTATAAGCTGATCTGTTGTTTTATATTGAAAAAAAAAGATATTTTAACATTTTTACTGCCACTATTCAAAGACCTTAGTGATCTGTATAAAATAATAATTATGTATACAGTAGCACTTAAGAAGTAGAAATGACTGTATATTATGTATAGAAGTGTGGTTTGTTAAGTTTATTTCATTTATCTATGAGAGTTGTCAAATTTAATACATATAGCTGTGATTTTTAGAAGAGTGTATGTCTATATATGTGTATGATGACCAGTTTAATTAATGAATTGTGATTTTGATTAATATATGTTATATGAAGTATTTGATCATGATAATAAGTATATTTGAAAAATTTCGTCCCTTTGCATTTCTATACTATACAATTTTTTTTTATGTACACAGAAATTTCTTGGATTATTTTACATAAAGTGTATACTCCACAGGATTGCAATGAAACTTCAAACATTATACACATCTGTTGATAACATTTTTGAATTAAAAGGAATTTAAACCTTCGTGGCTGTTGCATTAAAACTTAAAAAAAAAAAAAGAAAGGTACATGGTTCCCAGCAAAAACACTTTGAAAATAGGGAAACAACGTTTGGAGGCAATTTTATAACTCCTCTTACTTTTTCACTGTACAAAAACACTCACCCATAGATGATGTTTTAAAGCCTTCTGGGTCACATGTATGTTTTTACGGAACAGCCCTTAATGGAGATAATAAGGATTAAACTTCATTTTTGAGACTTCTACAATTTCAGAGTAAAAACATCCATATATTTTATATAAAGATTTTTCTTGGAACAAGTTACCCGTTATACATCGTGAGATAAACCAGATAGAAAATATTGGTATTGTACAGTTTTCTGAAGATAAAAAAGGAATAGTAATGAATTTTCGTAAAATTATACATGTTACTCATGTATTACATTTTTTTTTTATCACAAAACATTAATATCATAATGAAGTTTATCATCTGAAATAAAATATTGTATGAAGTATTCAAAAATATGTAAATATGTAAATAATTTTCGAAGCATGTATATACCATTATTTAGTTTTATTTCAAGGCATAGTTGCATGATTGAGGCTTATAGATTTTTTTTAAGATAGTCTGAAATAATGTGTCATGCATGAAATACTTGCCACTGGACATAAAGCAACCAACAACCGATCAATGTATTGTGCACAGTTCAAATCATCATGTGATTAATGGCACACATTATTGAACCATTGGTTAATTTCAAATCACACTTTGTTTCAATGAAATTATGTACTCAAGCATGAAGCTTGAAATCTTTTATACTGAATTTTTATTTTTTCATTTTATGAAGAGTAAGTTTTAGTACGGAAAATATGACATTGAGGACAAAAATGCAGAATAAAAAGTGTCTTGAAGAAAGAAAAAAAAAAAAAAATTGATAGTTATATATGTAATAACTTTGCTACTTAACTTGTCTGACAAGACAAACTTATAGATCAGTGAAAATATATGTCGTCAAATATGGTGCATGTCAATATTATTTTTAGTTGTGTATTTTACCCAATCATCCAATCAAATTCATAGATGACATGATATTTAATTATGTCTTTATGACACATTCCAAGCGATATTAGTGCTATAGTGTTGCTTCATTCCATTTATTTTTTATTTAGTAGATCTGTAGTGTAGATTCCTCTATTCCAGAATTCCTAGTTTGGTGCTCCTAATGTTTCTTTATGTGCATGTATATATTATCATTAAGGGGAGTCCACTCAGTTTTCAGGGGAGATGATTGTATTATTTGAAAGAGGTGTTTTGTGATTGAAATATTTTTTCATTTAAGAAAATCATGCATTTTGTATTAAATTCTGTTTCAAAGATTTTCTGATTTGTTAAATTCATTACTGTTGTCAGGGATTCATTGTTGGGGGGCAACAAATTGTGAAACAACCAGCAAATGAGATATATTCTGCTTTAAAGGCCACAATGAACTTTTTTTGTTTTGTTTTGTTGTTGCTGATATCTTTCTTTGATCTCTAGTTGAAGATTTAATATAAATATTATCTTGAGCTTCAGTATTTAATGAGAAAATATATTAATGAATAAAAGGTGTATCATTATAGATCATAATAAAGGGTAAGAAATAACCATAGAATATCTTCATAACATATATTATTTATTTATAAGAAAAACATTATTGATAGCAATACTATTGAGAAAGAAAGTCTAGTTATTTTACAGCAAAGACTGTTTTAACTTTTACCCAGTTTACCGTTATTTTGCAAATTTGATAAAAGTTGTAAGAGCAATTAAAAAATACAGTGTTGACAATAAACTAAGGTGAATTTACCTGAATTGTTTTTTTTTTACTGAAGCAGTTTTTGTGTCGACTACAAAACTAAGGCCTTCTGTTTCTGGCGTAAAATGCAGGAGAGACATATCTCAAACCAATAACTTTTTTTCATAACATTGGTAACAGTTTGAATAAAAAACAGGTATTTAAAAAAAAAATACTGAAAACTGGTCTTTGCTTTAAGATGAAATATTTATGTTTCTGTGTGTGATTATTTTAGTATTATGAATGCAAGTGAAATAGTTTTTGCCAATTATTTTATCATTTTGTGCCAATTATCCATATTTTAGACAGAACAAGAAATACACTATAATAGTATATATGTACATATTGTTTTGTTATTTGTGTGTGATAGAACAACATTAGTTGACAATTTTGTTTGTTTGTTTGATATTATAGTTAATGAGGACGGAAATACAAATAAAATCAGTCGAGGTTGGTTGGGAAGATAACTCTATATGTAATCGGTGTATCTATTGCTTAAATGGATATTATTTCCATGTTATAGAATCATATAGTAGAATCCCCCAAAAAGTAAGAAAAAAACAAGAAAAAAAAATTAAATAAGATGAATGATGCAATTGCATATAAATATCTTTATTTAAAAATGATATAAATAATGCAATTGCAAAAAAAAAAAAAAAAAACAATTAAAAAAAAAAATATATATATATATATATGAATACATTAATTAAAAAAATAAAGCAAAAAACAACAAAAACCTTTTAAAAAAACATTGGCTGAGAGTCTGGTTGTATTTAAACAAGTGTGTCATATTGCATTTAAACTTAGATAATTCATGTATGTGTTGTTTGTAATCATATGCATTCATTTTCTTAAATCGTCAATAAATGTATACTAACAATCATTAAGGCTATTCCTTGAAATGGATATGGAAAGGTAGGATGGATTTTCAACCCATCCACCCCCTTTTCTATTATAAAGGTATTTTGCATACAGATTTAAAACCATAAATACCCAAAACCTATGTCCAAAACTTCCCTTCCAACCTTCCTACATTTATTTTATTGGAATAGGCCTTGACAAGGTAAAGATACTGTTAGCAGCTCACTTCACAAGAAAGAGACTTAATGTTTATGTACTAGAACTTATAACTAGGATGAACCTTTCATTTTTTATGAAACACCAGTAAATTTGAGAAAAGGCTAGTTTTAAGTATTCCACAGATCAAACATTATTGCTTTCATTTATTTTCGTTGGTATCAATTTTTGTGGATTGAGGAAAACTTATTCCTGAATATTTGATTTCGTGGTTTTGCCAAAGTCTGCATATATTCCAATAGATAATTTGTAATTCGATGAAACATTAAATTCATGGTTCTGCAGTATCTATGAAATTTGGTATCTGACAAATAACAAAGAATCAACATAAATGGTTTCCAGGTCCTAGCTTCCCCAATAAGCTGGTTATCTCCTTAGCAACATCCTGGTATGTCCCTGATCCTTATATGTGTTAGAGCCAATTAGATAAAGGACAAGCAACCAGTCAAAGCTTCTCAACAATGTCGACTGATTCTGTTGTATTTCTGTCATATTTGTTGTGACACTAATTAAATCCTTCAGTGGATATGATTTTTAATAATAAAGATGAAAAAAGTATGAGATTTTGTTTTTGTTGTTTATAGTGAACATGTGGGTAGACCTATTAAACATGTTGATTTTTTTGATTTAAAATGTACAATCTGTCAATAGTTAGACAAAACAAGTTTGACTGAGAGCTGATGAAAATGCATCACACTGTATGACATGCTCACATGAAGTTTGATGCCAAAAATGAGAAAATATGACGAAAATGTCATACATGGATGTTATGTGTAAGATTATGAAAGAACTGGGTAAACAAGAAGTTGATGAGTGATGTATGTGAACATGCATTACACTGGGATTATTATTTTGCATACAAGCTTATAGAAAATTTGTACTTCGTTGAAATTTAAATTTGTGGATCCCCTTTAACCACAAAATATACAAAAAAAATTGGTATCCAACCAATGATAATGAACCCACAGTATGTGAATGTGACGACACTGATTTATCATTTTAGAACTGTTTAGTAGCAAGTAGAAGAAATGATCCTAAACATCAATATATTTAGAAAGGAAAAGGTAGTATTTCATTATATACTGTAATTTCAGAAATCATTGTGAGGTTTTTTTAATGGGAATAATACTTCTGGAGTATCACAATAATAAGAACTGGCATTCTCATATCTGATACATGTATCTGTATGTAGCTATTCCAAAAATTGCAATAATAAATTTTTGTTCATTTTTCAACAATAGCAATAATAAATGCGAACAACAATAATTTCTGAATTTACAGTTTATAAGAGATGCAAATAGACTAGTATTCAGTATGCAAATATTGTTGACAGAGAGGTTTAGTTTATAGTATACAGTACTATCAAGAAACCCAAAGACTTGTTTCACTTTTTGTCATACAGTAAACATAAATTAGTAAGAAAGAAATAAAAGAAAGGGAATTGTAGCAAGTCTAGAGTCCTAACAGTACCCTATGGATGCTTACACCCTCGTTCATTGGTGTCTGGTTGATAGTTGTCTCTTAGGCAATGCTACCTATCCTATTTTTTTGTCTCACAGGTGCGAGAATGGGAGATGGGGATTACAATCCAGCGGCAGGGTTAACTATTTCTACCTTGTATGCAGATGCCTTATGTTACAAAAATTCTGTTTGTCAGATGACCATTGTCCTTGACCTCATATTCATGTTTCAGCAACTGCCTGAAATTTTTTTGTTTGTCATGTGAAATACTAGTACTTACTCATTTATTGTGAGTAATAGAAAAACTATATTTGATATATGGGATCCTTGCAAGGTCTGCATGTCAGTCAGGGTTCACCTGACCTCAACTTCATTTTCTTGCATCATAAAGTTAATTTTTCATTGTCAAGTCTGTATCTCAGATACTATAAGCGATAGGTCAACTATATTTAGTGTGTGGAATGATTGTAAGGGGTACATGTCAGACTGTCTGGTTTCATCTGTCAGCCTCGACCTTGTATTCGTGGTTCATTGGTCAATGTTAAATGACCGCCTCGGTGGTCTAGTACAAAGCAGGGTTACTAGTAATAATCATATTACATTAACATGTTCTTGTCCCAATATGCATATCAATTTGCTGCTGGACGTTAAGCAGCCATCCATTATCATCATCATCATTGGTCAATGTTCAAATTTGTGTGGTTTGGTCTGTATTTCAGATACTATTAGCAATATGTCGGCTGTATTTGGTTAAAGAATGATTGTAAGGTGTATTATGTCTGTCCGACAGGTTTCATCTGACCTTGACCTTTTTTTCATGGTTCTTTGGACAATGTTCAATTTTACCGGTTTGGTCTATTTTTCAGATACTATAAGCAAAAAAGTATAACAAAAATACCGAACTCCACAAGACAAATTCAAAAAGGGGAAGTCCATAAAAACTGACAAATTCAAACACTATCAATCAACAGAGCAAGTGAAAAACAACTACCATATTCCTGACCTAGTACAGGCATTTTTAGAAGAAAATAGGGCCACTATATTTGATGAATGGAATGATTGTTAGGTGTGTATGTCTGTCTGGCATTGACGGTTGACCTCATTTTCATGGTTCATTGGTCAATGTTCAGTTTTCACAGTTTTGTCTGTTTATTAGATACTACAAGCAAAAGGTCAAGTATAGTGGGTGTATGACTGTATGCAATGATTGTTAGGTCATGTATGTTTGGTGTATGGAATGATTGTTAACTGAGCTTGACTGTCTGGCAGGGTTCATCTGACCTTGACCTCATTTTCATGGTCATTAGTCAATGTTCAGTTTTTATAGGTCAACTAAATTTGGTGTAGAGAATGATTGCAGTGTTCATGTTGTATGGAAGGGTTCATCTGACCTTGAGTTCATTTATATGGTTCATTGGTCAATGTTCAAAATTTCGTAATTAGGTCTGTTTCTCAGAAACTAGAAGAATAGTCTAACTATGTTCGATGTATGGTATAAATTCAATCATGATAAGTAAAGCAGGCTAGACATTTCAGTGTGTCCACTCTTGTTAAATCAAAATGTCTTCTGCTTATTAAGTGTCAATCTGCCTATTAAGAATCAGGCAGTGGTGAAAACATGACAAACAAAAACCCACTCAGGTTGACATTAATTTATGTTCAAAATGTATAATGGTGCACGAATATAACATTAGTTTCATTTTCCTGTTCTGGTAATTCAAGATATTATATGGTTGAAATGCACTAGAAATTGACAATTAAGGGGAGCGAACTCCGTAATTTGCTATCAGTCTAACCAAAAGTTATCTAGAGATTTCTCGAGTTACCAGACACACAGAAATGAATTACCTACCACTTCTGACTCAGGATAAGGATAACTTCAAAATAGGATGGTTTAGTCAGTGGGTTTTTTTCGGTCATGTTTTGATTTTTTTTTAAATTGCCTGATTCTTACAAAGACAAGCACTTAATTGTGTTATTGGGTTGATGTGTTATTGACCTTTATCCAACATCTTTTTTTTTGGCACTTGTATTTCAAATTCACCTTTACCCTATATCTCTGTACAGCAGATTTAGCCTGAACTTTCTTTTCATGGCATCACCCGTCCTCATACTTTGTTACATTGGCTCAAAAAACAGAGTACAGAATTTTATTGCAGATTCACAAATTGTTTATTTCACATTTTGAACCACAATTAAATAACAAGCAATAGCAACATTATTGGAACAAAACAAATGTACTACTGTAAGAATAGTCCTGGAAAATGCTATCTATGTTGTCACTATGATATTACGTAATTTATTTTAAATAAATGATGAACCTTAAAACTAATAACATTTTTCATCTCCAAAGTATTATATTAAAGCCATTCAAATTTTTTTATGGATATTGGTATCATCTTTAAAAAAGTTACAGACATAAAAAAAGACAAACTTATGGAGTGGCGCAAGCATGTGACCCCTGAAATAAATAAAAAAAATTTAAAAAAAAAAAAATGGGGGTGGGGGGACATAAAAGACATCAAAATTTGTTCTTAGGTTTGCACTCTATAATTTTAAATCCTGGATTTGCATCCAGAAACTTAAATTTTTATATCAAAATTTAGACAGTCAAACTTCCATAAAAAAAAATTAGATTTGTTGAACACGACCGCATTGAGATTGATATAAATTTAATTGTAATGTTAGTGATAAATTTCAAAAAGTGGACCACTCGAAGCAAAATTACTTCCTGATTTCCTAGAATTCAGAATAATTTAATTGTGAAGGATACAACTAATAACCAAACAGGACATAATACATTACAATGTACATTTGTCTGTTCCTATGTAACAAAACTTGTGTAACCACAAATACAGCTATGATACAGTTTGGATGAAGATATTTTGTATAAAATTTTCCTGTTTTACTATTCATTAATTTCATTCTCATCCTATTTTTTTCTCTCTTGTTTTTCTTCTAATTTGATTTTTTTTTTGCATTCTTCATTTTCTAGTCTTTTTTTTGTATAAAAGGGAAATGGAAGGTTGAGGACTAGCCATATTATGTATCTATTTTTTTATTTTTTTCGTATCCGTTTTTTTTTTTTTTTTACATTGATATTTATAGATTATTGTTGGTCATCTCAACGAGATTGATTTTCTCGCTTGAGCCAGTACGGCGAAAGTGAGAAAAGCAATTGAGTTGAGATGACCAATGATAATCTGTTTATCGCTATTTTGCCTACAACGACGTTGATATTTACATTGACAACGGCACTACACCCTTAGTTTCTAGCAATAATTTTTCATATCACTCTACTGTGCTGAGAAAGGAAATTATCAGTCAGTAAGATCAAAGGAAAATTTCATAAAATAGCAATAAAATCTATTTATTGTTAACATAAAATTTTGTAATTATGGAAATACACAATACATGCAATATCTTCATCCAATCTCTGTCAATAACGTTATTATGTCAACAAGAGGGAAAAATAAATAGAACATGAATATACACTGTAAGCAAGAAATTGCTCTAAGCACCGTTAAAAAACATGATTTATACTCATGTATAATAAAGCTATTAATAAAACCATGTAAAGACAATTTAAGTTTAGTTCATTTTAAACATTTTTAAAACAAATCTAATTTTTCAATTCTATAAAAATAAAGAGTATTTGAATCAGTATGAAAAAAAAATCTAATATTAATTTCCATTTGATGTTTCTACACTCTAAAAATGAGTTCTAGACATCTTTCAATTTATTATTTATTCTTTTGTTTTTTTTACTTTACTTCATCAAAATATGGACAAATTAAGTCTCAATTATACCATACTTGAATCAAATAACAATATTTTAAGAATTATCTAACATCAAACTTAAAATGTTTACATGGCTTTGTCAATATTACAAACATTGCACATTTTACATGAATACCCGAGTAATTCTCAAAGCAGTATAATATATCATAATTATCTCCCCTTACAACAGGAAAGAGGAGATTTACACTGGTATCAGTTTTGGCATCATAACAAGTTATTACCAATCTTCTTTTTTACATTCCTATCTGATTATGCATTATGAAAGACAAGTATTTTCTTCAATTATGATTCCTTAATTTCATAATTCAAAATTGGTAAAGAGTTACCTCACATAAGTAATTTGGATATCTTTTAGAAATCATATTTTATACAAAAACACTCAAGCCTTTTTTTTATTGACACTGAGATTTCATACTTATTTTTCAATATTGCAAAGTAATATTTTTACTTTTGCATAAAAATATTCTTGAGCCTATCTCACTTTCAATTATTCACCCTTTTCGTTTTTTCTGCAAATTTAATTAATGGGTGACAACTTATAAAATTATCAAATAAAATATGTTTTTTCTATTTCTGAAACCGAGGCTTGAGCTTTTTATCATACTATTTATACCATATAGATATGTTGGACATCTTGGATTATTTTAAGTTCATACCTGAACATCAATCATCTTTCCTCAGTTACCATTGTAACTGTGGTAAATAAGGAATATTATCTTCCAGTGTGGCAGAGCTGTTTTACAAAGAAGGACATTGAGCTTGGTTTCAAACATTGACAATGTTTATGACTAGAATACAGGACTCTTAAGACTAGTAAAATTCAACATTTGGCAAAAGTACTGGTAGTTATCTCAATTGTTAATTTTTTTCTTAACATTCTGACTAACTATTAATTTTTCATAGACTATGGAAAAGAGGTAGACAGGGGATAGGTCTATCAGGAAACAGAAACCAGTTGTAAAAAATATAAATACTGTATTAACTTAGAATGCGGTTGTTTTTACAGTGATCTGGAAATTAGTCTGGTAATTTCAAAGCTTGTTTTACAGGATACAGTTGCAACTGAGACATTTTTAAATGGATATGCCCTATGTTTTCATCGAAAGATGTTTCCCAGCTTGATGTGCCCTATTTGTCTTATTAAATTCAGAAGCAACTGGATCTCATTAATATACAAAGTAATTCCTAATTCATTTTTTTGTGACCATATTTTTCCAGAAAAAATAATTTGTGATTTTGGGTCATTTTATCATTTGTGTCCCAAAATGAAAATAACTTCATATCATTGGTTAAATTTCCCATGTTTAGAATGTTGTTAGCCAATCACAGTTTTTTTCTTAAATGTGATTCCCCAAAATGAAAATAACTTCACATCATTGGTTGAATTTCCATTGTTTAGAACGTTATTAGCCAATCACACTGTTTATTTCTTAAATGTTATTCCCCAAAATGAAAATAACTTCATATTATTGGTCGAATTTCCATTGTTTAGAATGTTGTTAGCCAATCACAACTTTTTTTCTTAAATGTGATTGATGCTATGAAGGCTTTGTCCGTGAAAGAAATGATGTAGACTTTGATTTTCTCATTGAAATGTGTTTTTTCAATTGTTCTAAAACTTGTTCTTTCACTGATTGTTCCTTTATTCTTTCTTTCAACTGGAAATCTAATAAATCCTGCATGTCAACCTGAAAAAAGAAGACCTAAAAAATCAAGCAATTTTAGTGAAATATAGATTTCACCACTGCAACAAGTGTGTTACGATACTTCTCCGATCGAGACAGTTAAATTTTAATATTTAAAGCGCGAGGCTTGCAGAGCTTTTTAAATAATCAAAATTCAACTGTTGAGCATGGAAAAATATCGTAATACACGAGTTATAGTTCTTTATATGTGATGTCATCAGGCATGGTAGCCTTTTTTCATGACGTCACAATAGGAAATTCAGAAGAAACCAAGAAAATTTGACGTCGTAATTAAATTTCGACCAGTAATTTGCCGAGAACAGATATTTCACTAGTGAGGAGAAATAATTTTCTCACACCGATCAAGTAATGTGAAAATAGCGCAAAAATTAGAGAAACAGGTTATCATGTTTTATTTTTTTAAGTATTTTATACGACCGCTTTGATTTCTAAAGCAGCATTTTGCTGTTAAAATATTCAGGTTGATTATGATTACCGGTATTGTTTGCCTCAGGTGTCAAGTCATTGGTGAAATATTAACTTTTTTTTTTTGCATAATACTATACAGTAGGTTATTGTGCTGTGTGTAAAAGTTGCAAATTCAAAAGTGAATAGTAAATGAAACTTTTAGCAATCAAAATTGTTTTGGGGATATATGGATAGGAAAATAAATTTTATCACAGATACAAACTTTAAAAAAATTGACAAATAGATTCACACTAGTACTTGAATCACACTTTATCACAACAATATTCTAATAACTGCAAATGAGTATTCCCTGTTTTTGCTATGTAATAAAAACCTGAATTTCAAACCTTTAGACTACAAAGACTATAAATTCTAGGCTTGGAATAATTAAAACCATAACATATCAATAAACATGTTTGTAAATATAAAAAATGTTATTTGTGTGGCTCATTTAATAATATTTTTCTTTATTTTTCATAAAAATGAAAGTTCTTTTATTAGTCACCTATCAGGAATGACTCTGATCAAATTCATCTCCCATACTTGTCATTGATCAAGTTCTTGTGACAAATTTATCTCCCTTACCTGCAGTTGATCAAGTTCTTGTGACTAAGTCATCTACCCTACCTGTCGTGGATCAAGTTCTTGTAAGTTGTGACTAAGTCATCTACCCTACCTGTCGTGGATCAAGTTCTTGTAAGTTATGTCTCATATTTGCCATTGATCAAGTTTTTGTGACTAAGTTATCTCACTGTCCTGCAGTTGATCAAGTTCTTGTGACAAAGTTATCTACCCTACCTGTAATTGATCAAGTTTTTAAGATTAAGTTATCTTCCCTACCTGTTGTTGATCAAGTTCTTGAGATTAAGTTATCTAACCTACCTGTCATTGATCAAGTTCTTGTAATTTAGTTATCTCCCCTACCTGCCACTGATCAAGTTCTTAGAGTAAATTATCTCCCCTACCTGCCATTGATCAAGTTCTTGTGACAAAGTTATCTCCCCTACCTGTCATTGATCAAGTTCTTGTAATTTAGTTATCTCCCCTACCTGCCACTGATCAAGTTCTTAGAGTAAATTATCTCCCCTACCTGCCATTGATCAAGTTCTTGTGACTAAGTTTTCTCCCCTACCTGCCATTGATCAAGTTCTCAAGAGTAAATTATCTCCCCTACCTGCCATTGATCAAGTTCTTGTGACAAAGCTACTTTTTGCTGAATGGCCTCCATTAGTTGCTCATTCATTGATAATATATCCAGTTTTGACTTGGCTAATTCCACTTCTGTTTTATTCTGCCTTTTTTATAAAAAAAAAAGTGTCTTTGTTTATTATAAATATGTACAATCATATTTGAATGACATTTAACCCAAAAGACAAATCACTCATATTTTGAAATGTTATATCTATAAACTTGTAAGAAATTCATGGTATAAAGATTATTAAGCTGCAGTGAGGCTGAGTGTGACTTGCTTACCTTTCCAGAGCACTAGAGATCAAGTTTGTGGGGTTCTTGTTACTCAGTCATTAGTTTTCTTTGCAGTGTTTTGTAAGCTGTTGTATGTCTTTTCATTTTTTTAGTTTTTGCCATGAAATTTGCTAACTATTGAAATGTACACGCATAATAAATATTCATATCTTATTTTTTTTTAATTTACCATAATAAACTGTTTCATTTTCAAAGATGTAATAATCTGCTTAAATCATAGGAAATGCAGACAGATTATCTTACATCAGTTTCACCCAATTTCCTTCAAATGAAATTTGATTCTAGCATATGCAAGCCTATAAATACAGTGTGAAATAAATAATGATTGATTGATTTTTGGTGTTTAACGCCACTTTCAGCACTATTGGCTATATCTTGATGGTCAGTTTTTAGTGGCAGAGAAGCCAATGCGCCTGGATAGAACCACCAACTTCAGTCTGAAAACTGACATTCCTAGCCACTTAAGATTTGAGTTGAACGCACCTGCTAGGTAAAGGGTTCAAACTCACATTCTCAGTGTTGACAGGCTAGTGATAACAGTAGTTTGACTACTTAGACAACCTCGGCCAACAAGGCTTAAATTACTGTAAATTCAGAAATTATTGCGATGTTTTTATTATTGTGAAAAATGCGACAGGGTTATAATCGCAATAATTTTAACTCGCATTTTGAAATTGTTTATATGCATTAAACAGGATTTTTCTCAATTACCGTAAAAATTAAAATCGCATTTTAGTCTAAATTGACAAAATCGCAATAATAAATACACGCAATAATTTCTGAATTTACAGTAATACAAAATCTTTAGAAGCAAGAAAACCAAAACATCTCTGTTTTCTTCCTATTAAATGATAACAACATGTTTGCACCTCACTGTGATTTTACTTTAGTTAACTAATCTTTAAATTTACACCTACTTTTCTATAGCCATATCTCTATCATTTCTGGCCTCCTGTAGGAGGTTGTCTGAACTTAGACTCCTGGTGTTATCCTGAAGTCTGTCTCTTTCAGCTTGTAATCTAGACAGTTCCTCATGTTGTAATGTCAGCTGAAAAAAAATAAGCATTACAATATCTTAATTGGTAAGCAGGCTAATAATTAAGTGCATGGGGCTGTCCTGAATTTGCTGTGAGGTGTGAGTGCGTTCTCCATGCTGAAGGCCTCACTGAGACTTTGAAGAACAGCGATAAAAAATGAGATCCTCTACTTAAAGTTTTGTTAAGTGCATGTAGGATTACTTGTCATGAATTAATGCACCTTCTATTCAATATTATTACAATGAAACAGTCTAAACCAAATAATTTCAGTATTGATATTTTGTTCAGTTTTGTCAGCTAAATTACTGAAGAATATTCATTGTATTCGAATAAGACAGGTTTCCAAAATTTAATACAGTATTCTGTTAAGACTGGTTTCACTTTATAAAATTAATATTTCTAAAGTTTTTTCTCATTATTATAGGCGAATTTAAGAAACACTAGTAATTAATACCAAATGAGAAAATATTAACCTCAACGATTTAGTTCAAGATTTCTGTAAATTTCTTTCAAGTTTATTGTTTTAATTATTTGATCTATTTCTTATCTGATCATACAATCATGACCTTAATAAAGTTTTATTTTTTTTATTGATTTTTCATGTGCATGTTTGTGAGGTGGAGACTAAATGTATTGTGACATACATGTATTACCATTTATTTCCTATAATCTATCTTTCAATTTCTATTCCTCAATATATCATAGACTTACCTCAAGTATGGAAATCTGTTTGACAATCATATGAAAGTAAAAATAAAATTCAATTATTTGAAGAATATTTAAGACATTATAAGTTGTAACTTTATTATTTTAAATTCTGGATCATTATGTCATTTTTTGTTCAGGATTTTCTTCCCCATTCTAGTCTTATTGATCAAGAGGTAATGGTTGTGAAAGTAGAAGCCGCATTTATATGAACTTCATGAAATCACATAGAATTTGATGGCAGTAATGGCTGTCTTTTTTCTTTGTGTCAGAACAGTCTCAGTTCTTTGTAAAGTGTCATATTAAACCTAATTTAAGTGTATATACTTTTTATTGTATTCTGGTAGATCTTGCATCAGAGCTCCTAAATCAGATTCTCTGTTTTGACTAGTATTTTTTTTAAAGATTTTTTTTAATGAACATCTATACCTAAAATAACAACATTTATCTTGTATTTATTACATTAGAAATCTATTCTGTAATTCTAGTACAACTTTCTTAACAAGAAAAGTTCACAATTTCATCAAACATCACCAAACAATATTATATATACTACATGTACATATTTAAAAATAACTTGAAGATTTGTTATCATCTCCTCATACAACACTGTATTATGAGATTACTAGAAATAATCCTTCAAAGATTACTGAACTGAATTACATTACAAACTACACCTACAAAGATGTGTATACTGATTGATTGATTGATTGATTGATTGATTGATTGATTGACATTTAAAGTCCAGCAGCAAATATAACATGCATATATGGAGTAACATGCTTAGAACAAGGAATTATTTGAATCTGGAATAATTTTGAATTCTGGAAAATTGATAACAAATGTTTTGTGAAAACTAACCCAACTATAAATAGGGTTATCCATGGGTGCATGGCTAAGGGGGTAGTTAACTCTTACTGAAATATCAGTGAAAGTAACTTAACGTTTGCCATGCGTGCATGGCCAACCCATTAAAGTTGGGTTAGTTTTCGTCATACATTTCTATTCAATTTTCCAGAATTCAAAATTATTCCAGATTCAAATAATTCCTTGTTTTAGTCAGATTTGTAACAAGATTGGTCATTAGGTAAATGTACATGGGAAGAAAATAGTATTCTGACTCCAAGTTGATTAGCTTTAGCTATTACCGGTACTCATAATAAATGATAAATCTCCCATCTTTAGCAGAATATCAAATAAGTTAAATTTTGGAGTCTTCTTCTTGATCCAACAATATATTGATCAAACCAACAAACTCCAGCATGCTACCACAGAGGTGGTTGATAACATAAAAAAAACATGCAAACTACAAAGAAGTATATTCCAATAAACATGCTATATCACTGTGACTTTGAGATGAAGAACAGCAATAAAAGAGCTGTTTCTTTGCCTTTTGTGTTTTTTGCTGTCCATTTACTGATTTTGTGTCATGGATGGATACCCCATATCCTTTGTTTTTCTATTATGTATATCGGTAAGTAAACTTTTGTTTGTGTGACCATGTAACCTCTTATTCTCATGTTAGCTTATGCTTGTTTTGAGTGCAGAATGTTTTTTTTGCTATTATCCTCAGTAACATCAACAAAAGGCTTTGACATTGGTATATGATGCTTCACTGTAAAAGCATTTAATATGAGGAAGATTGGTCAGTTTTATTTACGAGGAAGACTGGTCAGTTTTATTTACGAGGAAGATTGGTCAGTTTTATTTAAGAGGAAGACTGGTCAGTTTTATTTACAAGGAAGACTGGTCAGTTTTATTTACGAGGAAGACTGGTCAGTTTTATTTACGAGGAAGATTGGTCTGTTTTATTTACGAGGAAGATTGGTCAGTTTTATATACAAGGAAGATTGGTCAGTTTTATTTACGAGGAAGACTGGTCAGTTTTATTTACGAGAAAGACTGGTCAGTTTTATTTACAAGGAAGATTGGTCAGTTTTAAGAAGGTTGACACAATTTAAATGCAGTTCCATTATCTTGAAAGCTTTCACATGAAAAATCTTGCTCAGTGTGCCGGTCTAGTACAAAGCAGGATTCATATTCATATCTAAATATGTTTTGGCCCTTGATATGAAAAGATTACCTGCATAATGCTTAAAATCAATCATCCATCATCAAAATCTTTGTTTGTACAATAAAATGAGAAAAAATATTATACAACCTACAAAAATGTTTACGCTATGTATATAAAAATCCTACAAAGCTAAAAAATTACTATTCCAATACACATACTATGTTAGTAAACAAATACACATTCTATGTTAGTAAATCTTTGTTACCTTTACCTTGTTGGTCAGATGACTCAACTCTTCTGTTTTCGTCTTCAATTTGGAATCACGTTCAGATAGTTCAGTTTTGACCCTGTCAAGGTCATTTTGAGCCTCCACTAGATCAATTCTAAGTTCACCAATTTGTTTATGTAATGTAACCATGGTTTCCTCATCATCTGATAAGTTTGTTTGGACTTCAGTACATGCAAACTGCAAAAATATGATTTAATAATAGATCCTTTCACATGTACCGATATCAAAATGTAATATTTGTTTAGAAATTCGGTGGTAATGTCCGACATATTAGAAGAAAAGTATTTTTGTAGATAACAACTTGGCACGGATTCAGAACGTGAGTTCTAGCTAGGGTCTAGGGAGTTCAACCTATAAAAGAAGGCTTACATCCTAATTTTGTCAATTTTTACATTAAAAAAGCTATGAATCACCAAAAATACTGGACAGTTTAACATAACACATCAACCACCAACATATAACTTAGGAAAGTATAGAAGTCTAAATTGTTTGCCCAATAAGTTACAATATTGAATCAAATGGCTTCCAGCCGTTTTCTGCTGTTGCTATTGGTTTGGATTTACAGGAATATTTTCGCCTAAATTTTGTTGAGAGATTTTTGAATCCTGGTCTTTTAAGTGATCATGTAGTTCAGCTATCAGGGAACAAATGCTTTAATTTTATCGTTTACATTTAAATTTCAAAATCAGACCAATTTGGGGGAAAAATTAACTGATTTCTTATGATTTTGTCGTGTAAAGAAAACATAAAACAGTTATTTTTTCCAAAATTTGTACGAATTGTAAGCTTGATTTTACTTATATTAGTTGCTCTTACTTGACTGAGTAACAGAATGTCCTACCATAAAGCAGGTAAACCTGTCAAAAATTATATACTCTTACGGGTCAAAAGTCAGTATATGAAAATAGTCTATACTAAAAGTATTATTTTGAAATTGCATATGGGATATCAGGAACAAATACTTACATGAGATTTATGTGTGATCATGTTCTGCATGACTTCTCTGAGATCTTGTAACAAGGGAGATAAGATACCCACTTTGTAACCACCTGGATACTTGTCTACTGGTTTCCCACAGTCTTTACACAATTGTTTCAAATGGGAATAAACATTCACTAATTCTTCTTTCAGCTAGCAAAGAGAGACAAGAAATTGGTGTAATGTAAATTATATAGCAACCAAATTGTTAACCCGAATAATACAGTCGTTATATTACGCTCACTATCGATCACTACATTAACCTCGAAAGGCAGAGAGAATCATAGATAGTAATAGCTTGAATTATTTGAGTTACCAAATCATTAAGAGCTTACGATTCAAGCATAAAATGGATCCATTTATTCTGAAATATACTTTTTTTCAAGTCATGGTTATTTTTATAGTTTGTCTGATTTTATTTCCTCATTCATTCATGACTGTAATTCAGTAACATGTCAAATTGTACATCACTTGAGAGTAAGGAGCAATATTTCATAACTTTGAATTATTTTATTACTATTTCATTAAATATTATGAACATACGAATTGGAATAAATGCTTAATCTTGAGGGTAAAATGGATGTTGAATCAAATTGAACACCTGAACATAACAAATTATAAGAATCCCTGCTCATTTTAATTGGTTGAATAATCTGAATAAATCCATTGTTGAATTTCGTTTACTATGATCAATCCTGCAGCGGACACCGACTGATAGATGGCACTGTAATTATTCAAGTAAAGCACCTTTCGTTAGATCCAACATTTATTGCTTACCTCATAATCAGTGCAGTAATCTTGGGAAGCATCTTGAAAATCAGATAAAAACTGTGAGTCTGTTAAAGCTTGAGGCTCGGTGAATTCTGTCAGCAGGTCATGTGATCTATGAACATTAGAAACATCCTCATCATCACACTCAAATTCATCTTCTTCCATCATCTCAGCTAAAGACATGGGATAATCTGACGAATACTGAAATATAAACAAAATACATAATGTTTTAGGTTTTATTTGGACTAATCATTTTTTGTTGGGATTTATAATTATGCATGATAGAATGAAAAATGAAATATAAAACAATAAACAAACCTTTAAATATTAGTTGTTTTGCACTTCAAACACTGTTGACTTGGTGATATGCTGACAACACATGAGGACTGTTGTTTATTTATCTACTGTAAATTCAGAAATTATTGCATGCATTTATTATTGCGATTTTGGAAGAATGGACTAGGATATGAGATTCATTATTGCGATTTCAGGAAAATCTGCATACAGATATAAGTATCAGATATCAAAATGCGAGTTCTTATTATTGTGATCTTCATCCACTCGCATTATTCTTATTATTAAAAACCTCACAATAATTTCTGAATTTACAGTATTTAATATGTTTGCATGTTTAATGTTAGAATTTGATTTCTTTTGAGTATTTTCTTTTAATTTCATGTCCATTAATTTTGCTTATGACAAATAAAATGTCATCAGGTAAAACATTTCTCTTCAATTAGTAATTGATATTATGATTGACTGAAAATGTCTTAGAGAATGCTAGCCCTACTGTGATATTAGATCTGAACCAATCTGTACATGCAGATGACCATTGTCTACTCAGACAGCTGTGTCTATGATGCCCCAAATAATGTCTTCAGAAGAGCATTAATAAAAAAAAAATGCTCTGCACATCACAGCTTGATACAACAGCAGATATCAAACCCTGAACAGTTGGGGCAAGTTGGACACAACATTCAAGCTTGATACAGCTCTGAATTTGGATTGTGATTAAATATTTGACACAGCATAAGTTTCTGACTCAGAATGAAGAATGTTGTTTAAGAACTTTAAAATTTGAAATTGGACATTTACCTAAATGTTCCAATATCCAAAATCTAAATACATGGTTAAATTCAGCATATCAAAGAACCACAAGAACTCAATTTTTGATGAAATCAAACAAAGTTTAATTTGGACACTTTGGACCTCAAGTTGTATTAAAAATATGAAGTTGCATTAAAATGTATGCATTTACCATAGATGTAATAGGTTTATACATCTATGCATTTACAAACATTTGAACAGGTAAAATTAATAAAACAATCTTTTTTTTAATAGTTGAAAATAAATTTATTGCACAAATGCTGTCAACACTAAACTCAACCACAATAGCTTTAACCTGCATTTACCCTGATAATGTTAATATCTATAAGAACAGTGTTTCCTATGGATAAGAGCAATGTTTCCTGATTTCATTAGTAAAATACATTAAAGATCAATATACATTTATTAATCCAGATATACTTTACTTCCCCAACTGACTAAAATATTAAATAGCTTGTTTGTTCATTAGCATGATTTGAGTGCGTAATTTTTTTCTATTTTCCTATGTTGAGTTTTGTCATTATTTTCAAAGGTCACAAACATGACATTCTTTATGTAAAATTAATTGTGAAAATATAATTATCTAACATGATGGAAGGAAACTTATTCATCCCTTGCATGGAGCTAAATGATTATGTTGCATGAAACACATTAAATAAAGAACATCTTGCAAGGAAGCAAATAAGATAAAATAAAATTACATGTTGCACAAAATAACACTAGACCACTCAATGTTATGTTATTATACTAATCTCTACAAACCTGAGATGTAAAATCAGGAGGTGGTGTTGAAGGTGACATTTGACAAAGTTCATTCGTCAAGGGTTGGGATTCATGGTTGCTAGGTGATAGTTGTGACAGTTCATTAAACAAGGTTTGTGATTGGTTGTGACTACTAATGGGGGAGGAGTGAGCAGATGACCTTGATGCAAGGTGATGAATCTGAGCCTGGAGCTGTAAATTTGTTTCCTGGAGTTCAATGATGTCTCTTTCTCTATTTTGTACCTAAAAAATAAAACAAACTGGTCAATAACAGTTGTTTACAGTTCATTCTACCATGATATCTAATTGGTATCTATCTTGGTTACTTTACCTGAGGGGCCTGATGGGTTATTTTTGTTCTTCGTGATCGGCGCATTTTCGCTATCGTGATCCGTTTTTCTACAGATTTTTTTTTTTTATAATTTCGTGATCCGTGATCATGGAAATTTATTTTCTGTGAATCGTGATTGACAAAAAAATCAACTCGTGAATCGTGATGAGACCCCCCCCCCCCATCAGGCCCCTCTTACCTGAGCTTTACCGTCAAAAAGTGTTGGTTCCGTGTTGACTTTATTTCCTTAAATTGTCAGACAGAAAAATACCCAATTTTGAATGTGATTTTTTGTAAGATATACATGTATAGTGTGTGATTTCACACTTTATGAAATCAATTCATGTTTCTTTAAACTGATACATATTTAATTTCCAGCAGTACATATATATTACATCCATATTCAGCATACATGAGAACATGTTTGTGTGATATACATGTAAATATGAAACCAGCTTTCTACTAAATTGACATGATGAGGCCATGACAAATATTGAAATGAGGAAATGCCTTTGCCCTCTGGATATATTTTATGTTATCAATAATATTTAACATAAGTCAAACTGTATCATTTGATCATTTTTTTTAAGTTATTCGTATACTCCTTTACATTGTTCTGCTACACAAAAACCCCATCCAGACCCTTATTATTACATACATATACAGACAGTAACCCCATCCAGAACCTTATTATTACATACATATACAGACATAAACTCCATCCAGACCCTTATTATTACATGTATACATATACAGACAGTAACCCCATCCAGACCCTTATTATTACATACATATACAGACAGAAACCCCATCCAGACCCTTATTATTACATACATATACAGACAGAAACCCCATCCAGACCCTTATTATTACATACATATACAGACAGAAACCCCATCCAGACCCTTATTATTACATACATATACAGACAGAAACCCCATCCAGATCCTTATTATTACATACATATACAGACAGAGACCCCATCCAGACCCTTATTATTACATACATATACAGACAGAAACCCCATCCAGACCCTTATTATTACATACATATACAGACTGTAAAAGGCAGAATTCAGAAAAATGGTTTCCTTATGATTTTTGGAATTATATAACAATATTTAGCAGATAGATGATCAACATTTAAATATCTGAAATATTGTAAAAGTTTCTACTGAAATAGTAAGCAGATAATTTTATTCTGGTTTTATTTTATGAGTTATCTCCCCTATCACAATGCACCAATAACAGAATGATTTTATTTTTGATTTTTTTTAAATTAGTAACAGACATAAAGAGTTTATTTCTATTTTAAATGGAAATTGAACCCCATCCAACTCATGGTAGGTTTTTTTTTTTACTCTACTCTTATTTGACAAGGCAGAAGGGTGCATGGTGATTCTATCCAGATAATCTGGCTACTTCCACCAAAAAAAACAGCTGTTAAGATATAGCCAAGAGTGGTAAAAGTGGCATTTAACACAAGCAAACAAACAGGCTGTTCTTTTATTACCTTCTGTTCTGTTTCTCTCTTTGTTCTCTCTAACATTAATATTCTCTCCTGAACTTCTTCGTGACTTGATGCCAACCCATCTCTTTCCTCTGTCACCAAGGTAATCCTTTTCTCAAGCTCACATTTTCTTTTACTCAGCAAGTTTATCTATAAGCATAATTACTAAAGTAAGTTTTAAACTTAATAGACAAAGGTTACTTTTCTAAATTGTCTCCTTTTTTAAAATGTGTTTTTTCACACTAAGGTTCAATGAAGTATGGAAGCAGCTGTATGGATGTCATTTAAAACAAGGTATATTATGCTGCAAAACTATGCAAAATGCTTACTTTTGTAAGGGTTATGTACATATATGGGGAAAGAGTTTTCATGGGACTATAAAGAAAAGTTAATAATATTTAAGATATGATTTAGGGGGGCTTGAATTCATACTGATTTTACTACAGGTACGAAATATTTAACTGTATTCTTAAAAACAAACGACGTGGGAGAGTGATATTACTTGCCTAAACAAATCATAATGATGCAGATGAGCTGAAATACAATATATTAATATTTTACTAGGGGTGTGTATGCAAAGAGTTTTAGAATCTTAAATTAAATTAAATATTGAGACTGATGGGTCACTTTTCTCTTTTATTTTTATGCATAGATTTACTGTTATCTGTTTTGCATGTATAAAGCTGAACTATCTAAATTATCACCTATTATAATAAAGCTTAAGACTTTTTTAATATAATTTTTTTTTCAATCTAAGTGATTTAACATGATATAAAAATATTACCATATGAATTTATGAATTTGTTCATTTACATGAAAGTCCCATATATAAATTGCATTTATTCTTTTTCAGGGATAATTTGTAATCATTTGCCATGCAAGATGGCTAAATACGCCCATACTACATAATGAATAGTTTGAATGTCCCTATGGTATATTTCGCCTCTTTTATTTTTTATCCTTGTTCCCCATTAAATTTTATTCTAAAATCTGAAATATTTTCTACATCATATTATCAATAAGTAAAAAATAGAATGAGACAAAAATAGATACAATACATTACAAAATTCTTGTAACTACATAAAAATAAAAATACTGTATCAATTACTGAAACCAATTACGTAAATTCTTTAACAATGAAGTTCTACTAATACAGTTGATTAAAATGACCAAACGGAATAAACGACACAATAAACCTGATAAACAACTATTATTATATCCAGACGTAGTATTATTTAAAGGTTATTGTCATCTGTGACCATGTTTTATAGTTATCCCAGTAGGTTAATGGCGATTTCATACGAGTTAATTCTCGGCTTGGTAATAAAGCTATATATAGTGGAGGACAATCGGGTGAACAGAGAAAGGAAATAATAGATATATGGGTCATGATAGAATACTGTTAATCTCTTTTGCAATGTTTTAATTATTATGAAAATTGCAACAGGTTAGGTTTTGCAAGAATAAAAGCTTGCATTTCACTGTTTCAATAGCATTATTTCTATGGAACGTTTCCTGAAATTGCAAAAGTTAATCTGGTATTTTTTGTCAGTTGTTCAACAATCGCTATAATAAATACACACAAATTTTCTGAATTATCAGTATCATAATTTGTATATGCCCTATGAATGCAAAAGTAATACATGTATTATCTGGATTTTCAAATTTGGAAAAGTTTGTGGAGATACATACGGTACCCTCCTTTATCTTTAACCAATACTGTGAACTGGATTCTAACATGCTAGCGCACAAGATAACAGTCCACAGTAAGACATGGCACCCTTCCAATAGATATTGATCCAACCAGTTGTTGCTCTTATTCCTAGAAAATTCTTGAATATGTTTTTTCTTGTATGGTTCAATTTTAAGTTACAAATTACTGCCAAAATACAATTATTGTTATTGATTTACCACAATGGATGTCCATAACAAAAGTGCAAAAATAATGTTATATTATATATATATACATGTATATATAGCTTTCTGACACACTAAAACAGTCAAGAGATTAAAGCATCACTATTTCCTCAGGAGAATTCGTGTAAATTTTATTGCTTTAGATTTTTTTTTTGTGGTTGGCAAAAAGCAGACGTACATTTGTTGTTTAAAATTTAACCCTGCAATCTGAGGCTATTTCAGAAAGACTTCTTTTTTTAAACCTCCTCTGTTGATGAAACAGGCATTGACATACATGAAGGATGCTCGATCATTAGAACAAAAGGAAGTTTTGCAAAAATAAATACATGGATAATAAAAGAATAGAGTTCCAATGTCCTCCACGTTGCACATATTTTATCTATCCAAGGGCAATAACTAAAAAAAGTACTTTTTTTTTGTTCTTTAAAACAATTTATAAATATCTTAGAAAAATGCAATTTCCGTTATAATTAATTTTTCCAAGGGGCATAACTCGTTAAAAATATTTGATCAGTACTTATTTTCGAAAGTGTCAAAAGACATTGCCGATATAAATCTATGATATAAGTTTCATAAAATTCTATTTCCAAGAGACATAACTCTTTTAAAATAATCAATTGGCACAGATTTTCGAACTCATCAAAAAACATTGATGATATAAACCTATGATATAAGTTTCATAAAATTCTGGCAAGAATTGTACACATGAGAGCACTAACGATGCAATTTTCCATATAATAAAAACTTCCAAGTGGCATAACTCTTTTAAAAATAACTGATGGGCACTAATTTTCAAACTTATGTAAGACATTGCTGATATAAACCTATGATATAAGTTTCAAAAAAATTTGGCAAGAATTGAACACATGAGAGTGCTAACAATGCAATTTTCCATATAATTAATGTTTCTAAGGGCATAGCTCTTAAAAATAATTGATCTGCACTGATTTTCAAACTCATCCAAGACATTGCTAATATAAACCTACGATATAAATTTCATAAAAATCTGGCAAGAATTGTACACATGAAAGCGCAAACAATGCAATTTTCCATATAATTAATGTTTCCTAGGGGCATAACTCTTTTAAAAATAATTGATCTGCACTGATTTTCGAACTCGTCCAAGACATTTCTGATATAAACCTACGATATAAGTTTCACAAGAGTGCACACGCTGAAATGTCTCACCTTCTTTACTAACCATTGATATTATATTGATAGTCCTAAATATAAAGCTTTACTACAACTATCACATAAACTTAACATGACCCAAGAAAATGAGGTCAAGGTCATATAAACCAAACAAGAAATACATGTACACCTTACAATCATTCAATACACTAAATATAGTTGACCTATTGCTTATAGTTTCTAAGAAACAGACTTAACCAAGAAAACTTAACATTGACCAATGAACCATGAAAATGAGGATAAGGTCAGATGAACCATGCCAGGCAGACATGTACAGCTTACAATCCTTCCATACAACAAATATAGTTGACCTATTGCTTATAGACAGACCAAAACATAAAAACTTAACACTGAGCAATGAACCGTGAAAATGAGGTCAAGGTCAAATCAAACCTGAGAGACTGACATGTACATCATAAAATATTTCCATACACCAAATATAGTTGACCTATTGCATATAGTATTAGAAAAAAAAGACCAAAACTCCAAAACCTAACTTTGACCACTGAACCATGAAAATGAGGTCATGGTCAGATGACACCTGCCAGTTGGACATGTACACCTTACAATCATTCCATACACCAAATAATGTAGACTTATTGCATACAGTATAAGAAAAACAGACCAAAACACAAAAACTTAACTATAACCACTGAACCATGAAAATGAGGTCAAGGTCAGATGACACCTGCTAGTTGGACATATACACCTTACAATCCTTCCATACACCAAATATACTAGACCTATTGCTTATAGTATCTGAAATATGGACTTGACCACCAAAACTTAACCTTGTTCACTGATTCATAAAATGAGGTCAAGGTCAAGTGAAAACTGTCTGACGGGCATGAGGACCTTGCAAGGTACGCACATACCAAATATAGTTATCCTATAGTATTACTCATAATAAGAGAGAAATTAACATTACAAAAAATCTTAACTTTTTTTTCAAGTTATATAAGTCACTGAACCATGAAAATGAGGTCAAGGACAATGGACATGTGACAGACGGACACTTCATAACATAAGGCATCTATATACAAAGTATGAAGCATCCAGGTCTTCCACCTTCTAAAATATAAAGCTTTTAAGAAGTTATTTAATGCCGCCGCCGCCAGATCACTATTCCTATGTCGAGCTTTCTGCAACAAAAGATGCAGGCTCGACAATAAAAACCAGCAAGAACTGTACACCTGAGAGCGCTAACTAGACCAGACGGACAGACGCCCTGTAATTCCATGTCCCCCGCAACACGTTTCTTAGGGGACAATAAAAAATATAAACCAGATTAATTCAGTCCCTCACCGTAATTGATCTCTCCTTCTAGCGAGGATGTAGCCATAGGATCAGTGGAATACATTAACTGAATTATTCAGGTTGATAAAATATAAAATTATTTAAAATTTAAAACCTAATAATCTTAGATGATATATGATAAAATGAACAAAAACTTACCTCTTCCTGTAAAACTTCCAACTGACTAATATGAAAATGCATGGACGATTTCCGGCACAACATTTGTTCACGTAAACCCTGCATTTCAACCACAAGACCTTCTTCATGAACTGAAGACTGACGTATTTCCTCCTTTAATCGTTCATTTTGCACAGTTAGCTCCCTTATTTTCTCGGTGGCAGCTTTATCTCCATTGTCGCTATAATGTTGCTGTGTCTGAAGTTCGTGTCGTAATTGAGAAATGTCATACTGTAATTCCTTAATCGTATTTTCATATTCTACCTCTGTTTTTTCAAGTTTCAAATGAAGTTCATATTTTTCCTGTTGAAGTTCCTGGTAAAAAAAAAAATTTGTCATTAAATATATGTTCAGTGTGAAGAATAAATTTTGACTGAAGAAAAAAAGATTGATTTTGCTGTATAAAATGACTCAGTTTATAAGTTAACAACACTTGTAAATAATAGCAATAACCCCTGACCAAAAAACTGCTGTATGTATTAGATACACCTTGAGGGTGTTAGCCCAAATGGGTGTATCTAATTTACACCAAGATATTATTTCAATATTTTTAGGAGGGGGTCTTTCAGCGGTTTTACCATATGTTATTGAAAAGCACGATAAATGAAGGGTATCCAATTTCATTTAACCACATCTTGGTGTAAGTATGTATATTCTTGTAAATAAATGTCAATTCTTATATTGAAAGCAGACGGCAAAACTTTGGACATATTACCATAAACAAAAGAGAATTTTTCTTTATATTATTTCTGTGAAGCTTATTTAAAAATATTCTCCTGATTTAAAATTTTTAATTGCTGAACTGATGAAATAGAGCCGATATCACACAATTTCTGTGTTTAAACGAGGAATTTACAAAAATCATATAAAATCGATTTAAATGCAATAATACATATAACCATAAAATTCATATAAATTTGCTAAAAAGGTGTTACTTCTTTAAAGAAGAAAAAGCAACAACCTCAGCAACTTGATTTATGCCCTTCAACTTTTAATATTTTTGACTTGTTCTGAATACAATAGTTGAAGTAAATAAATACTATTTCTTCTACAAGAAAGTAACAATTGAAACTAGTACTTTTAACAATATGCATGAATTAAGAAATAAACTTGAAAGAATTGCAAAAACATCCTTTTAGAATTGAATCTTTTGAGGAATTGCATTTACCATATTTATCCAAGGATTCGTATAATATTTTTGATTTACCTGAATTTGGATAAAAAAAATAATTAGTATAAATGTTATTTCAAAATGCACTATTTTTTATGCAGGCCAAAATTGAAATTAAAATTGTTTGATGTTGCCTACCTACCCACCTAAATAGCAGCCTACCCAAAACATTTTATGACACAAATCGTTTCAAATTTTTTAAAGTTTTTTTCATGCTCTAATGTCGTTTTCTTGTTTAAACTATGTAACTTATGTTGTTGGCCAAAAAAAAATAAAATCCCTACTTACCTACCTACCTACCTACACAACCCTAGAAGTAATGGATAGGCAACATCAAACAAAAGAATTTGTTAAGAGTTGCCTTATGTAGTGGCAAAGCAGTTTTGGAATTTCATTCTGAAAACTAAAGTTAAACATCATAAAAAGGTTGGTTTAAAGTTAGTAGGGATCCATTTGTCAAAAATGAAAACATAAACAAACGATGGTAAGAATTTGTATAATGTCCATATATTCTTAAATGTAAGTAAGATAGTCAATTAAATTCATCCAAATCTGTCTTAATATGTTATTGTATATCTTTAAGAATGTCACTTTTTCAATTTTCTTCGTCGTTTACGTCACTATTAATAGTGTGTTCAATTACAGGAACAGCAAATATTTCCCTTCATATAGAGCGCTTCGATCCAGAAGAATTGCTGTCTTTGTCCTATTAGAATAGAAATAATTCATGAGGGCTTGAATTTATATTCATTTTACCAAGGGTTGGCCCTGTATGCTGATATTTTACCTTTTGCTGTCGCTCGTGGTAAAATAATATGATAAAGGGCCAACCCGTGGTAAAATCACGATAAATTCAAGCCCCATGAATTATTTCTTAAACATAGAACTTTGGAAAATGTAAAAATGTTCCGTCAGAAAATCATTGAAATCTTAGTAGATGTTATATTGCAATTGTAGACTTTAACTAAATCTAATTTTGATTTGATCAGTAGACCAGTACAAGTTCAACGTTTGGATTAATGATGTCAGAATTAGAGAGACTTCATCAAATTTAATTCATGTGCAGCATAAAGCAAGGTTGTGCATTATAATGTATTGGTAACTTTAGATGAAGAACAATATATGCACACAGATGTTTGAAATTTTATGTAAAATTATTATAATTTGATTATCATATAAATACATATATCTACTTACTATTTACAAATAATGGTAGACTGATCATCAGAATAATGTACTTTTTTTTATATTTGATTTAAACTGCTAATGCAGTAGGTTCTGAATAGGGGGTTCATTCATTTCTTTATCTATAATTTATGCCTTAAGACCATGTTCCTCAATTCTTTATCTAATTTGCCCTCCATTCTCTATGCTTTATTTTATTTTGCCCATTATCCTCTATTCTTTTTTTATATTGCCCATTATTTTGTATTCTTTATATTTTAGCACCTCCTTATTCTATATTCTACATTGTTTTGTCTATTTTTCACTATTCATTATTTTTTGCCCTTTATTCTACACTTTTTGCTCATTATTCTCTATCCTGTAGACCCTCATACAGTTGCCTGACTTCTACTGAATCATTATTTTCTTCAAATTTTCATTGAAATGTAGGATATATATAAATCAAACTTACTGTGCGTACAATTTAATCTAGTTTTGTTTTAACAATTTTGAAAAATAAAATACAAAAATTTCTTTCTTAAGTTTTGTTATTTGGTTTGAGGTGGAAGGTTTTAATTTATCCATGAAACACATAATAGAAACTTTGAAGATATTTATATAAGAAAAATAACTTTAAACGAATTGAAAGTTCTTTAACCAAACAAATTAGAAAAAAATCATAGAACTTGCATGAAATATTAGCCACTGGAAATTAAGCAACCAACAATCAATAGAACTTGAAAATTTCTTGAATCCAATTTTAACACAAGAACAAAATTAAGACTACTAATACACAATTATAGTAGTCTCTGAGATCAAAATACATTACTTACTAATATGTGTTGATTCTTTTAAACATCTTGAGTATAGTAGATAGAGTATATATATGTATATATATATAAAAGTAGTTCATTAACCATTGAGAGGTTGTGGGGAGGGGGGACACCAGAAAGGTATTGTTATGGGAACAACAGGTTTCTTTTTTTGTCAAATGTCAATTTGTAGTTTGGGATAAAAAGAATTACCACCCAACACTCATGGCACTGTACAATGTAAATTCTCCTTTCTTGAAAAATATTAAAAATGAAAAGGAACACTATGTGGATCTATGTGGATTCTGACAGTCTCCAGACTTTAGAAATAGAAAGTAGCTTTCTTGAGAAAAAAACTCCTCTGAACCATAATTAGAAAGTTTTACATCAAATGAAAAAAACTCTAACAATAAGAATCAAATTTAATAACAATCTTTTTTTGAAATCTATTCAACAGTTCACTGGAAAACCATACAGGTTGACTCAGATCTCAGAGATTACAGGTATTATGAAATAAATTATTTCTTACCTCTATCTTATGAGCAAATTCATCTGCTATTTGTTCATTCCTTCTCTCTAGTTCATCATTTCTTTCTAACAGAGCTTTTCCTAATTCAGCAGCCAAAACCAAATCCCTTTCTTTTTGTGCAAGTTGACCATAAACGTCCTCCTCCTCACCTGCTACCACCTGGATGGGGATTTCATCATCCCCCGAATGTCTCCTGTCCCCCATGGCTTCAGCTAACTGGTAATAGTTATCTATATCTAATCGAAACTGGGACGGTGACGGGTCGTCCTCAAAATGACAAGCACACATGGTTGTTGAAATCTACAAGCCGTCATCTACAAAGAAAGCCATGATGTCACTTTCTAACTTATCATAATTAAGTCAAAATTAATAATTAATATATGTTCAAAAGGTCAGCCTCTTATTTTATTATCCAATAAGACTATAATACTGATGATCTAACGAAGTTTTTTCTCACCTTGATGCTTTTGTTTACTCCCTGATGGATAATGACGTGTTGATTTCAAACTATCGATCTAGAATGACTTTTTATTTGCACCTTGTATAAAAGACATCTCACCTGGTCATGATGGGAGACAACTCTATTCATTACCTGAAGGGAAATCTCTTATCTTTTATCTAAAGTATTGAAACTGTTTACCTGTAATTTTAAATCATTATGGTCGTTTAAGTTTTTAACAATATCTGGAGGGATATATTAATAACGCATATTTATCACTTTGTAAAGTGGTTTTTATAGAAAATGTTGCATAAATCAGGTATAATACACCAACGTGTACCAGGTTTCCATATTTCACTGTGTCTGGTTCACCAAGTTCAACATATGCCGCTGGCTGGTGAAGCATAATAATTCTGTAAAATTATTGTATGTTTTTATAAAGTTCGATTAAGGTAATTCATTGATCTGTTGTGATAACGCTGAACACAATATATAATATACATCAATTTATTTTTTTTATTTATTAAAGTTCATAACAAATATATTTTCAAAGACGCTCAATATATATTTTTTTTTCTTTCTTTTCTCTGTTTGTTTACTTGACTTTTTTTGTCTTTTTTTTTTTTGTCTTATTAATGTCTTATATTGTATTATGCCCTTTGTGAGCTTATCTAATGGAGATAAAAAATCCCCTATTTCTATATATGAATACCAGTCCACAAAGGTCGTAAACCCATCACTTTACGAAAAGTTTTCGGGCACTTTGTTATATGGTATCATCTTATGAGGCGTGGATTTAGTCAAAATTAAGAATTAAATTAAAGAACCCCAGAAATATTTCAGTCGGGGTCTCTATAATTCGAATTGAGGATATCCATAAATCATGGAGGATGCTGAAATATCAGGATCTCCATAATACCATTTCAGGATATCCTTTGATATTTTTGGAGGTCCACATTTATTTCAGGACCTACACAATTTGATTTAAGGATATCCTGAAATCAATTTCAGGGTATCCTTATAAATCGAATTATGGAAGTCCTGAAATAATTGCGGACCTCCATAAATATATAAGAATATCACGGAATCGTAATATGGAGGTCCTGAAATATCTCGACAGGTCTTCATTGATTTATGGATATCCTTAATTCGAATCATGGAGGTCCTATAGGTCCTAAAAATATTTTTTGACTAAATCAGGGCCTTATATTAACATCTAGTCAACTGGTCTCCATGTATTCAATTATTATGGTAAATAGCATTTACAAATATATATGGTCATCCTCTCTCTGTCACACTTTTCATCATTTTAAGTTTGTCGATTTTCGTCATACACATATAAGTAGAGGTTTTCGTTGTTGTTTCTTTAAGGATCTAAAATACATATCATTAGTTTAGAATTCTTATCATTGGATTAAGGCAATTTTCTCAGTATTTCTTAATCAAATAAAATACCACGAAAAAGTTATTGTTGCGTTTATCATTATTATAAGATTGTTCTTATTTCATCCTAAATATACACATGCATAAATAATAATTAACATGCCACATCTGGGACCAAAAGAAATAATATTAGTTCCAGGTCACATATTGCGTATAAAGTTTTTACACAATACACTCAGAACTTAGTTCATGCGAATAATCTAGTGCGCGTGATTTTTGATTGTTGACTTTGTAGGTGAACATTTTAATTTTCTATTTTTCGGACTTTATTTTAAAATGACGAATTTTCATTTTATTTTCAACGTTTCCCCATTTCTTAATCTACATGATATTAAATTCTGTTTCTTTTTATCACAGACATCTAAGAAAATTCGAATATACTCCAAACTTTAAATGTTGAAAATATATCTCCATTCAGCATACTTGGCGGTAAAAAAAAATAGTTTTTTATTATAAAATAAATTGAATTTCGCGAATAGAGTTAAAACACTTATCCCGAGTGTATCATTAGCCAGTAGCTCGGTACTTCTGTACTTGCATAGCCTCGCGCAACAGCGAAGAGACTTTAATCGTAGAAATGCGCATCTGGAGTAGTAATTAAAATACTAAATTATATGTGACATAATAATTAATTTGAAAAACAACTAGTGATATACAATGTCACTGACAGAAAGTCATACTTCATTAAAAAGTGAAGTCACAAAAATACTGAACTCCGAGGAAAATTCAAAAAGGAAAGTCCCTAATCAAATGGCAAAACCAAAAGCTCAAACACATCAAACGAATGGATAACAACCGTCATATTCCTGACTTGGTACAGGCATTTTCTTATGTAGAAAATGGTGGATTAAACCTGGTTTTATAGCTAGCTAAACCTCTTACTTGCATGACAGTCGCATCAAATTCCATTACATTGACAACGATATGTGAACAAAACAAACAGACATAATAGGTAAAAATGTCACAAATATAGGGGTACAGCAGTCAACATTGTGTTATAATCTTTTAATCACTATAAAAACAAACAAATATGTAACAAAGTTAAAATGATATCAGGAACCACCAACATATTGAACAGTACAGCAGACCATACCAACCACCAAAACCAGGCTCCTTTAAAAATACAGACGTACAAACAAAGAAACCCAACAAAGAACAACTGATATGCCTGACTTGGTAAGGCACAAAAGGTTTGTAAGCGGATTCAGACAGATGCGCATCCGGTGTGTGCACCCCTCTTTTCCCCTAAAAAAGAAAAAAAAATGTAATTTTAAGGCAAAATTATAGCTACTTTTTTTGTCAAAATATTTTCCACTAACTCCTACTTCTCAGGAGCGCCCCTTTACAAAAAAATCCTGGATCTGCGTTTGAATTAAGCACTATAGTTTACTCCTACTGTGGAAAGACTTACGGCGACGGAAAGTAATCTGTAAATGATCACATCTTTCTCTTCGATTTTTAATGTATAGTTGCCTTATTAGCAATCAATCAACATCTCCTTATTTTCATATTATGAAGTTAAATATTTGACAAGAAAACGCAGAAGAAGAGAAATTAAAAATGTGATCAGTTACAGATTACTTTTTCATGTTGCCGTCGCAGTGCAGCTTTCTACAATGAACTATGTCACTACCGTATAGTAAGCCATAAAAAGGCCCCGGGGTGAAAACATTGTGATGCAATAAAAAAAAATACAACAACGGCATCATTCTACAATTCGAACAACCATACTGGCTCATAGTTTGGGACAGGCACAAATTAAGAATGTGGTTGAGCATGGGAGTTAAATGAAAGTCAATATAATACTTCCATCGGTTGAGGCAAGGAGGTGATATGATATATAACCTCCTTGGTTGAGGTAAACATGTTTGCTTATAAAAAAAAGAGGAGTGCTTGTGTAAAGGTTAAAAAATTGAATTTTATTTTTGTTTTTATCATTGATCGAAGAGAGGTGCTTCATATTTACTCTGAGAATTCTTTGGAATTTCAAAACGCTAAGATGTTTAACATGAGAGATAAAGTCAACGACAAAGTTTTTGTTATACAGTTTTTTTAATGTTTTTAGTAGGATAATTATATATATGTTGTTCATCAAAAATGAAATATGAATGGAAAGTATCTTCAAGATACACCTTTAAATATCTTTTGGTGCTTTTGGTAATATCTCATTGATGCAATCTAATTAAAATATAGAATTTATTATAACAACACTTGTAATGAAAATCTTTAAATTGAAGATGAAAAACATGTATTACAAAATTATTTTCATTTACCTGTGTTTAAAGTTATTGCAAATGGATGGTATTTTTGTTCGAGCATATTGTTTTTCTTTAATTGTTTAACATTTCTTACCGATATAACATGTTACTTTTATTATTCTTTCCTTAGTTTATTTATTTTGTATTCAAAATTATTTATTTTGTAAAAATATTTCCTTTCTCTATTGGTACTGTACAGGTATACCTAACAACAAAATTATTTTCATTTACCTGTGTTTAAAGTTATTGCATATGGATGGTATTTTTGTTCGAGCATATTGTTTTTCTTTAATTGTTTAACATTTCTTACCGATATAACATGTTACTTTTATTATTCTTCCCTTAATTTATTTATTTTGTATTTACATTGTGTCATAGGTCAAATTTATTTGTTCAGTGTATGTTCAATGGCGTTAATATGTCCTTTGATTGAGTTAAGCTATTTCAGTTGATATTTTATAGTGTGTCTTTCTATGTTGTGATGTTACACTATTGTTTCAGAAAAAGGGTGAAGGTTTGGTACCATTAAAACGTTTAAACCCGCTGCATTTGTTTGCACCTGTCCTAAGTCAGGAATCTGATGTTCAGTAGTTGTCGTTTGTTGATGTGGTTCATAAGTGTTTCTCGTTTCTCGTTTTTTTAATAGATAAGACCGTTGGTTTTCCCGTTTGAATGGTTTTACACTAGTAACTTTTTGGGGCCCTTTATAGATTACTGTTCGGTGTGAGCCAAGGCTCCGTGTTGAAGACCGTACTGTGACCTATAATGGTTTACTTTTTTAAATTTTGACTTGGATGGAGAGTTGTCTCATTGGCACTCATACCACATCTTCTTATATCTAATTAATGAATTATCCAGTGTATGAAGATTTGCGTTGTTATTTGTTTTATCAAGCATCTCTATTTAATGTAATTTTATGCATTTGTCTGATGACGATAAATTTATATTTTTATTCACAGATGAAAATATGTACTTTTATACTGCAAAAATCTGCTATGACATTTCAATGAAAAGAAGATGTGTTTTATATTGCTAATTTTAGTGCAAATAATTTATATACGTTTTAGATAGTCTCTCATAACTCTTTTTAGAGTGGCTCTTGTGTGTTTTATGATATTGTTTTATTAACTATTTGTATGTTTTATAAAATGAAGAGGTGAGACTTAAATAAAATATTGTCTTGTCTTGTCTTGTCTATAGAACTCTTATTTCTCGTATGAAATGAGAGTTCTATATTTTAATTAGATTGTCATTGACGTATCTGACGCATCTTTAATTTACATACATCCCTCAGTTTGTAAGAAATTTTGATTGATTGACCTTATTGGTGTTTATCGCCACTTGCAGCACTATTGGCTATATTGTGGACGCCATTTTTTATTGGTGTTGGAAGCTGAAGTGCCCGGAGAGAACTAACGACCTTCGGCAGAATA